CCAAAAATAACTGTCTTGGCACAAGTTTGAGGAAAGTTTTTGTTGGATAGTCTAGCCCCCACCCTCCGGAGAATTTAAATTCGGTTAGGGTTACAATTGAAGTCAGGCAGTCTACATCTGTTCTGAACACTCTACGGAGTTGTCCCATTTTATAGCACAAGTATCGGTACCAGAATAAGCCCGAAGAGTAAACTACGCTGTGCTCACTCACTCACTTTTGGGTCCTGCTAGTACCGTATCACTGGTTCTTCCGGACGAAGGGGTCCGGTTCCCATTCGGTTGTTTTATTGGTGTTTGTGTGCCTGGTAGACTACCGTACGGTACCTGATCTACGGCCAGACCGACCGACAGCCAGGCGGACAATTTAACCCACACACACCGGGAGACAGATTCGACGCCAGCCCTACCACTAGCCGTGCATGCACTCATATGCTCCCTTTGATCCCCCGAACCAAGTTCGAAAGGTTGAGGAAGCGATGTCAGCCAGCTATGACACTCGTGTTCCTGGTATATACCCCATTGAACTCTCGTATCATACTGGTACAGGCGTGTTATACCGGCAGAGCAAGGCAAATCAGACGAAACCAGGCCTTGGGGTTTCCGTCGGGGAAGGGTGAACCCCCGGTGTCCCCGGGGTTTGCTTGTTTTGTTTGTTTACAGTTATGATACGGTATGATATTCCAACCGAGTCCGGTGCTTTGGGTAACGTGTCCGTCCGCCCAATTTGCAATATGATACAGGTACAATACCGGTACAAGTACGATAGGATGTAAGAGTGCGGTTTCTATTATTACATTTCAAACCCTTTTTTTTTTTTTTTTTTAAAAAAAAAAAAAAAGGGACACTTCGTGATCCCGTCATGTCCGAAAATCTCCAGGGGAACGTCGTGCTCTACGATATCATACACCAATACCGGTAACTTTAATGCCCTCCCGTATGATTGCTTCCATCCGGGGGCTCCCCACCACTACCGCCGCGGCGCGCCGAGCCTCGCTAAATCAATCTTCCCGTTCGCAAACTCAATTCTTTCACCACTGCCAAAATACCGGTACCCTATCCCATCGTATCCTACCGACTACTCTTACAAAAACAAAAGGGCTACAAATGGCGTGATATCTTATGATTCAGTATCCTACCGTACTCTTTCTACCTTATTACCGATACATTCCCCGCACTCAGCAGCCGACGTTTCACCCCGTAGGGATGGGTTATGCAGCGACAACGATGGGCTCGGCACTAGGTTCTACATTGTGCTCGTGCTTGCCCTTGCACGCGGGAGCATGAAGGTAGATCTTTTTTTATTTAATGTCTCGTCACAGCCGGTATGGGTGTTTCGGTGCTGTTGCGGGTTTCGGAGGGAGGTATAGGCGGGATGGGGTGGAAGAAGAAGGGAGAGGGGGGCAAGATACGAGCATCGTACCGTACCGGTATGATAGAGCAGAGGAGAAAAAGGTGACTCTGAGCTGGCCCATCCAGCACAAAGGTGCCATTCTGTACTCGTACCAAACCTCCTACTCGAGCCACGACTCCAACTAGCCAATCTCACATCCTCGCGCAGGGACTTCCCGTCGTGTGCGTAATCATACGTGCGCGAGGGCAAGGCTGCGGTGGTGGCGCCATCCGTTCATTCAGGTGCTGGGTGATTTAAGTGGTTTTGGAGGGTTGGAGGACACGGGATGGGCTGAAGGATTTACTTCATTTTCTTTTGTTTCAAAGTTGTCGATCGATTGATTGACTGGTTGATTGGGGGGTCTGCGGGATTGTAGTGTGATATGGTTGGTGTTTGTGTGAGGGGCTCTGCGGTACCGGTAGAGTACGAGTACTTTTCGACCACGGAATCGATCCTCGGGTTGCTGGCCAAGATAACTACCTCCTGGGTTGCGATAAGTACCAGCTCGAGGAAATACGGTAGACACCACCTACCGTATCTCTCTTTTTCGGAAGGAGGCATGCAGTGCACTTGTTGTGCCGAGAAATTTGAACCTCCTATTAGGCGGTAGGGTGCATACAAGTACCGGTACTCGAGTGCGGTAAGGTATGCAGGTCTTTATCGTACCGCGATGATGGGATCGCAGCGCGCTTGTGCTGGTGCGGTAGAGTACGAGTACATTTGTGCATGTTCAACCTGGCCACTGTACTCGTACGGTACGGTGTAATTCCGGGATTGTTCGAGCGGTCTGAAAGGATTCTACCGCGCTGTGGGTGAGTAAGGGAGTACAGTACTGTACCGGTATGGATGGGTGAGATTTTTCATCTTAATTACCGTATCATACACCACCTGTACTACAGTACCTCGTACAAGTCCCAGGTTCCCAATTAATGCATATCCTTCGGCGGCATGATTGGTACTTTTATTTGTTCGAGTCTTGTCGGCCGCTCCACATGTCGAGCGTGATACGGTACCTGTCGCTTCCCTTGTGATGAACGTTTCCTGCTACCAGTGTGCTAGCTCGTCGCTACTACTTGTATAACCGTTGACTGGGATGCGCAGATGCTCATCTCTGCTGCTGGGGTCATGGGCCTGTGGCGCCTGGCCGAGTTAGACGAGCAAGACAGCCGCGAGTACTGCTTGTGTGTACGAGCACCAGTATCATGTTTGCAGAGACCAAGCACAAGCTACATAGACAACATCTACCGTATGTTAAGCACCCGTCAACACATAAACCACTTCCACCACACTGTCTTGGTTTGCTCTCGCTCAGGCGGAGACAGTTGTGGCTCCAGCTTGAGTTACCGGTACCCCAGCCCATTCGTTCACCCAAACCACGAGAAGAAGGCAAGCATTGGGAATGCGGCTCACTCGTACCGTAGTTTTATGATGCCGGCCGGACCAGGCGATGCTTGCCCAATCCCGGTGGCCCGAATTGAGGAAGAAAAAGGGGAAATTGGCAACTCTGACTCTTATACCGTATGATAGTACGGTAACTTTTTTTTTATTTTTTACTTTTACTTTTTTCTTTACTTTTCTTTATCTTTACTTTTTCCTTCCCTTCCGCGTTCTTGCTCAGCTCCCGCTTGAGAAAGCGAGATGCCGAGGGGGAAGGGAGGGGAAAGTGACCATTTTTAGGCGCTGGAAGGTGATTGGACGCAAGAAATCGAAGGCGTCCCCTGCCTTGGGGGGCATGCAGGGGAGGCTATCCTAAAGCGGCGATGGATAGACTACAGTAAGGTGGTGATTCCCTTTTGATCTGGGTTTGATGGAACAGTTACCGTACCGTGTGCAAGTACTCGTACTGTGCAGTGCTTGTACGAGTACAAGTAATATTACAGCAATATTGTGTTGGAGATGATCGAAAGGTTCGGTCGGTGTTTGCCTTGTGGCTGGAGGTTTCGTATCGTGTTTTTTCTTTCCTTTTTGCTCTTTCCTTTTCCTCGCGGTATCGTGCTCGAGAATAGCTTCCGGGAGACTTCTTGCTTACGGTCCTTGGTACAAGTACGAGTACTTTGCACGAGGTTGCTGGTTGTCCCCTTCTTGCCCTTTTGGAAGTGGTTGTGAGAATGGAGAGGGGAGCTGATTTGATCTTACTCTTGGTTAGCCTGCAATTGCACTAAGGGAGGCTCGTGCAAGGTCTTTCCGCTGTTGGCGACCAGGTACCGGAAGGGTGCTCAGAGAGGCCAACGAGAAAAAAGCTGGGCAGGCACAGCTCTGGCACACACACACGCTTCAATCCATATTTGCTGCTTGTACCGTACAACTTACCCAATTCTGATTTATGCCCTGGCTGGAAAGAGAGAAAAAACAAAAACATAATTTTTCTTTTTTTCCCTTTCCATTCACTCGTACCAGTGTTTTATTCGTGGAGGGTAAAAGTGCTAGCACGGTACTGGGAGGAGTACTCGTGTGCACTGTGTGAGATTCTGATGCAAGATGAATGACGGTACCTACATATGATATGATACGCTACGGTAATGAACCACATTACGGCTCCGCTGTGGTATTACTTTTTAAACTTGTGTGTGTGTGTGCATTTTTTTCAGGAACGGAAAGGGACTTCCTTTCCTTCGTTTCTTTTTAGCTATTTGTTGTCGCGCAGCTGTTCGGTAGATTGTGGTTATTCTGTGGTTATCACAATACGGCACGATGCTGCTGCTGCCTCAGCTATGACAGTTGGAAATCAAGTCAATCTGTGCTAAGCCGACCGATTGGCTTGAGTGAGGTGAGAACGGGACTGGAGTAGGAACAACGAATGAACTGAAAAAAACATCTTCGCCTTCTCGCTTTCTCTCTTGCCCATTCTACTAGTACTCTGGCCTCCTCACTCACCGGTATGCGGTAACCTTTTGAGGGTACAAGTACTCGAGCACTTGATCATCATACAGGTGCCCATCACACCTTTTCGCCAGGATTCTGCTTCGAAAGAGCTGTTTCGTTTCTGTCGTTTCTCCTTTGGTTCGCACGCTGCTGACCTGCCTGCTTTTTCCCTTTTCCCCCATGACTTGATCCACCGCCACTCGCATCTCAATTTGGTTATTGCTCTCTTATCCAAGTCACTCTCTTACTCCTTCACTTCCCCTTCATTCACTTTCGCTCACTCATTCGCAGTGCCGGTACCGGTACTCGTACTCGAGTGCACACGCCGCTCATTCAATCGCTTCCTCCCCATCCCCTACCCACCCCCCCTACCGGTACCGTACCCCTTCCACCCTTTCCACCCACCCACTCCCTACCTCCCCCCCCTACTCTACACCCCCCCGACAACTTCACATCTCACATCCTTCCCTTTTCCTTCCAACCTCCCTTTCGTTCTTTTGTTTCCCTTTCCCTTTCCCTTCTTTTTTCCTCTTCCCTCCCCTTTGCGAACTCGTCAAAAGGCCTAGCTCTGTTGGCCGTCCACTCTCTTTCTTTGTTTCCCTGTTTCGTCACCCAATTCTCTTCCTCTTCCCCTCTCCCTCTCCTCCCCCCTCTTTTTCCCACCCCCCCGCCACAAACCCCCGACGTTCATTAACCCCGACGTATTTTCGGAATTTCTACTTTTTCGCCCGTTTACTCGAGGTCAACTGGGATTTCGGGCTTTGACTTGTCGATCTGATCTTCATAATTTATCCAAGTCTCGCTCGATTCTTCCCCTTAGGAAGAGTGAAGAAAATAGAGAGGGCTTTGCGACGATTTTTTAAGGGAGAAAAGGTAGGGAGAGAGGAGAAAAAAAGTGCAGTAGGGATATCACAATAGTCTTGTGCCTTTTTTTTTTTTTACTTTGTGCATAGTGATTTGGTCCAAGTGTTTCCCTTTTTTTTCTCAAAGCACCAGTCCTCCTATTGGGCTTGTCAGACAACCAACAGAAGAGCACCTTCAATCACTACGCAACTACCAACTACTGGTCAGCCTGCATCGTCGGAAGCCCTGCAGACCCGAGCAAGGAAATTGCGGAGTGTTGGATAACGGCCGATCTATTGTACGTTCGTGGGCATCCAACAAATTTTCTCCGACCTCTGCATCATTGAATTTTTACGTCTTTCGTCCTGTGTTTTTTTGCGATTTTTTTTTAGTTCCTTCATTTTTCTCAACATATTTCGATCAGTCGTTTTTATTCTTCGGCAAGCTCTAGTAGCTACATTTTGGGGGTTTCTTGCTGAATTCCCCTCATATTCACTCCTAACTGGGTAGAAACTCTTCAGCATAGGTCGGAAGGGTTTTATTTTTTTGTTTTTGTTTTATTCTTTCGATTCTACGACCATTACTTTATTTTTATTTTTGTAATTGCATTCTTCACGTGTGGAGATTGTGGTTTCCCTACGGATTCTCAAATTCCTTTTTTAAACGAAATTCTGCGTTTTGTGAAGAAGAGCAGCCTCTCACGGTGAACTGCTTCGTCAATACCACAGGAACAGAAAAACTCGGTTAGTTTGGGTATTACCACATCTCCCTCGCTTTTCCTTCTGTTACTCCTCAAACCTTGACTTCAAAAAATGAAGTGGATACTGTTTTATTCTCCCTTTCCTTTCCTTACCTTTCCCTTTTTTTTTGCTCCGTGGTACCTTATCGACGGTTTGCTACTGGCGGATAGCCGCTTAGCTCGCTTCGTTCTGGGCGGCCGGTGGTGACGGCCGATTTGCGTCCCACGAGAGGGTTGAGGCCTTGAAATAATGCTGGTGGCTAATAATTCTTATAGTAGTTCCTCTGCACGAGACTCCGACCCACGCCCTGCACGAATCCGCTACTCTCATTTCTTTAGTCACGATCTTGTTCCCCCCCCAACATTTTCCGCCTATTACAACCCGGTATCCCCCGAGACTCCGGAATTTATCGTACGTTGTGGGAAAATAATATCACCAATAGTAATGGCTACCATTGTTCGCCCTTCACAAACTCGCGAACCTTCAATCACCAGGCTCGAGTGCGACGTTAACCTGAATTTCACATTCCCTGCAATACCACATGCGAGATCACAATCGCTACTTCCTGGCGCCCCACCCTCATTTCCGGCGTTTCCCCCACGAAGAGGATCTGTTCCCCTGAATGATGTTGCGGGATTAGCCTCTGCTACCTTGGCAACCGCGAGGCCAAAATCTAGTTCTTCGAATTCGTTGCTTTCGAATGGCTCGAAATCGGCGGGTGCGATTTCCTTTGAAGCAGGTGGACTTCCGAGCCCCATTTCGCCAGGGCAGGCTGATGTGGGAAATGTTGAAGGGTCACTGGCACCGCATTATGCTGGGGGAATCAGGCCTGGAGCTAGGATACTTGGGGTTGGAGTTACGCCGACTATTGTGAACGCAAGTTTGAGCACCAAAGTTGGCCCAGTTCCGGAGGGAAAGGGACATCATCGTGGGCTAAGTGATTTACTTGGGGGTCCGATTACGTTGGAGCCAAAAAAGGAGGATATTGCCCCGGCTATTGCTGAAAAGGTTGCACCAAAACGCGCACCACCACCGCCAGGGGCTACCCGTAGAGGTCATGCCCATCGCAGGTCCGGGGCTATCTCTAGTGGCGATGTTTGGAGCCTTTTGAGTCAGAGTGCGCCAAATCTAGCTTTAGCATGCACTGGTGAGAGTGGTGGTCATGGCACTACTTCTGGGAACGCAGAGGCTTCTTCGCCTAAGCCAATCGCTAGTGCGGGAAACAGTCCTTTACTCAGTTGGAGTGCTCCTGTTAGTCCGGGGTTTAATGGTATATCTCGACTTCGGGGGTTTTATTTGGGTTTTCCTAACAGTGTTCTAGGCCCCTCATCGCTTCCTTCGCCGACGAGTCCTTTGATGGATTATGAGAGCGCAGCTGACAAGAAGAGCCGGGTTCACTTCATTGACCATGTGGAAATTATCCCCAGGCCGATGTCAGCAGGAACAGAGACTAGCAGTTTGGCAACCGTTCGGGGCCACGCGGGCACAGACAGTATTAACAGCATTGCCAGCGTTCTTCCTTTACCCGCTCCCTCACCTACAATTGAGGCTGCGCCCCCGCGGAGACATGGCCGTACCAGAAGCAATTCCCAAACCATGACACAGCCTACATCTGCTTTAAGGGCAGCGTCGGGCCGACCCTCAACCGCGGGGGCGATCTTGCTAACTCCACCGAATATTGTAATAGATAGCAAGGAAAGTGAAGTGCCCGTTCCTTCACTTGAGAGGCCTGCCACCGCATCACCCTCCCTTTGCAGTGTTCCTGGAAGCAACAACCACTCACCCACCGAGCTTTCACCGTCCAAGAAAACGCATAAGAAGGCCCTCAGTGACTATTCTCCCTTGGGTGGAGCCGGATCGTTCTCCGACAATCGCGACATTCCTTCAACCAGCAGTGCGAGCGACGAAGTGCCAACTACTTCTGAAGAGCCTTCGAAATTAGCATGTAAGGGGAAGGGGAAGAAGAAGAAGAAGGGTAAGAAGCAGATCAAGAACTGGGCTGGGACAATTCTGGGTAGGGGTCGTGGGCTCCGTCACTCGAAGCGACAACTTAGAGCTCTCCCGAGGAGATCACCAACACCACCATTGCCAAGGTCAGAACATCAATTAGGTGACAATGAGTGGATTTCGGCTGCATGGAATGAGAGCTATGTTCTCATGCCGGTTGATGATTCTCTAGGAGCGAACTCTAGCTCGGAGAATATTGCCATGGACACTGGGATTGAGAGCCCTACCATTGACCTTGATGCTGCTTTGGGACCTTTCAAAACACCTACGGGACCTAGTGCTGGGTTTGCTGCTGCCAGGCGGAGAAGGATGCATTCTGCAGTTGGGTTGAAGGGAACTGGGTACTTCCACAGGCGTAGTGAGAGCATGCCGGAGATGCAGCTTTTTTCTCTCTCGGAACATGAGGGTGATGGTCATATGGCCGATGTCTTCGAGGAGGATGAGGAGGAGGATAGTGAGGAGAGTGAGGAGAGTGAGGAGGAGGAGGAGGAGGAAGGCAAGATGAATGGTGGCGAGGGTCTTGGAATCGGTATCAAGGTTGTCGATGGTGACGGGGCGAACTGGCAGGAGGATGTAGTGATGGAATGGGGATCTGATGATTTGGGACGTCCGACATCGAGGAGAGGAAGCGGAGGAGATCGTGGTTTGGGATGGCAGGGCGAGAGCAGTCTACCTTTGGCCGACACTTCTCTTGACCCGAAGGACAGTGCAACATCAATTAACTCCATCAACTGCCCCCCAGATGTTGAAGCCGAGCCATCCTCTCCATTGCCCTTTTCGGGCCGCAAGGGCGCACCAGCGGACATCATCACCCCCAAATCGTCCAGCTCGACCGTTATACTTCCGGCGCATTTCCCGCCACCTACGTACCCCCAACCCCTCGACTCACCATCTACCTTCGTCACCGCCGCCTCAAATCCAAACACCCCCCTCCAATTGGACTTTCCCGGAAATGAATACGCAGATTCGGCATCCAGCTTCGACCCATGTTCAAACTTCTTCGGCGAGCCGGGCCCGGAGATGCGCATGAGCGTTGACGACATCCCCAGCCTGACCTCCTCATCTAGCACCATGACAATTGGAGGATTGTATGCCAATATGCCATCGACACCCATGAACGAACTCAGAGAGAAGGAGCTCTCTCCTAAAAAGGAGAAGTCAAAGCGATGGAGCAAAGTATGGACCTTCTGGAGGTTGAAGTGAAAAGCACACTTGATTTGTTTATTTGTGTCCTGATTTTTTTGTTCTCTGGCTTTATCTTAGCTCTATCTGGCTCTCAGTCTATCTTAGTATGTTCCGTATTAATGTGCTTGGGGTTCGCGTTATTTGCCATCTACCTACCTACTTATCCATCGCATCGTGTCTTATCATTACTGGCGCGGAAATGTACATTTTTTTCCTCTTCTATCTGCTTTTTTCATTCTTTTTCTCTAACTCTGCAGAATAGGATTCACTTTCATCTATCTGCTGGGTTGAAGTGGGGTATTTTTATTTTTATTTTTTCCCCTCCCTTCTATTTTTGCGCGTACTTTTTTTTTCTTTTCTTTTTTTGCTATCGGTTGATCGTGGGGATTTGAAAAATCTGTTTTATATTCCCTTTTATTCACTCTTCTTTCTCGAGTGGGAGTGAGTGAGGGTGCCTGTGGGTGGGAGGGAAAAAAAGAAAAGACAAGAAAAAAAAAGGAAACAATGCAACGTATTGTAGAATCTAACACTCGATTTACCTGTGCTGTTGATTGTGTTGTGAAAAAGAGATGAAGATCGAGGAGTGCGTATGGCTTACCTTTTCTACCTGCCTGTCGGCCTACCATTCGTTCGTTCATTCCTGTACGTCAGCTGGGAAGATCGCGCTCTTTAGGATTTTTCCCTCCTTTCGTCTCCTTTCCCACAGTGTTGATTGTGCTGAATTTCCTTATAGCGATTACGCTAAGACTTGAACTGGTGTGGTTGGTTCTGGACTACCCTGGAAAGGGTAATCGAGTGATATAAAATACAAAAGGGTTAGGTTGCGAACCCTTTTCCATTAGCCCAAGCAATGAACCCATCACGGAAGCTTCCCCTTGGCTCATAAGTTTGGATAATTGGCGGTATTGTGGGCCCGGCTTGCCGCTTGTCGTGGACTGCGTATTCTACTTGTCTTTAAAAGGGTTGTATGCCCAATCTGAGGTAATCATCCACTGTGAGGTCCCGAGGGTTCGTATGTCGGTACGTACTAACCGCCATTAGAATCACATGTTTAGTAGTAGACTATGGCTCAGCCGTGAGGTTGATTCTGCCAATGGTGAAATAAAAGATGATAAGATCCCACCATCATGGCTTATTTTTTACTTTTCTTGGTGCAACGTATGGGATTGGCAGGACTTCGGGGGATGGTATAATTATTTAAAACTTGTATATCTTTTTTTCCTGGTCTGTCACTGTTCTGAGCGGGGATCGGATTACGACATCGTGGATATTTCTTCTTCCCGGAGGGCGGGTTTGGCTTGGTTTGGTTTGGTTCGCCGTTAGGAATTGGACCGAATTGAGTTGGATTAGTATCAGGGGTTTGATTGATTTTCAGTTTCTTCATCCTGTGATCGGTCCGTCTGTTTTGGACGGATGGAGGGGATTGGGCTGCTGAGAGTCATGAGGTATCACTCGATATGTGGTGGGGGTTTGGACGTGGGTTCTCTCGCTAAGCGTATCATAGAATACCGTATCGTATCGTACGGTGTTGGGCTTTTTTTTGGTGCCGTGCCGTGACCTGTGTGTGTGGTGTGCGTGCTGGGAATTTTTGGTCTTGGTCTGCGCTGAGTGCTGAGGTGTGGGGGCCTCGCGATTGATTGACGGAATTGGTAATTGGTGGGCGGAAGGGGTTTATCGATGGGATTCTGAAAAGAGGATTTTAAGGTGGGAGGGGCTAGTCTAGTGGCCGGTGAGAAGGTGGTGCTTGGTTTGTGGTATTCGTTGGCCCAAAGAGTGGGGAGGGGGGGATAAACATGGCATCGGGTATGATGCAATGGTGCTTGCGGAAGCGCTTGGAGTGGGTATAATTATATCATAACGCATTTGATCTTCAGTAACGCAATTTTGGTGTCTTTGACTTCAGGTGGTGGAAGTCCAAACCAACTATCTAGCGGGATAAGCATTTATTCCCAAGATAATATTAGGTAAAATACCTAGCTGGTGCAGTGGTTAATATGTCAAGAACCAATTAACCTCCTGTGCACTTAGCAGGGGCCCAGGAGTTCAATTCCCCTTCATAAAGGGGTTATTATTGAACAAGCCATCACGCGGGGCAGGAGATCCTGCCCTGAGGGGACTGGGAGACTGAAGACCTTAGCCTTCCTCAATAAGGCTGTAGGGCAAATCAGAGTTGCTACGAGGTGGCTGAATCCGACTCTAGACCATACCTCTAGGGGTGAGGTCTGCGATCGGCGGGGTATGATAGCAGAAAAAAAAATAGAGACAAGAACAAGAGAAGGGAAATCTTGGGGTTTTGTTTGGAAAAAGCAACTGCAAATAGCGCTTTCGCCTTTGATCGCCTCGTAAACTTAGGCTTTCTTTTTCTCGAATAAGTCGGATATGAAGGGCTCCTGCTTGTTTAAATAATAAGAGGGCTCAGGGTCGGTGCGGTGCTGTGGTGCGTGCGGCAAAGCACTTCAAGCTTCTGCCAGAAGTTGTCAGAATTGTATTTTTCCAGACACCCGTCCGAGTTTAGAGCAGTGCGAAGTGCGGGGGCTGGAAGGACCAATTTGACCTGCTCACGCTGTATTGCGTGGTTCGTAAAAAAAGGATATTGGCAAACATCAACCAGCACCCTGCCACGCTTTTATAGAGCACGTAATTTTTTGTCACAAGAAATCACTCGTGCCGATTGTTGAGTTTAGTGCTTATCCGTCAAACAAACTAGTTTCCTTTTTAGTTAGTTTCTCCTAGTACTTTCCTCACCACTCTCTTCAACGTTAGTTACTGTTTGAGCCTTTTCTTCATCTCTTCCCTATTCGTTTCACAACCGCACAACCATGCCATATTCAACTATGGTATTCCGAGGTTCTCATATGTTTTTCTTTCCTCACCGAGGTTTCGTCAAATTCTTTCCTCCGAGGTCCTAATGTTACCGACCTCGGGTTTTTGTTATTTCTTTTCTTTCACTTGATAGTTCAGTTAGCATAAAAGCCCACTGCTGCGCAGGTGGTAAGAAAATAAAGCATCTTTTCTCGCCCGCAGTCATATCAATTCACACCGATTGCTGTCCAGTCCTCTTGCCATACTTGCGTCCGTGGTGACGGAGAAAATGCCCCACCCGGGGTTATGATACAGGGGAGTTAAACTGGTACTCGAATCACTCCTCTCTCATACATTGTTGGTGTGGGGCTGCCCGGGTGGAATACGCAGCCCCCTAAAGGTTCCTCCATGTGTGCATCTAGGAGGGCAAGCAAGACAAATGGCTATTTCTATGGGTAAGAGGTTACAACAGCAGCAATAGGGGTCGATATTTATGCACACCCGTTTCTCGAAGGCTTAGTTGCTCCTGATATTCTCCCATGGGCCATTCAGTCCCTCTTCATCCGCCACGAGAATATCCAATTCTTGGCATATCACATTTACCATCCCTCAGCGTGTGTAGATAATATGCGCATTATTATAAGGCGACCGCCCGGGGTCGGACGGGGAAGCCGTGGGTGGGAAAGCAGCGAACCGAACCCCTCCCCCTCCCCGTGGTCAGTTTTCTTGTATCATTGAAATAGAACATACCGGATGAGACATCTCGGAGATGCTTTTTGGACCTCCGGAGGGGGGGGGGGCTATGTACGCTTCACTTACGGTCAGGGTGTAACGGAGGGGGGGGCGATAACTAGGTTTAGGTGGGCACTGGGGGGGACCATCATCAACTATCACTCACACGACATTTGCTGCTGAAAAATAATCCTCTTCCACTCAACTGGGCTTTTTTCTTCTCCCCATGATAGGGGAATGTAATTGGCGGCTGGGTCGTGTTTTTGAAAACGCGGTTGTTGGCCAAAAACCTCCTTTAGTTAGTCAGTCACTTGGGCTGCTACGAAGACAATATAGACGGCTAAAGAATCAAGTTGTGAGAGTGATGTGATCCTAGGCCGAGGGAAACTAAGCGTAGAAAGTGATGAACTGGGTAACCGATAAAGGCGCTACGGGGGGATGGGGGGGCAGACGAGGATATATATAATCTCTGAGCGGCCAATAGACGGAACCAATCACCAGAAGCCCGGGAGGAATAAACAACATCTCCGGAGATAGCAGGATCTCTGCGGAGCCACCGGGAAGGAAAGCGAGTAATCGACTAGGTCAAACAGTCCACGGCCATCCTGCGGACTGTACCTCAAATCCATCCCTTTTCCGAGAGGTCTACCCTCGCTTACTACTCTTCCTTTCCCGCTTATAGATATACCTAGTGTGGGGTGAGGTGGCTACCTCGGTGTGCGGTGGCGGCGATTGCTTTTCTTGCTTGCTTGGATTTTATTGGCATCATGTAACTATAGCAAAAAATGAATGTATGAAAAGTACCACCGGCGTCCTACGGGATCGAACTTGAACCTCCCCCCCCAAAGTCATAGCCATACAGTGTCAAAACAAGCCTAAATGGATAAGAGAAGCCCGACTCCACTCGTGCGCACTGCGGCCCGAAGGCCACCTCAAGCCTGGCACTTCCCCAACTGGTGCACAACCTCCCAATAAAACTTCCCCCCTTCAGCCAACTTGTCTTTTCTCCAGCCATCTTCCCATCGCCTATCTCCAACCGCATTCTCCCATCCGAGACTCGCCTCATGCTTGCTCCCTAGATCACCACTCAAGCAGAGCCTCACAACATTCTCATACATCTTCCCAACTTTTGGTCCGAGCTTGTCGGTCTCGGTGATGCACCTAGCCAGAAACTCCTTTCCCTGGCCGGGACCGAAAGTGCGCAGACGTTTCCATCGCCCGATCTCTAACAGGACGAGGCTAAGGCTAAAGATGTCGTCGGCGGCCGTGAAGCGGCGAGGATTTGCCCTTTGTAGGTCTGGATGACGGTAAATTGCGTTCTCGGTGCTATTCCCTGCCGACCGCTGAATACTCTGGGCGCTGGGGTTGTCGGGGCGTGCATAGTCGAAGCCAACGATGTATGGGTTTTCGTATAACGGACGACTGTTCACGGAGCATTGGAAAAACACGATGTTGGAGCTGCGGATGGACTTGTGCACCCAGCCGGAAGAATGGAATAGTAGAAGACTCTTGGCGAGGTACTCTGCCAGGCGAAATCTCTCGCCGAGGCTGGGAGTGTTGGTCTCCAGAAGTTCATTGAGCGAAATGGGCAGATATTGCTGAATCCCTTTCGGAAGAGCGTTCACGTAGCCGTACCGGAACCTGGCGGCATCATCAAAGTACCCCAGACACGGCAGGATATTCCAATTCTCTGGACGTGCGGTGGATACGTGCAGTTGTCTTGCTAGGTTGTCAGTTCGTTGCGAGATGATCTCAGTCTCTCTGCTGGATGCATCTAGTGCGTAGTGTTTCCACTCTACCATTACCGTATCCGCTCCGTATAGTGCTAGTGATCGCTCGCGGGAGCTCCGCCGAGGGACAAAATCCAAGTCGTTCTTGTTGATGAGCAATTGTTGTGACGGCCGGAAAGTGAGCACTTGTGTGGCGGCACGTTCGAGGAGGATGTTCTGGAGGCGGAAATGCACTATTCTTCCAGCCTCTTCCTGTCCGAGCTCCTTTAGAGCTTTTGCTACGATTCCCAGCTCTTCCGGATCGTCGCTACCGGAGACGAGAGTTGCTGTGGACCAGTCTATGCTCTTCTCCCCGCCTCTCGGGAGTAGTAGCTCTAGGGTGTCGTTGAAACCTTTCAGTTCAATAATCAACCGCTCGATCCTTGACTTATCTCGAATTCCCCAGAGACATTTCGCTAGCAGGGAATTCCGCTTGTTGACTGTAGCAACATATTCATCGTGGCGACCCCGCTCAAATGTCAACCTTTCCACCAGTCCCCAGTCCAGGCTCCTCAGAAATTCTTCACTATCAAGGTCATTCTTCTTCAGGCCATATCTGGTCATCAGGATATCAGTGTCGCGCAGGATTATGGAAATAGCCGTCAAGGTTTCTATAACGATTGTGCGAGTATTTTTGCTGCGCATCAAGAGCGAGCGGTCAAGTTGAGTTGTATCTTCTCTGTTGAAGCCCCAATATTGTCCCCATTCCTCGAGCCGATGCTCCTCAATGCGGAACTTGGTTTGGATGAGTCTGCTATCGGAACCGAGTGCTTTAGCTCGAGAGAAGACCGCGTAGCCCTCAGCGCACATGATGTACAACTGGAAGACTTGGATCGAAAGGGCCGCTACATCCATGGTGAATCGTTATGGTGTTGATTGCGGATTTCTAACGTGGAGCCGTAAAACAGTTAGAAGTAGATAGTATTAGGGGAGTTGCCTCTTCTGTTTGAGGATTATATGATGGTTGAACGTAGCCAACGTGGTATCCTTCTCCCCGCACTGGTGCACCTGGAAGGTGTTGAGGGCGGTGCCGGTGTAACCAAGGCATCAGAGTCTGTCTAAGACATGAGAAACGCCACAAAGCCATGGACTTGGCGGAGGAGATTCTGGGCCCTGGCGATACCTTCGGCATGGATGGACCTCGCCTATTGTGTCCAAAAATCCTGGGGTGGAGGGGTATGGGGCGCAATGCGGTTGGGATTGTTCTGGAGCTGTCCGGATTCGAGTCTGCATGGCACGGTATAAGGGGTACTGTACACGTGTAATACCTGTGCACCGGTATTCTCCACTTCCCGGGCAGAACTGTTGACTATTGGTTGGGAATAGCTGGACTTCAATTGAAGAACTGAGCCAAAGGAATTAATTGTGCGGTACCAGTGCTGGAATACCGTATGCCGATACTGTGCTTCCCGCAACTATGATGCCTCGCTTAGTGCTTCGGCCGGGTACGAGTACAGTATGAGTACAGTACAGTACTGTTCGGTTTCTGTGCGCAAATTTCTAATTACAAGTATGGTGTGATACTCTGATCTAGCATGCTGCTTGAAGAGAAATTACTTCACAGGGAATCACGCAAGAATACTGGTAGTGCTTGCCTTAACCATACTCGGCTAATTAGTCTTCCTCCTTGGCACAGGACAGTAAGCTCGGGTTGGGCCTATTCGGGGTAGATGGTACAGTACGGTACTGTCCGGGGAGTACCGGTATTTGCACACGGGTATCAAAAATACCTCAGGAATGGTACTCTAATGATGCGGTATCGGCGCTGGCATTGTACGAGTAATAATAGTTCTTTGAATATTGTCAGGGGCCACAGTGGAGCACGGTAGGGCACGGCTCTCGGGCACTGTGCTCGAATAAGGCAAGGCCACAAAAACAAACTGCAGGCACTCCCAATCTCATCCAGGACCTCCCCCCACCTGCTATCAAATCAGCATCGAACAAAGCCAATTCCCAGCCTTAGACAATGTGAACAGCCTCTCTCAATCCGCTTCTGTTGGTGGCGTGGAGCGCAGCGCCCCCCGCTCTACCTGGTACAGTATTAGCCTATGAACCGTGGTTGGGGAAAAACCCATCATCAGTCTGTATTGCACTGTCGCTTTACCCTTCTACCGTGCTTTAGATTGGGTTATCAAATCGCAAATTCCCGGCCATACGGTAACGGGTCCAAGAACTACTTTTAACTGCTTCATATACACGCACTGCATCTTTCCTTTTCCCAAATCTTTTTCTCTAGCTACTGAGGCCACCCGCGTTATCTCATCACATACACGCGCTACGATGTCGAGACTTACGGAGAGCGAGACCGCGAGCAGGCTACCTTGGCTGGATATGGCTAGGGATCAACCTTCCTCCTCATCCTCCGATAGCTCCTCATCGGAATCCTCGGGTTCGGGAGGGACCGTTCTTGCGGGCGGCGACAGCACGGGAATTACGGTCCCGCAGACTCTGGTGCAGAGTTATGAACGGCCACTAGACTTCCTTCACTTGCTCTCGCTTGTACGTAGGGTGTGGCCAAAAAATGACGAATTTCATACTTATGGGAACATATCATTGGCTGGGCTCGACACCTTGGGTGCGGGCTTGTCGTTCAAAGTTTCGCTACATCCGGTTCGAGAGACGTTTCGGGACTTTATCAATGGGCGTGCGGGATACGATATTGGTGACAAGCTTGTAGTGAAGGGATTGAAGTTTGTTGACGATTATAATAATGATGTCACGAAGGAGAAGTTGTATGATGCTTCTCTGAGGGAGATACGGGCCCTTACGCATCCGCCGTTGCGATCTCATCCGAACATAATCATGCTTTTGGGCGTTCAGTGGGAGCCAGACCTTAACCACCACGATGTCGCCTGGCCACTGCTTGTGCTGGAGTACTCCGAAGAGGGCACGCTGAGAGACTACCAGATGGAAAAGCCAGAGATGGAGTTTTTGGAGAAAATGCAACTCTGTGAAGACGTTGGAAGGGCATTATTGGCTATTCATGGAAGTGGTATAGTGCATGGAGATGTAAAGAGTGAGAATATACTCGTTTTCTGGTCGGCGGAGAAGGGAAGGATGGTTGGAAAGGTTGGGGACTTTGGATCTTCGGTCTTGGATTTCAGGGAGGACGGGCGCAGGGGTTTACCGGCGCATACGATTCCCTGGAATGCCCCCGAATATGACGAGGATATCCCGAGAGACCATCTGAAATTCACGGATGTCTATAGTTTCGGGATGCTAATTTTTCGCGTCATGCTTGGAGGCATCAATCCGTTCAAGATCGCCCCGTTCAAGTCCGACGACGTAGATATTGAGCTACGATCGCAAGAACTTAAGAGAGACCCCGAATTTCTATCACTAGTGGCGATGATGTTATGCGAGCGCTGCGATGCCTCGGAAGCCGATGCCGTTTGCGAGGTTCTGGAATTCACTTTACAATACCTACCAGCACAGCGGGATCTTGAGAAAGCCGTGATCGGGCTTTGTCGGCTTACAGGGAATGCCGAGAGTATCCCTCCAGTCACCCTCTTGGAGGAATTTGATTATGAAGATGTCAGTCTTACCTATACCCTACCAGTCTGCAGTAGGCTAACCTCACTAGATCGTTTTTGATGCTAACTGCATGAAAGAGGATAGTTTTTGTGTGCGAGCTTCCGTCATTCATGCTCTAGAAGCTGTTGCATCCAGTGATTCGGCACACGCACATCAGGCCAGTTTCCAGTTATTCCAATTACTTCTCGGCCGTTATGGCGAAGGCGTTACTAGTGCCTCGGAAATGGCAATAGTGTGGTTATCACATTACGCGGATAGTGGGGGATATGATGGGATAGGACACTTGGTCGGTCGAATTTTTGATGCTTTAGGTGCTCAGCTTGATGATGAGATTCCATTCCAAGCCTTACTACGACAGGGGGCATTAAAGGGATCGCATACAGCATTTGAGGATCTAAAGGAGTACTACCCCGATGCTTACGATGAGACTCTTGCGCTATTCCGTGAATGTGGAGGAGCTATGGGCATGACGCAGCAGTCTGCGTTGTTCCCGTGGGTAGATGTAAGCAGTCTGCAAGGAATAGCAGACGCAATCGAGGAGTCGTCTGGTGTTGAGTTGTGCGATATTCGCGTTACAGAAGACCAGGATACCTTGTTGCATTGTGCTGCTCGATCAGGTTATCTGGAAGTGGTTCAATGTCTCATAAGCATGGGCATGGACGTCAATATTATCAATGGCCTAGGGGAGACTCCTTTGCTAGCAGCCAGTAGGGCAGGGCATTACGAGGTCTCTGGGTATCTCATGGAAGCGGGAGCCGGGGCAGACAAAACGAGCATTTTCGGGGAAGGCCCGATCCATTTCTTGCCGTTTTTCGATGATCAACATATCGACTCCATTTCTGAGTTGATGGTCCAAAACGGCGCAGACGTAAATGAATTGTCAAAGGCAAATCCACGGGTGGGCGAGCACGGGTTTTTGGGTCACTCTCCGTTGCATTACGCAGTCGTGAGAAATCATATAGCTAGCATTAGGGCTCTTCTCCGACTCGGGGCTGATCCTTATGCCAAAACTGAGGATGGATCGGCCATTCGTTGGGCGTGCTTGCTTTGCCGTGCCGAGGCGCTAGATATGATGGTAGCGGCATCAAGTCGTAGGCTTTCATCGGAAGACTCCAGGCCCGAGCCGCTAGCAGAAGCTGTTCTTGGTCCCGCAAACCGTCTAGAAAATATTAAAGAACATGGAGGAAACCATGAGAATGCTAAGATAGCCACTCTTAAAGTTCTGGATAAATACAAAGCTATCAATTACAAAGATATGAATGACTGCGGACAGCATACAGTCCTCCACTATGCTGTCCTGGCAGGTTACCCAACGGTAGTGAACTACCTTCTAGCCCACACACCTTCGAAGCAACATCTTGATATTGGCTATTTTGGTAAAACCCCATTAATGGAGGCCATCTATATGGGATACAGAGACGTCTTCGAAGCGCTTCTTTGCCATGGGGCCGACGTACACTTACCACTTGCGGCTACCTGGCGTTGTGCAAGCTATCTTCACGTTTGTGCGTTTGCGGGTCATCGAGATCTATTCTTTCCGGAACAGCTATTGAAGCATGGAGCGCTAGTTGATCAGTTGGATGAAGCAGGGCGAACACCATTTGCTTTAGCCGTCATTGAAGGCAACTACCCGGTTGCCGATCTTCTCCTTCAGCACGGTGCGGATCGGGACTACGTCTACGAGGGCTTTACTGCCTTGGCCCGATTCTTGGAAATTCCTCTGCCACTAAAGGGTGTAAAATATTTGATGACATGCAAGTCAAACCCCGAAAGGCCTCCTCCGTCATTCATCTGCTCTCCGCGCTCCGGCAGGAATGTTTTCCATGCAATTGCTGCGGCTGGTACGGACGCGGAAAAGGCCTCTGTAGAAATGAAGGGTATCTTCCGATATCTTCAAGAACTATGGCCGGGAGGAGAACATATAAACGCCTGCGACAGAACGGGCATTCCACCATTAGGGGTTGCAGTGGCACACCCTAAGGTAGACCTTATTAATATGATGATTGCAGCAGGCGCAGACGCGGATTTGGGCCCACTGCCGCCGCTGTATTTTGCATTGTTGAAACAGAATTGGGCCAATGAACAAATCAGAAAGGTCGGCGGAAGGTGGATGACTAGGCGGACTAAGAAGATAGCTGATAAAGTCGTCGCGATTCTTAAGGGGGCCGGTGCGAGGGTAGATATAGATCCCCGTACCGGTCTTCCCAAAACGTTTGACGTGGGTGGAGTATTACGGAGAATGACAGCGGAGGTGTGCTCGCCGTGTTCGATTAAATGGCCATTTAGCTCACTGTTTGATAGGATTTCGAGACGGGTTATAAGATGTTATTGGATGGGTTTAGGGATAGTGAGGCTGGTGTCACTGAAAGATATGGCCGGGAGGCGAATGGACGGAAGGCGTGGGAGTATTCTATGACTTTATCTGACAGTATTCCAGCTAGACGGGCCCTTCCGCTCCTATTAAGAGAGCTGGCTAGCCGAGCCGGTGCTACGGTAATCATGGCGATTGAGTTTTCGGCTGAAAATATGCTAAATTTATTCAGACTTTTTCGGTCCAAACCGCTGAAACCTCGGGTAGAAACTGGCCCCAAAACACGCCGCCGAGCGCACAAGAAAACACGCAATTGAACCAGAGAGAAGGGAGTGACAGGCGGAAGGGGCAGTTCATGAAGGTTTCTGGAATGACAGTGGACAGTACTAATGGCGCACGGCTGCCGGAAGCCGGATCTGAGGCGTCGCGGCCAGATGGCCCAGAGAAACCCGTTAATCCGGGAAGTGGTATATCGCAATCATCCTCGTCAGGCAGTGACTCGCTACTACCACATTCGAGAGGGCTGGAGACATCTACCGATGCATGGTCTCCTTCAAACAGTTCCTCGTCAGTGCTTGCACATAGACCACCGCCAAGAAAGCCAGGGTCGTCTCCTGGAGCGCGGCGCGATATATCACGATCATTCCCTTCAAATGTAACTTCGACGGAGCAACCTTACCGGAAGCAGCCTAGGCACTCAATTAGTTCCCGTGCGCGCGGATCGCCGCCTCCTTCGTTACTCGATACCCCTGTGCCAAGTTTGGTTTCCCCAAGCTCCCTAGATATCTTCTCACCTACCCATAGAGGTATCTCCCAGTTGTCGCCACCAATGACCTCTCCTATACCAAGAAATAATAGCCAACCACCCTCACAGCCCGCCCCGGTGCCACGTTATTCCCCAAGTGGGGCCCCCTCATCATCGTCGGTGCCTGGAGGCGTGACCATGCCTACTGTCATCCGGGAGACACGATCTGCCCTAGAAGCATCTCCATCACAAGCTTTACCCCAACCCCTCTCCCCTCGCCAAGGCATCTCCCAGCTCTCACCTTCCTTTCAGCAAACCCCACGGGCGCCTCACCGGAGCTCTTCTTCCTTCCCCCAACACATCCCCTGGACTATTCCCCACCAAAAGCCTCCCCATGAAATCCTTGAGTCCCTCCGCCCCGCCATACTCCCATTGCTCACCGCTTTGGTAGATTCCCGCCGCAGCGATGCCATCCCACGAAGCAATCTAAAGATTTGCCTAGAGAGCCATCTTTGCATGCCAAATCTTATAGACCTCAAGTGGGATCCTGCTGCCCCATTGGGTAGCAGTTCAGTGAAAGAGCTTCAATCAGGAGTCAATAGGATGCTGAGGGGGTTTTCAATTGTTATAAATTTGAAACTTAGGGTCGAGATGGGTGGGGAACGCGGGACGAGGACCATGCTCAGGGTCTTGATTGACGAAGATGGAGGTATTACGGGTGGTGATGGATGGTTAAGGACCGAGGGGGCGGGATGGGAGGATTTGGAGAGAATTGAGGCAGGAATAATGTTTCCTCAGGAGACTTGAGCGAGTCAATGGAGACAGTCTATTTTGGGTGTGGTGGAGTGTGATTGATGGGCAGTGATGAGTACCGTAGTTAGGACATGGTTTTGCTGGGTTGTCGGGTTTGTTTCCGGTAGCAATGTTATTACCATTGTCAATGATAAAACTGGAGAGCCCTCTTCTTTGCTTGGCACTGATTAAAGTGTGCCTCATGTTCGCCTGATTCATGACAGTTGATCAGATCAGGGGCGGGTGTAGACCGAACTCCGGCACCATGGTTCAATCGAACCTTTCACAGAGTGTTTCCCATCTGGGCAATTGAGACTTATATCCATCTTGAATCAGATGCGGTTAGCCGCTCTTCCGCTAAAAGTATTTTTATGAGTGCTAGTTCTAGGAATCGATGTGAGGTTTTCTAGAAATTGACATGCATACGAAGTAGCTATTTCTATTGAGCCACACCAACTCAGCTGCCCAAGGCCAAGCTAAATTTACAAGCACAAACTGCATGCACTGCCGATCTCATCCACGACATCCCCCACCCACTGTCAAATGCTCATCCAGCAAAGCAAATTCTCAGCCTTAGACAATGTGAACGCCATCTTTCCAACCGCTTCTGTTGGTGGCACGGAGCGCAGTGACCCTCTCACTCTATTATCCTATGAACCGTAGCTGGGGAAAAACAAATCATCATCTGTATTGTATAGTCGCTTTTACCCTTCTACTTGTACCGTGCCTTAAATTGGGTTATCAAATCCCGAATTCTCGCCCACACGGTAATGCTGCCCAAAAATTAGTTTTAACTGCTTCATATACACACTCTGCGTCTTTCATTTCCCCAGATCCTTTTCTCTACCTGCCAGGGCTACCCGCGTTACCACATAACATACATGCGCTACGATGTCGAGACCTACGGAGAGCGAGATAGCGAGTAGACTACCTTGGTCGGAAATGGCTAGGGATCGAACTTCCTCCTCACCCTCCGATAGCTCCTCATCGGAATCCCCGGGTTCGGGAGGGACCCTTCTTGCAGGCGGCGGCGGCGCGGGAATTACGGTCCCGCAGACTCTGGTGCAGGGCTATGAACGGCCACTAGACTTCCTTCACTTGCTCTCGCTTGTACGTAGGGTGTGGCCAAAAAACGACGAACTTCGTACTTATCGCCCCGTATCGGTGGGGCTCAACACTTTGGGTGCGGGCTTGTCATTCCAAGTTTCGCTATATCCGCTTGGAGCGAGGTCTCGGGACTTTCTCAATAGGCGCGTGGGATACGATATTGGTGACAAGTTTGTGGTGAAGGGATTGAAGTTTGTTGACGATTATAACAATGACATCGCGAAGGACAAGTTGTATGATGCTTGCCTGAGGGAGATACGGGCCCTTACGCATCCGCCGTTGCGATCTCATCCGAACATAATCACGCTTTTGGGCGTTGCGTGGGAGCCAGAGCTTAACCACCACGACGTTGCCTGGCCATTACTTGTGTTAGAGTACTCCGAAGAGGGCACGCTGAGAGACTACCAGACGGGAAAGCCAGAGATGGAGTTTTTGGAGAAAATGCAACTCTGCGAAGACGTTGGAAGGGCATTATTGGCTATTCATGGAAGTGGTATAGTGCATGGAGATGTAAAGAGTGAGAATATACTCGTTTTCTGGTCGGTGGAGAAGGGAAGGATGGTCGGAAAGGTTGGGGACTTTGGATCTTCGGTCTTGGATTTCAGGGAGGACGGGCGCAGGGGGTTACGGGCACATACGATTCCCTGGAATGCCCCTGAATATGACGAGGATATCCCGAGGGAACACCTGAAATTCACGGATGTTTATAGTTTCGGGATGCTAATTTTTCGCGTCATGCTTGGAGGCATCAATCCGTTCAAGATCGCCCCGTTCAAGTCTGGCGACGTGGATATTGAGCTACGATCGCAAGAACTTAAGAGAGACCCCGAATTTCTATCACTAGTGGCAGTGATGTTATACGAGCGCTGCGATGCCTCGGAAGCTGATACTGTTTGCGAGGTTCTGGAATTCACTTTACAATACCTACCAACACGGCGGAATCTTGAAAAAGCCGTCATCGAGCTTTGCCGGCTTACAGGGAATTCCGAGAATATACCTCCCGTCACTCTGTTAGAAGAATTTGATTACGAAGATGTCAGTCTTACCTTCGCCGTATTAGTTTATAGTAGGCTAGCTAACCTTACTAGATCGTTTTTGACGCTCACTGCTTGAAAGAGGATAATTTTTGCGTGCGGGCTTCCGTCATTCATGCTCTAGAAGCTGTTGCGTCCAGTAACTCGGTACATGCACATCGGGCCAGTTTCCAGCTGTTCCACTTATTTCTTAATCGTTATGGCGAAGGCATTACTGGTGCCTCAGAAATGACGCTGGTATGGCTATTGCGTTACATGGATAGTGGGGGATATGATAGGTTAGGACATTTGGTCGCTCGAATCTTTGATGCATTGGGTGCTCAGCTTGATAAAGAGATTCCATTGCAAGCCTTACTGCGACAGGGGGCATTAAAAGGATCGCATACAGCGTTTGAAGATCTAAAGAAGTACTACCCCGACACGTATGATGAGACTCTTGCACTATTCCGTGAACGTGGGGGGGCTATGGGCGTGTCGCAGCGGTCTGCATTGTTCCGGCGGGTAGATGTAAGGAGTCTGGGTGGAATAGCTGATGCAATCGGGAACTCGCCTGGTGTCGAGCTGTGTAATATTCACGTCACAGAAGACCAGGATACATTGTTGCATTGTGCTGCTCGATCAGGTTATCTGGAAGTGGTTCAATGTCTCATAAGCATGGGCATAGACGTCAATGTTCTTAACCGCCTTGGGGAGACTCCTTTGCTAGCAGCCAGTAGGGCAGGGCATTATGAAATCTCTAGGTGTCTTATAGAGGCGGGAGCTAGGGCGGACAAAACGAGCATTTTCGGGGAAGGCCCGATCCATTTCTTACCGTTTTTCGACGATCAACATATCGACTCCGTTTCTGAGTTGATGGTCAGAAACGGCGCAGACGTAGATGAGTGGGCAACGGAAAACCCACGGGCGGCTGAGCACGGATTTTGGGGCCACTCCCCGTTGCATTACGCAGTCGCGAGAAATCACATAGCTAGCATTAGGGCTCTTCTCCGACTCGGTGCTGATCCTTATGCCAAGGATGAGGGTTTTAGATCGGCCATTCGTTGGGCATGCTTGCTTTGCCGTGCCGAGGCACTAGAGATGATGGTAGCGGTATCAAGTCGTAGGCTTTCATCGGACGACTCTGAGCCCAGCCCGCTAGCAGAAGCTGTCCTTGGTCCTGCAAGCCGTCTGGACAATATTGGAGAACATGGACGAAACTATGAGAATGCCAAGATAGCCACTCTTAAAGTTCTGGATAAATACAAAGCTATCGATTACGGGAATATGTACGGCTCTGCATCTCTTACAATACTCCACTATACTGTTCTGGCAGGTTACCCAATGGTAGTGAACTACCTCCTAACCCACACACCCTCAAAGCAACATCTTGATGTTGACCTTGAAGGCAAAACCCCACTGACGGTGGCGATCCGCATGGGGTACAGGGACGTCTTCGAAGTTCTACTTCGTCATGGGGCAGACATACACTTAACACCTGCGGCTACTCGGGGTCGTGCAAGCTATCTTCACGTCTGTGCGATTGCGGGTCACCGGGATGTGTTCTTTCCGGAACAACTACTAAAGCATGGAGCGCTGGTAGATCGGATGGATGAAAGAGCGCGAACACCATTTGCTTTAGCCGTCACTGACGGCAACTACCCGGTTGCTGATCTTCTCCTTCAACACGGCGCAGATCGGGACTATGTTTGGGAGGGCTATACTCTCTTGGCCCGGTTTCTAATGATTCCTCTACCACTGAAGAGTATAAAATATATGATGACATGCAAGTCAAACCCGGAAAGGCCTCCTCCGTCATTCATCTGCTCTCCGCGCTTGGGTGGGAGTGTTTTCCATGCAATTGCTGCGGATGGTACGGACGCGGAAAAGGCCTCTGTAGAAGCGAAGGGTGTCTTCCGATATCTGCAAGAACTATGGCCGGGGGAAGAACATATAAATGCTTGTGACAGAATGGGCGTCTCCCCATTAGGGATTTCAGTGGCACGCTCTAAGGTAGACCTTATTAATATGATGATTGCGGCAGGCGCAGACCCAAACTTGGGCCCACTGCCGCCCCTATATTGTGCGTTGGTAAATCAAAAATGGGCTAATGAACAGATCGGAAGGGTCGCCGGAGGGTGGATGACTAGACGTACTAAGAAGATAGCTGATAACGTCGTCGCGATTCTTAAGGAGGCCGGCGCGTGGGTAGATATAGATCCCCATACCGGTTTTCCCAAAACGTTTGGCATGGAGGAAGTATTACGGAGAATGCCAGCGGAGGTGTGCTCGCCATATTCAATTGAATGGCCATTTAACTCACTGTTTGGTAGGATTTCGAGATGTGTTATAAGATGTTATTGGATGGGTCTAGGGATAGTGAGGCTGGTGTCACTGAAAGATATGGCCGGGAGGCAAATGGACGGAAGGCCAGGGAGTATTCTATGGCTTTACCTGCCACTAATCCAGCTAGACGAGCCCTTCCGCTCCTATTAGGAGAACTGGCTAGCCGACCCGGCGCTACGGTAATCATGGCGATTGAGTTTTCGGCTGAAAATATGCTAAATTTATTCAGGCTTTGTCGGACCAAGCTGCTAAAACTTCGGATAGAAACTGGCCCCAAAACACGGCGCCGAGCGCACAGGAAAACGCGCAATTGAACCAGAGAGAAGGGAGTGAGAGGCGGAAGGAGCAGTCCAGGAAGGCTCCTGGAACGGCATTGGACAGTACTAATGGCTCACAGCTACCGAAAGCAAGATCCAGGGCGTCGCAGTCAAGTGGCCCAGAGAAGTCCTTTAATCCGGGAAGTGGTATATCGCAATTATCCTCGTTGGGCAGTAACTCGCTACTACCACCTTCAAGAGAGTTGGAGACATCTACCGATGCATGGTCTCCTTCAAATAGTTCCTCGTCAGTGCTCGCATATAGACCACCTCCAAGAAAGCCAGGGTTATCTCTTGGAGCACGGCGCGATATATCACGATCATTCCTTTCAAATGTAGCCCCGACGGAGCTACCTTACCGGCAACATCCTAGGCACTCAATTAGTTCTCGCGCATCCAGATCGCCGCCTCCTTCATTACTTAATACCCCTGTACTAAGTTCGCTTTCCCCAAGCTCCCCAGATATCTTCTCACCTACCCATAGAGGTATCTCCCAGTTGTCGCCATCAATGGCCACTCCTGACCCGGGAAATAATTGCCCGCCACCCTCACAGCCCGTCCCGGTGCCACTGCACTCCCCGAGTGAGGCCTCTTCCTCATCGTCGGTGTCTGGAAGCATGACCATGCCTACTGTCATCCGGGAGACACGATCTGCCCTAGCAGCATCTTCATCACAAGCTTTATCCCAACCCCTCTCCCCTCACCGGGGCATCTCCCAGCTCTCACCTTCCTTTCAGCAAACCCCGCACACTCCTCACCGGAGCTCTTCTTCCTTCTGCCAATACATCCCCCGGACTATCCCCCACCAAAAGCCTCCACATGAAATCCTTGAGTCCCTCCGCCCCGCCATACTCCCATTGATCACCGCTTTGGTAGATTCCTGCCGCAGCGATGCCATCCCACGACGCAATTTAAAGATTTGCCTAGAGAGCCATCTTTGTGTGCCAAATCTTATAGACCTCAAGTGGGACCCTGCCGCCCCATTGGGTAGTAGTTCAGTAAAAGAGCTTCAATCAGGAGTCAATAAGATGCTGAGGGGGTTTTCAATTGTTATAAATTTGAAACTTAGGGTCGAGATGTGTGGGGAACGTGGGACGAGGACCATGCTCAGGGTCTTGATTGACGAAGATGGAGGTATTACGGGTGACGATGGATGGTTAAGGACCGAGGGGGCGGGATGGGAGGATTTGGAGAGAATTGAGGCAGGAATAATGTTTCCTCAGGAGACTTGAGCGAGTCAATGGAGACAGTCTATTTTGGGTGTGGTGGAGTGTGATTGATGAACAGCGATGAGTACCGTAGTTAGGACATGGTTTTGCCGAGTTGTCGGGGTTTGTTTCCGGTAGTAATGTTATCACCAATGTCAATGATAAAACTGGAGAGCCCTCTTCTTTGCTTGGCACTAAAGTGTGCCTCATGTTCGCCTGATTCGCGACGGTTGATCAGCTCAGGGGTGGGTGCAGACCGAACTCTGGCACTATGGTTCAATCGAGCCTCTCACAGGGTGTCTCCCATCCGGGAAATCGAGACCTATATCCATCCCGAATTAGATGCGGTTAGCTATTCTTCTGCTAAAAGGATTTTTATGAGTGCTAGGAATTAGAGAGTTTGCGCAGTGAAACCTAGGTGATGTTGGTATAAGTTAAAAACAAGACTTGGCCACCTAGTTCTTTAGTCCCACCTGGTCAAGGTCTAAAAACCCAAAAATCGGACCTGGGATTGAGGACCACAAATGCCCACTCCCACTGCACTTTTATGCCTCTATTTAGGTATGATTTTGTGGCTATTCTTCTCAAGGACAATCCTGACAAGAGCAGCTTCAAGAAAGTTAAGAATTGGCTAGTGTATTGACCACTAAAATGGATGGAGTTTAAGAAGCTCAACGATTGTCGGGAGTCTGATAGGGTGTTGATCGAAGTGGCAACCCCTAGCAACATTGTTAATAACTCCCACCTAGGTCTAACTTATCTGCAAAAACTCTCTATTGATTTGAAGTTTTCAAGAAACTGACGTGCACGGCTGTTTCTATTGAGCCACACCAGCTCAACTGCCCAAGGCCAAGCTAAATTTACAAGCATAAGCTGCATGCACTGCCCCTCTCATCCATGTGATCCCCCCACCCACTGTCAAATCATCATCGAGCGACGCAAATTGTCAGCCTTAGACGGTGTGAATGCTCTCTCTCAAACCGCTTCTGTTGGTGGTACGGAGCGCAGCGCTCCTCCCACTCTATTATGCTATAAACCGTAGCTGGGGAAAAGCCCCTCATCATCTGTATTGCACCGTCGCCTTTACCCTTTTACCGTGCCTTAAATTGGGTTATCAAATCCCAAATTCTCGCCCACACGGTAGTGCGGTCCAAAAAATTACTTTCAACTGCTTCATATACACACTGTGCGTCTCTCATTTCCCCAGATCCTTTCTCTGGCTGCCAGGGCCACCCGCGTTATCACATAACATACATGCGCTGCGATGTCGAGACCTACGGAGAGCGAGACCGCGAGCAGACTACCTTGGTCGGAAATGGCTAGGGATCAAACTTCCTCCTCACCCCCCGATAGCCCTCCGCCAGGGTACACGGGTTTGGGAGGGACCATACTTGCGGGCGGCAGCGGCACGGGAATTACGGTCCCGCAGGCTCTGGTGCAGGGCTATGAACGGCCACTAGACTTCCTTCACTTGTTCTCGTTTGTACGTAGGGTGTTGCCAGAAACCGATGACTTTCGTTATTATCACAACATGTCGTCGGGACAGCTCGATACTTTGGGTGCGGGCTTGTCATTCCAAGTTTCGCTACATCAGCTTGAAGCGTGCTTGCGGGACTCCCTCAATGAGCGTGCGGGATACGATGTTGGTGATAAGTTTGTAGCGAAGGGATTGAGATTTGTTGACGATTATAATAATAATGTCACGAAGGAGAAGTTGTATGATGCTTCTCTGAGGGAGATACGGGCCCTTACGCATCCGCCGTTGCGATCTCATCCGAACATAATCACGCTTTTGAGCGTTCAGTGGCAGCCAGACCTTAACCACCACGATGTCGCCTGGCCACTGCTTATGCTGGAGTATTCTGAAGAGGGCACACTGAGAGACTACCAGATGGAAAAGCCAGAGATGGAGTTTTTGGAGAAAATGCAGCTCTGTGAAGACGTTGGAAGGGCATTATTGGCTATTCATGGAAGTGGTATAGTGCATGGAGATGTAAAGAGTGAGAATATACTCGTTTTCTGGTCGGCGGAGAAGGGAAGGATGGTCGGAAAGGTTGGGGACTTTGGATCTTCGGTCTTGGATTTCAGGGAGGACGGCGCAGGGGTTTACCGGCGCATACGATTCCCTGGAATGCCCCCGAATATGACGAGGATATCCCGAGGGAACACCTGAAATTCACGGATGTCTATAGTTTCGGGATGCTAATTTTTCGCGTCATGCTTGGAGGCATCAATCCGTTCAAGATCGCCCCGTTCAAGTCTGACGACGTAGATATTGAGCTACGATCGCAAGAACTTAAGAAAGACCCCGAATTTCTATCACTAGTGGCGATGATGTTATGCGAGCACTGCGATGCCTCGGAAGCCGATGGCGTTTGCGAGGTTCTGGGATTCACTTTACAGCATCTACCAGCACAGCGGGATCTTGAGAAAGCCGTGATCGGGCTTTGTCGGCTTACAGGGAATTCCGAGAGTATCCCTCCAGTGGCCCTCTTAGAAGAATTTGATTATGAAGAGGTTAGTCTTACCTATACCCTACCGGTATGCCGTAGGCTAACCTCACTAGCTCGTTTTTGATGCCGACTGCATGATATTGGATGCTTTTTGTGTGCGGGCTTCCGTCATTCATGCTCTGGGAGCCGTTTCGTGCAGTGACTCGGCACACGCGCATAAGGCCAATTTCCTGCTATTCCAGTTACTTCTTAATCGCTATGGCGAAGGTGTTCCTGGTGCCTCGGAAATGACGCTAGTATGGCTATTACGTTACATGAATAGTGGGGGATATGATCAGACAGGGCACTTTGTCGCTCGAATCTTTGATGCTTTGGGTGTTCAGCATGATAAAGAGATTCCATTGCAAGCCTTACTGCGACAGGGGGCATTAAAAGGATCGCATACAGCGTTTGAAGATCTAAAGAAGTACTACCCCGATGCTTATGATGAGACTCTTGCGCTATTCCGTGAATGTGGAGGAGCTATGCGCATGACGCAGCGGTCTGCGTTGTTCCCGTGGGTAGATACAAGCAGTTTTGAAGGAATAACGGATGCAATCGAGGAGTCGCCTGGTGTTGAATTGTGCGATATTCATGTCACAGAAAACCAGGATACATTGCTGCATTGTGCTGCTCGATCAGGCTATCTGCGAGTGGTTCAAGGTCTCATAAGCATGGGCATGGAGGTCAATGTTGTCAACTACCTAGGGGAGACTCCTTTGCTAGCAGCCAGCAGGGCGGGGCATTACGAGGTCTCCCGGTATCTCATGGAAGCGGGAGCCGGGGCAGACAAAACGAGCATTTTCGGGAAAGGCCCGATCCATTTCTTACCGTTTTTCGACGATCAACATGTCGACTCTGTTTCTAAGTTGATGGTCAGAAACGGCGCAGTCGTAGATAAGCGGGCAACGGAAAACCCACGGGCGGCCGAGCACGGATTTTGGGTCCACTCCCCATTCTCCCCATTGCATTACGCAGTCATGAGAAACCACCTAGCTAGCATCAGGGCTCTTCTCCGACTCGGGGCTGATCCTTATGCCAAAGATAAGGGTAGATCGGCTATCCGTTGGGCATGCTTGCTTTGCCACGCCGAGGCACTAGATATGATGGTAGCGGCATCAAGTCGTATGCTTTCATCGGAAAACTCTGAGCCCGGCTCGCTAGCAGAAGGTGTCCTTAATCCTAAAAACCGTCTAGAAAATATTAAAGAATATGGAGGAAACTATGAGAATGCCAAGATAGCTACTCTTAAAGTTCTGGATAAATACAAAGCTATCAATTACAGGGATATTAACGACAGTGGGAAGCATACAGTACTCCTTCGTGCTGTTATGGCAGGTTACCCAACTGTAGTGAACTACCTCCTAACCCACACACCCTCGAAGCAACATCTTGATGTTGACTATCTTGGCGAAACCCCACTGACGTTGGCAATCCATATGGGATACAAGGACGTCTTCGAAGTCCTACTTCGTCATGGGGCAGACATACACTTAAGGTGTATGGCTCTCCCGAACGGTGGAAGCTATTTGCACTTCTGTGCGTTTGAGGGTCACCAGGATGTATTCTTTCCGGAACAACTACTAAAGCATGGAGCCCTGGTGGATCAGATTGATGAAAAAAGGGGAACACCATTTACTTGGGCCGTCTTTATAGGCAACTACCCGGTTGCCGATCTTCTCCTTCAACACGGTGCGGATCGGGACGGCGCCTACGAGGGCTATACTCTTTTGGACTTTTTCTTAGCGCGTTCTCTGCCACTAAAGGGTATAAAATATATGATGACATGCAAGTCAAACCCGGAAAGGCCTCCTCCGTCATTCATCTGCGCTCCGCGCTCCGGCGGGAATGTTTTCCATGCGATTGCTGATGCTGGACCAGAAGCAGAGAAGACCGCAGAAACGAAGGCTATCTTCCGATATCTACAAGAACTATGGCCAGGGGAAGAACATATAAATACCTGCAATAGAACGGGCTTATCTCCATTAGAGAAAGCAGTGGCACGCTCTAAGGAAGACCTTGTTAATATGATGATTGCAGCAGGCGCGGACCCAAACTTAGGCTCAATGGGGCCCCTATATCGTGCATTGGGGAAACAAAATTGGGCCAATGAACAAATCAGAAAGGTCGGCGGAAGGTGGATGACTAGACGGACTAAGAAGATAGTTGATAATATCGTCGTGATTCTTAAGGAGGCCGGCGCGAGGGTAGATACATATCCACTTACTGGTTGTCCCAAACCGTTTGACGTGAGTAGGGTGTTCCAGGGAATGACAACGGAGGTATGCTCGCCGTGTCCAATTGAATGGTCATTTAATTCACTATTTGATAGGATTTCGAGATGGGTCATAGGATGATGTTGGCTGGGTTTAGGGATATCGAAGCTGGTGTTACCGGAAGATACGGTCAGGCGGCAGAAGAACGGAGGCCCGCGGAGTCTCTTATGGCTTCACTTGAGAACAATCCAGCTGGACGAGGCATTCTACCCGTAGTACGGGAACTGTTTAGCCAGACCGATGCTACGGTAACCATGGCAATTGAGTTTTTAGCTGGAACTGTGCTAAATTTGTTTAGACTTTTTCGGCCCTGGTTAGAGACTGGCTTCAAAATAGGCTGCCAAGTGGATAGGAAAACACACCCCCGAGAGCACCGGAAAACACTCAATTGAACTGGAGAGAAATGAGTGAGAGGCGGAAGGGGCAGCCCGGAATGGCTCCCGGAATGGCAGCCGGCAGTACTAATGGCACACAGCTACCGAAAGCCAGGTCCGAGGTGTCGCGGTCAAGTAGCCCAAAGAGGTCCGTTAATCCGGGAAGTGGTATATCACAATCATCCTCGTTGGACAGTAACCCGCTACTACCATCTTCAAGAGAGCTGGAGACGTCTACCAATGCATCGTCTCCTTCAAACGGTTCCTCGTCAGCGCTGGCATGTAGACCACCGCCAAGAAAGGTAGGGTCGTCTCCTGGAGCACGGCGCGATATATCACAATCATTCCCTTCAAATGTAACCTCGACGGAGCCACCTTACCGGAAACAGCCTAGGTACTCAATTAGTTCTCGCGCAGGCAGATCGCCGCCTCCTTCATTACTTGATACCCCTGTACCAAGTTCGCTTTCCCCAAGCTCCCCAGATATCTTCTCACCTACCCATAGAGGTATCTCCCAGTTGTCGCCATCAATGGCCACTCCTGCCCCGGGAAATAATTGCCCACCACCCTTACAGCCCGTCCCGGTGCCACTGCACTCCCCGAGTGAGGCCTCTTCCTCATCGTCGGTGTCTGGAAGTATGACCATGGCTACTGTAATCCGGGAGACACGATCTGCCCTAGCAGCATCTTCATCACAAGCTTTATCCCAACCCCTCTCCCCTCACCAAGGCATCTCCCAACTCTCACCGTCCTTTCAGCAAACCCCGCACACTCCTCACCGAAGCTCTTCTTCCTTCCGCCAATACATCCCCTGGACTATCCCCCACCAAAAGCCTCCCCATGAAATCCTCGACTCCCTCCGCCCCGCCATACTCCCATTGCTCACCGCTTTGGTAGATTCCCGCCACAGCAATGCCATCCCACGACGCAATCTAAAGATTTGCCTAGAGAGCCATCTTTGCATGCCAAATCTTATAGACCTCAAGTGGGACCCTGCCGCCCCATTGGGTAGTAGTTCAGTGAAAGAGCTGCAATCAGGAGTCAATAAGATGCTGAGGGGGTTTTCTATTGTTATAAATTTGAAACTTAGGGTCGAGATGTGTGGGGAACGTGGGACGAGGACCATGCTCAGGGTCTTGATTGATGAAGATGGGGGTATTATGGGCGGTGATGGATGGTTAAGGACCGAGGGGGCGGGATGGGAGGATTTGGAGAGAATTGAGGCAGGAATAATGTTTCCTTAGGAGACTTGAGCGAGCCAGTGGAGACAGTCTATTTTGGGTGTGGTGGAGTGTGATTGATGGACAGTGATGAGTACTGTAGTTAGTACATGGTTTTGCTGGGTTGTTGGGGTTTGTTTCCGGTAGTAATGTTATCACCAATGTCAATGATAAAACTGGAGGGCCCTCTTCTTTGCTTGGCACTAGAGTGTGCCTCATGTTTTCCTAACTCGCGACGGTTGATCAGATCAGGGGTGGGTGTAGACCGAACTCTGGCACCATGGTTCAATCGAGCCTCTCACAGGGTATTTCCCATCCAGGAAATCGAGACCTATATCCATCCCGAATTAGATGCGGTTAGCTATTCTTCTGCTAGAAGGATTTTTATGAGTGCTAGGAATTAGAGAGTTTGGGCAGTGAAACCTAGGTGGTGTTTGGTATAAGTTAAAAACAAGACTTGGCCACCTGGTTCTTTAGTCCCACCTGGTCAAGGCGTAAAAACCCAAAAATCGGACCTGGAATTGAGGACCACAAATGCCCACTCCCACTGCACTTTTATGCCGCCATTCAGGTATGATTTTGTGGCTATTCTTCTCAAGGACAATCCTGACAAGAGCAGCTTCAGGAACGTTAAGAATTGGCTAGTGTATTGGCCTCTAAAATGGATGGAGTTTAAGAAGTTCAACCATTGTCGGGAGTCTGATAGGGTGTTGATCGAAGTGGCAACCCCTAGCAACATTGTTAATAACTCCCACCTAGGTCTATCTGCGAAAACTCTCTACCGGTACCTGTGCCAAGGTTGTGACTCCGTCACAACCCCCGATTGTTCGCTTGCCTGCAACCTGGGGCACTCTCAAGAGTGCCTAACGGTTCAACGAAAATAACAGCTCAACGACACTTTCACGCTTAAGGTATTCCATACCGTAGCGAGCGCCCGGCATAGCGAGCCTTCTGCAAGTCTGGGCAACATGATTGGTTGAACGCCGGTTGAGATTGGAATAGTGGCTGGTATTTGGGTGGATGGCTCGCTATGAGTTAATATCATAATATTCGTAGCTAACTACAGGTCATATCCCAAACCATGGTAACCAATGAGGGGGGCTCGCTATGGTGTGGAATACGTTAAACCAAATCAAATTCCCACCACACGAAAATAAAAGTTCTAAAGAGAGGAAAAAAAATAGAAGCCTTATTTGCAAAGACTAAAAACAATGTATGAGAAAGTCAGAAGGGTGTCTAAAGCATCAGAGAATGTTTAGTAGTGGTTTGTAATTCTTAAATTCACATACAAATTGAAAGTGTCGTTGAGCTGTTATTTTCGTTGAGCCGTTAGGCACTCTTGAGAGTGCCCCAGGTTGCGAGCAAGCGAGAAATCGGGGGTCGTGACGGAGTCACAACCTTGGCACGGGTGTTGATTTGAAGTTTTCAAGAAACTGAAATGCACGGCTGTTTCTATTGAGCCACACCAGCTCAGCTGCCCAAGGCCAAGCTAAATTTACAAGCATAAACTGCATGCACTGCTAATCTCATCCATGTGATCCCCCCACTCGCTGTCGAATCATCATCGAGCGAAGCAAATTCTCAACCTTAGACGGTGTGAATGCCCTCTCTCAAACCGCTTCTGTTGGTGGCACGGAGCGCAGCGCTCCTCCCACTCTATTATGCTATAAACCGTAGCTGGGGAAAAGCCCCTCATCATCTGTATTGCACCATCGCTTTTACCCTTCTACCGTGCCTTAAATTGGGTTATCAAATCCCAAATTCTCGCCCACACGGTAATGCTGCCCAAAAATTACTTTTAACTGCTTCATATACACACTCTGCCTCTTTCATTTCCCCAGATCCTTTTCTCTGGCTGCCACCCGCGTTATCACATAAGATACATGCGCTGCAATGTCGAGACCTACGGAGAGCGAGACTGCGAGCAGGCTACCTTGGTCGGAAATGGCTAGGGATCAAACTTCCTCCTCATCCTTCGATAGCCCTCCACCGGAATACCCGGGTTTGGGAGGGACCATTCTTGCGGGCGGCGGCGGCACGGGAATTACGGTCCCGCAGACTCTGGTGCAGGGCTGTGAACGGCCACTAGACTTCCTTCACTTGTTCTCGCTTGTACGTAGGGTGTGGCCAAGAAACGATGAATTTCGTACTTATCGCAGCATGTCGTTGGGACAACTCGATACTTTGGGTGCGGGCTTGTCATTCAAAGTTTTGCTACATCCACTTGAAGCGAGGTTTCGGGACTTTGTCAATGGGCGTGCGGGATACGATGTTGGTGATAAGTTTGTAGTGAAGGGACTGAGGTTTATTGACGATTATAACAATACAATCGCAAAGGACGAGTTGTATCGTGCTTGCCTGAGGGAGATACGGGCTCTTACGCATCCGCCGTTGCGATCTCATCCGAACATAATCACGCTTTTGGGCATTGGGTGGGAGCCAGACCTTAACCACCACTCGCACGATGTCGCCTGGCCACTGCTTGTGCTGGAGTATTCCGAAGAGGGCACGCTGAGAGACTACCAGATGGGAAATCCAGGGATGGAGTTTTTGGAGAAAATGCAGCTCTGTGAAGACGTTGGAAGGGCATTATTGGCTATTCATGGAAGTGGGATAGTGCATGGAGATGTAAAGAGTGAGAATATACTCGTTTTCTGGTCGGCGGAGAAGGGAAGGATGGTCGGAAAGGTTGGGGACTTTGGATCTTCGGTCTTGGATTTCAGGGAGGACGGGCAGGGGGGTTTACTGGCGCATACGATTCCCTGGAATGCCCCCGAATATGACGAGGATATCCCGAGAGACCACCTGAAATTCACGGATGTCTATAGTTTCGGGATGCTAATTTTTCGCGTCATGCTTGGAGGCATCAATCCGTTCAAGATCTCCCCGTTCAAGTCCGGCGACGTAGATATTGAGCTACGATCGCAAGAACTTAAAAAGGACCCCGGATTTCTATCACTGGTGGCAGTGATGTTATGCGAGCGCTGCGATGCCTCGGACGCCAATGCTGTTTGCGAGGTTCTGGAATTCACTTTACAATATCTACCATCACGGCGGGATCTTGAGAAAGCCGTGATCGAGCTTTGCCGGCTTAAAGGGAATTCCGAGAGTATCCCTCCAGTCGCCCCCTTGGAGGAATTTAATTACGAAGATGTTAGTCTCACCTTCGCCCTACCAGTCTGCAGTAGGCTAACCTCACTAGATCGTTTTTGATGCCAACTGCATGACAGAGGATAGTTTTTGTGTGCGAGCTTCCGTCATTCATGCTCTAGAAGCTGTTGCATGCAGTGACTTGGCACACGCGCGTCTGGCCAGGTTCCAACTATTCCAACTACTTCTTAATCGTTATGGGGAAGGAATTACTGGTGCCTGGGAAATGACCCTGGTATGGCTGTCGCATTATGCGGAAAGTGGGGGATATGATGGGATAGGACACCTGGTCGGTCGAATCTTTGATGCTTTGGGTGTTCAGCTTGATGAACGGATCCCGTTGCGGGCCTTACTACGACAGGGCGCATTAAAAGGATCGCATACAGCGTTTGAAGATCTAAAGAAGTACTACCCCGACGCGTATGATGAGACTCTTGCACTATTCCGTGAATGTGGGGGGGCTATGGGCATGTCGCAGCGGTCTGCATTGTTCCGGCGGGTAGATGTAAGGAGTCTGGGTGGAATAGCTAATGCAATCGGGAACTCGCCTGGTGTTGAGCTGTGTAATATTCACGTCACAGAAGACCAGGATACATTGTTGCATTGTGCTGCTCGATCAGGTTATCTGGAAGTGGTTCAATGTCTCATAAGCATGGGCATAGACGTCAATGTTCTTAACCGCCTCGGGGAGACTCCTTTGCTAGCAGCCAGCAGGGCGGGGCATTATGAAATCTCTAGGTGTCTTATAGAGGCGGGAGCCAGGGCGGACAAAACGAGCATTTTCGGGGAAGGCCCGATCCATTTCTTACCCTTTTTCGACGATCAGCATATCGACTCCGTTTCTGAGTTAATGGTCAGAAACGGTGCAGACGTAGATGAGTGGGCAACGGGAAACCCAAGGGCGGGTGAGCAGGGATTTTGGGGCAACGCCCCATTGCATTACGCAGTCGCGAGAAATCACATAGCTAGCATTAGGGCTCTTCTCCGACTCGGTGCTGATCCTTATGCCAAAGATGAGGGTAGATCGGCTATCCGTTGGGCATGCTTGCTTTGCCGTGCCGAGGCACTAGAGATGATGGTAGCGGCATCAAGTCGTATGCTTTCATCGGAAAACTCTGAGCCCGGCTCGCTAGCAGAAGGTGCCCTTGGTCCTGGAAACCGTCTGGAATTTGTTCAGGAACATGGGGGAAACTATGAGAATGCCAAGATAGCCACTCTTAAAGTTCTGGATAAATACAAAGCTATCAATTACAGAGACATGAACGGCAATGGGGAGCATACAGTACTCCTCCGTGCTGTTCTGGCAGGTTACCCAACAGTAGTGAACTACCTCCTAACCCACACACCCTCGAAGCAACATCTTGATGTTGGCTATTGTGGCAAACCCCCACTGACGTTGGCAATCTACATGGGATACAGGGACGTCTTCGAAGTCCTACTTCGTCATGGGGCAGACATACACTTAACACCTACGGCTCCCTGGGTTCGTGGAGGCTATCTTCACGTCTGTGCGTTTGCGGGTCATCGGGATCTATTCTTTCCGGAACAGCTATTGAAGCATGGAGCGCTAGTTGATCAGTTGGATGAAGCAGGGCGAACACCATTTGCTTTAGCCGTCATTGAAGGCAACTACCCGGTTGCTGATCTTCTCCTGCAACACGGTACGGATCGGGACTGCGTCTGCGAGGACGATACTGGCTTGGCCCGGTTCTTAGCATGTCCTGTGTCACTAAAGAGTATAAAATATTTGATGACATGCAAGTGAAAACCCGGAAAGGCCTCCCCCGTCATTCATCTGCTCGCCGAACTCCGGTAGGAATGTTTTCCATGCGATTGCTGATGCTGGACCAGAGGCAGAGAAGACCACAGAAACGAAGGCTATCTTCCGATATCTACAAGAACTATGGCCAGGGGAAGAACATATAAATACCTGCGATAGAATGGGCTACTCTCCATTGGAGAATGCAGTGACACGCTCTAAAGAAGACCTTGTTAATATGATGATTGCAGCAGGCGCGGACCCAAACTTGAGCTCAATGGGGGCCCTATATTTTGCATTGGGGAAACAAAGTTGGGCCAATGAACAAATCAGAAAGGTTGGCGGAAGGTGGCTGACTAGACGGACTAAGAAGATAGCTGATAATATCGTCGCGATTCTTAAGGAGGCCGGCGCGAGGGTAGATATACATCCGCGTACTGGCTGTCCCAAACCGCTCGACGTGAGTAGGGCGTTACGGGGAATGACAATAGAGGTATGCTCGCCGTGTTCAATTGAATGATCATTTAATTCACTATTTGATAGGATTTCGAGAGGGGTCGTAGGAGGATGTTGGCTGGGTTTGGAGATACTGAAGCTGGTGTTACCGGAAGATACGGTCAGGCGGCAAATGAACGGAGGCCCTGGGAGCATTGTATGGCTTCACTTGAGAACAATCCAACTAGACGAGCCATTCTACCCCTAGTAAGGGAACTGGTTAGCCAGAACGACGCTACGGTAATCATGGCAATTGAGTTTTCAGCTGGAACTATGCTAAATTTATTCAGGAATTAGCAGCCTGGCTGAGAAACCCTCCTCGAAACAGGCTGCCAAGTGCACGGGAAATCACGCCGCCAAGCGTATCGGAAAACACCCAATTGAATTGGAGAGAAAGGAGTGAGAGGCAGAAGGGGCAGCCCGGAAAGGCTCCCGGAACGGCATCGGACAGTACTAATGGCACACAGCTACCGAAAGCCAGATCCGAGGCGTCGTGGTCAAGCGGCCCAGAAACGTCCTTTAATCTGGGAAGTGGTATACCGGTATCGCAATCATCCTCGTCAGGCAGTGACTCGCTACTACCACCTTCAAGAGAGTTGGAGACGTCTACCAATACATGGTCTCCTTCAAGCAGTTCCCTGTCAGCGCTGGCATATAGATCGCCGCCTCCTTCATTACTTGATACCCCTGTACCAAGTTCGCTTTCCCCAAGCTCCCCGGATATCCTCTCACCTACCTATAGGGGTATGTCCCAGTTGTCGCCATCAATGACCTCTCCTACACCAAGGAATAATCGCCCGCCACCCTCCCAGCCCGTCTCGGTGCCACGGTGTTCGCCGAGTGAGGCCTCCTCGTCATCGTCGGTGTCTGGGGGCATGACCATGCCTACTGTTATCCGGGAGACGCAATTTGCCCTTCCAGCCTCTCCATCACAAGCTTCACCCCAACCCCTCTCCCCTCTCCAAGGTGTCTCCCAAATTTTACTGTCCTTTCAGCAAACCCCACACGATTGTTACCGGAGCTCTTCTTCCTTCCCCCAATACATCCCCTGGACTATCCCCTACCAAAAGCCTCCCCATGAAATCCTCGACTCCCTCCGCCCCGCCATACTCCCATTGATCACCGCTTTGGTAGATTCCCGCCACAGCAATGCCATCCCACGACGCAATCTAAAGATTTGCCTAGAGAGCCATCTTTGCATGCCAAATCTTATAGACCTCAAGTGGGATCCTACCGCCCCATTGGGTAGTAGTTCAGTAAAAGAGCTGCAATCAGGAGTCAATAAGATGCTGAGGGGGTTTTCAATTGTTATAAATTTGAAACTTAGGGTCGAGATGGGTGGGGAACGTGGGACGAGGACCGTGCTCAGGCTCTTGATTGACGAAGATGGAGGTATTACGGGTGGTGATGGATGGTTAAGGACCGAGGGGGCGGGATGGGAGGATTTGGAGAGAATTGAGGCAGGAATAATGTTTCCTCAGGAGTCTTGAGCGAGTCAATGGAGACAGTCTATTTTGGGTGTGGTGGAGTGTGATTGATGGACAGCGATGAGTACTATGAGGGTGAAAAATGTGTTTGCTTTGTTTTCCTTTTTTTCTCTTAAGCTCTAGGTTTTGTATTGTTGAGTTAGGTTTGTTTGAGCTGTTAGGGTTTGGTTGTAACTGGCCATAGTGGTGTGCTGTGGACTAGAGAGGACCCAAAGGGATTTTTTTCCTTCCTCCCTCTTCAGACAAGAGATGAACCAAACGAAGAAGCTGCGGAGGGGAACTTGAGGAGAAAATGAACAAGACGAAGTCAACAACGAACGCGGAAGCCTGTACCTACACTTGATAATTCTTCTTTGGTTGTTCTTTCGTTTCCTTGCATCAATTGATCTGTACGGACCTAATTTCGGAACTCCTTTTCTTGTGTGAGGTATTGATTACCTGTTTGATTTTGTAAGTGAGTAAATCTTACCCGATCTGTGTGTTTGGTTTTCCGACCCCGATCCGTTCCTTTCAGTACCGTAGTTAGGGCATGGTTTTGCTGGGTTGTCGGGGTTTGTTTCCGGCAGTAATGTTACCACCAATGTCAATGATAAAACTGGAGAGCCCTCTTCTTTGCTTGGCACTGAAGTGTGCCTCATGTTCGCCTGATTCGCGACGGTTGATCAGATCAGGGGTGTGTACAGACCGAACTCTGGCACTATGGTTCAATCGAGCCTCTCACAGGGTATCTCCCATCCGGGAAATCGAGACCTATATCCATCCCGAATTAGATGCGGTTAGCTATTCTTCTGCTAAAAGGATTTTTATGAGTGCTAGGAATTAGAGAGTTTGCGCAGTGAAACCTAGGTGGTGTTTGGTATAGGTTAAAAACAAGACTTGGCCACCTGGTTCTTTAGTCCCACCTGGTCAAGGCGTAAAAACCCAAAAATCGGACCTGGGATTGAGGACCACAAATGCCCACTCCCACTGCACTTTTATGCCTCCATTTAGGTATGATTTTGTGGCTATTCTTCTCAAGGACAATCCTGACAAGAGCAGCTTCAAGAAAGTTAAGAATTGGCTAGTGTATTGACCACTAAAATGGATGGAGTTTAAGAAGCTCAACGATTGTCGGGAGTCTGATAGGGTGTTGATCGAAGTGGCAACCCCTAGCAACATTGTTAATAACTCCCACCTAGGTCTAACTTATCTGCAAAAACTCTCTATTGATTTGAAGTTTTCAAGAAACTGACGTGCACGGCTGTTTCTATTGAGCCACACCAGCTCAACTGCCCAAGGCCAAGCTAAATTTACAAGCATAAGCTGCATGCACTGCCCCTCTCATCCATGTGATCCCCCCACCCACTGTCAAATCATCATCGAGCGACGCAAATTGTCAGCCTTAGACGGTGTGAATGCCCTCTCTCAAACCGCTTCTGTTGGTGGTACGGAGCGCAGCGCTCCTCCCACTCTATTATGCTATAAACCGTAGCTTGGGAAAAGCCCCTCATCTGTATTGCACCATCGCTTTTACCCTTCCACCGTGCCTTAAATTGGGTTATCAAATCCCAAATTCTCGCCCACACGGTAATGCTGCCCAAAAATTACTTTTAACTGCTTCATATACACACTGTGCGTCTCTCATTTCCCCAGATCCTTTTCCTGGCTGCCAGGGCCACCCGTGCTATCACATAAGATACATGCGCTGCGATGTCGAGACCTACGGAGAGCGAGACTGCGAGCAGACTACCTTGGTCGGAAATGGCTAGGGATCAAACTTCCTCCGAACCCCCCGAGAGCCCTCCGCCGGGGTACACGGGTTTGGGAGGTACCATTCTTGCAGGCGGCGGCGGCACGGGAATTACGGTCCCGCAGACTCTGGTGCAGGGCTATGAACGGCCACTAGACTTCCTTCACTTGTTCTCGTTTGTACGTAGGGTGTGGCCAGAAAACGATGAATTTCGTTATAAACACAACATGTGGTCGAGACGGCTCGATACTTTGGGCACGGGCTTGTCATTCAAAGTTTCGCTACATCCGCTTGAAGCGTGCTTGCGGGACTTTTTCAATGAGAGTGTGGGATACGATGTTGGTGATAAGTTTGTAGCGAAGGGATTGAGATTTGTTGACGATTATAATAATAATGTCACGAAGGAGAAGTTGTATGATGCTTCTCTGAGGGAGATACGGGCCCTTACGCATCCGCCGTTGCGATCTCATCCGAACATAATCACGCTTTTGAGCGTTGAGTGGGAGCCAGACCTTAACCACCACGATGTCGCCTGGCCACTGCTTATGCTGGAGTATTCTGAAGAGGGCACACTGAGAGACTACCAGATGGAAAAGCCAGAGATGGAGTTTTTGGAGAAAATGCAACTCTGCGAAGACGTTGGAAGGGCATTATTGGCTATTCATGGAAGTGGGATAGTGCATGGAGATGTAAAGAGTGAGAATATACTCGTTTTCTGGTCGGCGGAGAAGGGAAAGATGGTCGGAAAGGTTGGGGACTTTGGATCTTCGGTCTTGGATTTCAGGGAGGACGGGCGCAGGGGTTTACCGGCACATACGATTCCCTGGAATGCCCCCGAATATGACGAGGATATCCCGAGAGACCATCTGAAATTCACGGATGTCTATAGTTTCGGGATGCTAATTTTTCGCGTCATGCTTGGAGGCATCAATCCGTTCAAGATCGCCCCATTCAAGTCCGACGACGTAGATATTGAGCTACGATCGCAAGAACTTAAGAAAGACCCCGAATTTCTATCACTAGTGGCGATGATGTTATGCGAGCGCTGCGATGCCTCGGAAGCCGATGGCGTTTGCGAGGTTCTGGGATTCACTTTACAGCATCTACCAGCACAGCGGGATCTTGAGAAAGCCGTGATCGGGCTTTGTCGGCTTACAGGGAATTCCGAGAGTATCCCTCCAGTGGCCCTCTTAGAAGAATTTGATTATGAAGAGGTCAGTCTTACCTATACCCTATCGGTATGCCGTAGGCTAACCTCACTAGATCGTTTTTGAAGCCGACTGCATGATATTGGATCCTTTTTGTGTGCGGGCTTCCGTCATTCATGCTCTGGAAGCTGTTTCGTGCAGTGACTCGGCACACGCGCATAAGGCCAATTTCCTGCTATTCCAGCTACTTCTTAATCGCTATGGCGAAGGTGTTCCTGGTGCCTCGGAAATGACGCTGGTATGGCTATTACATTACATGAATAGTGAGGGATATGATGAGACAGGGCACTTTGTCGCTCGAATCTTTGATGCTTTGGGTTTTCAGCATGATAAAGAGATTCCATTGCAACCCTTACTGCGACAGGGGGCATTAAAAGGATCGCATACAGCGTTTGAAGATCTAAAGAAGTACTACCCCGATGCGTATGATGAGACTCTTGCGCTATTCCGTGAATGTGGAGGAGCTATGCACATGACGCAGCGGTCTGCGTTGTTCCCGTGGGTAGATATAAGCAGTTTGGAAGGAATAGCGGATGCAATCGAGGAGTCGCCTGGTGTTGAATTGTGCGATATTCATGTCACAGAAAACCAGGATACATTGCTGCATTGTGCTGCTCGATCAGGCTATCTGCGAGTGGTTCAACGTCTCATAAGCATGGGCATGGAGGTCAATGTTGTCAACTACCTAGGGGAGACTCCTTTGCTAGCAGCCAGCAGGGCGGGGCATTACGAGGTCTCCCGGTATCTCATGGAAGCGGGAGCCTGGGCAGGCAAAACGAGAATTTTCGGGAAAGGCCCGATCCATTTCTTACCGTTTTTCGACGATCAACATATCGACTCTGTTTCTAAGTTAATGGTCAGAAACGGCGCAGTCGTAGATGAGCGGGCAACGGAAAACCCACGGGCGGCCGAGCACGAATTTTGGGTCCACTCCCCATTCTCCCCATTGCATTGCGCAGTCATGAGAAACCACCTAGCTAGCATTAGGGCTCTTCTCCGACTCGGGGCTGATCCTTATGCCAAAGATAAGGGTAGATCGGCTATCCGTTTGGCATGTATTCTCTGCCATGCCGAGGCACTAGATATGATGGTAGCGGCATCAAGTCGTAGGCTTTCATCGGAAAACTCTGAGCCCGCCTCGCTAGCAGAAGGTGTCCTTAAGCCTAAAAACCGTTTAGAAGATATTAAAGAATATGGAGGAAGTTATGAGAATGCCAAGATAGCTACGCTTAAAGTTCTGGATAAATACAAAGCTATCAATTACAGGGATATTCACGAAAATGGGAAGCATACAGTACTCCATCGTGCTGTTCTGGCAGGTTACCCAACTGTAGTGAACTACCTCCTAACCGACACACCCTCGAAGCAACATCTTGATGTTGACTATCTTGGCAGTACTCCACTGACGTTGGCAATCCAGATGGGATACAGGGACGTCTTCGAAGTCCTACTTCGTCATGGGGCAGACATCCACTTAAGATGTATGGCTCTCGAGAACGGTGGAAGCTATTTGCACTTCTGTGCGTCTGAAGGTCACCAGGATGTATTCTTTCCAGAACAACTACTAAAGCATGGAGCCCTGATGGATCAGATTGATGATAAAAGGCGAACACCATTTACTTGGGCCGTCTTTATAGGCAACTACCCGGTTGCCGATCTTCTCCTTCAACACGGTGCGGATCGGGACGGCGCCTACGAGGGCTATACTCTTTTGGACTTTTTCTTAGCGCGTTCTCTGCCACTAAAGGGTATAAAATATATGATGACATGCAAGTCAAACCCGGAAAGGCCTCCTCCGTCATTCATCTGCTCTCCGCGCTCCGGCAGGAATGTTTTCCATGCAATTGCTGATGCTGGACCAGAGGCAGAGAAGACCGCAGAAACGAAGGCTATCTTCCGATATCTACAAGAACTATGGCCAGGGGAAGAACATATAAATACCTGCGATGGAACGGGCTTATCTCCATTGGAGAAAGCAGTGGCACGCTCTAAGGAAGACCTTGTTAATATGATGATTGCAGCAGGCGCGGACCCAAACTTAGGCTCAATGGGGCCCCTATATCGTGCATTGAGGAAACAAAATTGGGCCAATGAACAAATCAGAAAGGTCGGCGGAAGGTGGATGACTAGACGGACTAAGAAGATAGTTGATAATGTCGTCGTGATTCTCAAGGAGGCCGGCGCGAGGGTAGATATAGATCCACTTACTGGTTCTCCCAAGCAGTTCGACGCGAGTAGGGTGTTCCGGGGAATGACAACGGAGGTACGCTCGCCGTGTTCAATTGAATGGTCATTTAATTCACTATTTGATAGGATTTCGAGGAGCGTCATAGGATCTCGTTGGCTGCGTGTAGGGATATCGAAGCTGGTGTTACCGAAAGATACGGTCAGGCGGCAAATGAACGGAGGCAGTGGGAGTATCTTGAGACCAATCCAGCTGGACGAGCCATTCTACCCGCAGTAAGGGAACTGGTTAGCCGGAACGACGCTACGGTAAATCATAGCAATTGAGTTTTTAGCTGGAACTGTGCTAAATTTGTTCAGACTCTTGAGGCCATGGTTAGAAACTGGCTTCGAAACCGGCTGCCAAGTGGACAGGAAAACACGCCCCCGAGAGCACCGGAAAACACTCAATTGAACTGGAGAGAAATGAGTGAGAGGCGGAAGGGGCAGCCCGGAAAGGCTCCCGGAATGGCAGCCGGCAGTACTAATGGCACACAGCTACCGAAAGCCAGGTCCGAGGTGCCGCGGTCAAGTGGCCCAAAGAGGTCCGTTAATCCGAGAAGTGGTCTATCACAATCATCCTCGTTGGACAATAACCCGCTACTACCATCTTCAAGAGAGCTGGAGACGTCTACCAATGCATGGCCTCCTTCAAACGGTTCCTCGTCAGCGCTGGCATATAGACCACCGCCAATAAAGCCAGGGTCGTCTCCTGGAGCACGGCGCGATATATCAAGATCATTCCCTTCAAATGTAACCTCGACGGAGCCACCTTACCGGAAACAGCCTATATACTCAATTAGTTCTCGCGCACGCAGATCGCCGCCTCCTTCATTACTTGATACCCCTGTACCAAGTTTGGTTTCCCCAAGCTCCCCAGATATCTTCTCACCTACCCATGGAGGTATCTCCCAGTTGTCGCCATCAATGGCCACTCCTGCCCCGGGAAATAATTGCCCACCACCCTCACAGCCCGTCCCGGTGCCACTGCACTCCCTGAGTGAGGCCTCTTCCTCATCGTCGGTGTCTGGAAGCATGACCATGCCTACTGTCATCCGGGAGACACGATCTGCCCTAGCAACATCTTCATCACAAGCTTTATCCCAACCCCTCTCCCTTCACCAAGGCATCTCCCAGCCCTCACCGTCCTTTCAGCAAACCTCGCACACTCCTCACCGGAGCTCTTCTTCCTTCCGCCAATACACCCCGTGGACTATCCCCCACCAAAAGCCTCCACATAAAATCCTTAAGTCCCTCCGCCCCGCCATACTCCCATTGCTCACCGCTTTGGCAGACTCCCGCCACAGCAATGCCATCCCACGACGCAATTTAAAGATCTGCCTAGAGAGCCATCTTTGCATGCCAAATCTTATAGACCTCAAGTGGGACCCTGCCGCCCCATTGGGTAGTAGTTCAGTAAAAGAGCTGCAATCAGGAGTCAATAAGATGCTGAAGGAGTTTTCTATTGTTATAAATTTGAAGCTTAGGGTCGAGATTAGTGAGGAACGTAGGACGAGGACCATGCTCAGGGTGTTGATGGACGAAGATAGAGGTATTACGAGTAGTGATGGATGGTTAAGGACCGAGGGGGCGGGATGGGAGGATTTGGAGAGAGTTGAGGCAGGAATAATGTTTCCTCAGGAGACTTGAGCGAGCCAATGGAGACAGCCTATTTTGGGTGTGGTGGAGTGTGATTGATGGACAGCGATGAGTAGTTAGGAGATGGTTCTGCCGAGTTTTCGGGGTTTTTTTTCCGGTAGTAATGTTAATACCAATGTCAATGATAAAGCTGGGGGGCCGTCTTCTTTCCTTGGCACCGAAATGCGTCTCATGTTTTCCTGATTCGCGACGGTTTATTGGATCGGGGGTGGGTGTAGACTGAGCTCTGGCACCATGGTTCAATCGAGCCTTTCACAGGGTGTTTACCATCAGAGCAATTAAGACTTATGTCTATCTTGAATCAGATGCTGTTAGCTACTCCTCCGCCGAAAGTACAAGTACTTTTATGAGTGCTAGGAATCGATTTGAAGTTTTTAACATCCTGGAAAGCAACACGCACGGCCGTTTCTACTGAGCCGCACCAGCCCAGCTGCCCAAGGCCAAGTCACTCCCCCCTCACCTCTGGTTAGTCCATTGCCACGAACGCTCTGCGTGAGAATAGGTAAACCATAGCAGGGCTACAGTACCCTTGGGCGGGCGTTATGGCGCCTCCTCCGCAATTACCGACTCACCATCCCTAAAAGTGGCGCATATCACAACCCACTACTCTCTGCGCCTACCTATGCGGTTCCATTTACCGCCGAGTGACACACCATGAACTCTAATATTGTGCAGTGCTGTTACGAGTACGAGTACAGTACTAGCACAAGTACAAGTGCTCCAAGTTAGCAGTGTGGGTCGGAAGATCATTCCGAGTACCGTACTTGTACCTGGAATTGGCGCCGAAGAGCCCGATTGAGTTAGGCGCTTTCTTGTTGGTGAAACCTTGTGATTTTTTTTAATTTTCTTTTTCCCCAACGCAAGTACCGTACCGGTAATGGAAACAGGATTACAAATGCATCCGAGTAGTGTTTGCACATTATTATCCTCGAGCACTTTTGCCCGTGATTTAGCCAAGGCGGAAAGTTTATTTTACAAATGAACCTTCGTTTGTGCGATATTGATTCGAGAGGCGATAGTGTAGGTGCCGTGGCGCGATACCGTGGGGGCAACAGGCGTGCAGGCGTGCAGGCGTGCAGGCGTGAGGCCCTAAGCCATCCAAACCGTGATAAACGGGTTGGGTGGATGCCGTAGATGGTTAGGCCAGGATGCCCCCCCCGCAGGATGATAAACAGGAAGCGCACATATTGCTTCCCCCTGGTTGCGGTAACGCAAAGAAGATTAGTTATCGCCTGAGACCCCCCCCCCTCCATTCTATTGGTCCGAATGAAGCCCCCTGGACAAGAGTGGAAGGATGATAATTTCTTTTTCCCACAGCTGAAAAATCTCCAACCCCGTCCTCTTTATCTGCGCCCACCATGGTTGACTCCATTTCTCCTTTCTCCTTCCTCCTTTCTGCACTTTCCATCCTTCATGATGAGGCTTCTGTGTCTCGGGTTTTCGATACTGGCCGCTGTTGAAGGGGTTTTTGTTCCCCAGGCTTTCATCGTACCGCCAGCGCAATGTATTCCCTGGCCTACGGGGGTTACGGGGGCCATGGGAGCATTAGTCACGCCCCCGCCGCATCCGGATTTGGTGAAGAGAGCGACCGTTAATTATTATTGCACGGGGGTCATGGCGAATGGTGAGTTTTCCGGAATAATTTGTGGTCGGGGATGGTTCTGACGGTGTCTAGTACAATGCCCTTCAGTACGCGGGTTTAAGGGGAACTGCGTGGTCGTATCTTCTACGGGTCAATGCTGTTATGAAACGTTTGTCCCTCCCGAGAGAATACCGAGTGCTGGTGCTAATGAGGGTAGCGATATCGCAAAGTGTACCCGCGGGGGGAATTGTAAGGATTTTACTGCGGGATGTGGCACTACTTGCTGGTATTTTTCTTGTGCATGTTTCGCGCTGAATTTCCATTATTGACCCCATTCCAGCACAGAAGCCTTTCCGTACTGCAACACCGAAGTGGTCCCCGACGACGCCATATATCCTCACTGCGAACAGACCCAGAATCCGACCTACACAAACAGTTACTACTTGAACGGAAACACTCCGGGAATCGGAATCCTTACCGCCACGCGTAGCGATACGGGATTCATCACGACACAGTCGCCCGGGAGCGGTACCTCTTTCGCGATCATTACCCCAACACGCTCCTCCGCCTCTCCGGCAACTAGTACTCCAACGGGCTCGGACCCGGAACCCTTATCCGGAGGTGCGATCGCGGGTATTGCTGTCGGTGGGGCGGCAGGATTAGGCGCACTCGCGCTCGGTGTCTTCTTTCTATTTTTCAAAAAGAAGCCGAAACAGCCGACTCCAACCGGGAACATGGCGGAGTACACCACTCAGCAACAACACCTGCAGCAGTATGTCCCACAGCCAGTCCACGGACACGACCAATTTGCGCCAAAGCCATACCCAGAGCAACATCTGGCAGAAGCCCCCGCGAATGAGCCCGCCCCTGTTATTGAGTACAGGCCTGCATGGGAACTGCCAGCCAGCAATCCCCAGGAACGCGCATGAGTAGATAGCTTAATTTCTTTTTGTCCAAATATTTCTCACAAGGTAGTTTTGGGAATAGCGCAATTCCTTTTTTTTTATTTTTTTTTTACTCTATCATAATATTATGGTGTGGTCAAATTAATTTAGTTTTCTCAACCTTTATTTTTTGAATTAGACGATGTCGAGCATCACAACCAACGCATCAATCCCGGAATTGATTGGGAGTTGCCGCTGGTGCCTAGAATGTCCTTCCATTTGATTACCCGTACCCCGTCCATGAGACAGAATGTGCCCCACGGCAGCTTATTGTCGGGGTAGAGTTGACCCGATGCAGAAGTTCGCGGCTCTTGCCATGCCACCTTTCTTCTCGCTCGACGGATCGCTGCGGCCCAATCACAATCTATCACCCGTCGAGGCACATCCGACCACTTGTTTTTCCGCGTAAGTTAAGCTGAAAGTTCCGTCGAGGCTAGTTATACGTTAGTAGGGCAACCAGTGGTCGTCGTCCCCTTAAGCTTAAATCGCTAGTTCGTAGCCAAGACAAGTGATGTTTCGTGTCACCGGTGCCCCCCCCGCCCCCGTTTCGAAACGTTTTCCGAGCGCAGTCAGCTGGAATATTTCGAAGTTTGAAAACCGCGGTGGATCTAATCCATAACTCGCGGCTTCCGGTGTGGCCGTTGGACCCGATGCCCTGAAAGGCACAGCGGGGAATCCCGGTTAAATAAACTGTGGGTAGTAATCGATGTCGGGAAGGAACTTCCTACGGGTAGCGCATCTCAGCAGCTGGTTTGTGCGTAGCACTCGCGCACAGGAAGGAAAATGTGGACAAATAGGAGTGGAATACCACGCAAAATGGAGAGTGTTGAGATAGGTGGACGAATACACAAGTTTGGATAATTTAGGTATGATAGGTTGAGAGTCAGACCATCTGGGTGGAAGGGATTGTAGATAAATTGGAGTCCCCCGGAGGGATTCTGACTCATAATCCAGTAACCATACACCGCCAAGGCCTAACTCGGGACCTACGGATAGAGCGCCGGCTCTTGCCCTCGTAGTCCTTGGCTCGTCATATCATATCGTTTTCCCCACAGTAGTGTTTTTGCTCGTTCAGGTGTTTTGCGTGTAAAAATTCCTCCCTCCCTTGCTTGCGTCCCGCCCACCTTTCCAGGGCTTCCGGGTTTTTAACGGGCGGTAGGAGCCCGTCCCCTAGAAAGAAAGAGAGAAAGCGTAATAGGGGGTTTGTGTGGCCTGGCGTGGGTAGGAAGTTATCAATATTCTCACCAGAGGTTGCCTCTAGTCTCGAAGCCCATGGAACCTGGGACGAATGTCATTCTTGCGGAACTGAATACCTTCGAGGAGTGATAAGGTGGCCAATTTGTGAGTGTCTTGAAACCACTGATGAAACCTAGAGAAAGCACTAAAGGATGAAGGGGTGAGAGCGGGACCACAGTGGGCCAAATACAATCGAACGGGGCAATACGGTCGATAGAGATGTTAGCTAAAGACGGGCTAGGAGATATATCTCTGTATAGCCAACAGCTTCGGAAAGCAAACGAAGCACGGGGGACTCTAGGGAAACACTATCTGGAAACATCGTGGCCATCCGTAGTCCTAAGCCATCTAGAGCCATGGAACCTATTCCGTATGCCGACCGGCATGGAGGGTGAATCGCACCAAAGCAACTGCCCTATGCCCGCCTGCATAGAATGAAAACAACAAAATAAACAAAATACCCGGTACCCAGTGCCTCTAGGAGCATCTTGTGGAGTAGATCTCTTGGCGGTATAGGGAGAGTAATTGAATGGGACTTGACCGGCATGGAGGAGCTGTGGGAAGGCGTGGTCATAAAAATCGATCTCTAGTTCGGTGTCCTATCTGAACTAACTATAAAGATAAGAGTATAAGTAAAACATAATGAAGGCATCCTGATCCTTCCATGGGTCACCTCACGTCTCCCATCTCCTCCATTCATGTCATGTCCCTATTCCTCCACACACACCCGTGATAACAAGGGAAGACGTTTATGAAGAACTTTTCAGCAGATCACGTTAACTATGGAATAAAAGAAGCCACTTTCAATACTCCCGAAAGCTCCACGATCGGTCACAACCAACTACCCTTCTCCGGCAACCACAGCAATGGCTGGTATCAACGGAACAAAACCAACACCAATATCCTATGCCGGCGGGCATGGGGTATGAAAACAACAATCCACTGCCGTGGGTCTAGCTATGATACCTCACACCTCGTGGACATGTGCCCTGTAACTTAGCCACGTATCTTAACCGCATGCCCTAAGAGCAATGCAACAACCGCTCCTAGAGCTATGGTTAGAGTTATTCTTAGGAAGCAAAGCTACGAAATCACGCCCATAAAAGGTGTTGTCGAAGCTAGCATTAGGGCTCAATTCCAAGTCCGGTCTCATGCATTTTACACCTCAACCAGGTGGTATCGGGGAACCACACTGCCAAGCTTTGTAATTGACTTACGATGATATCATACCACTTATCTCTGTGGAAACCCTCTAATGTTGGATTGTGTGCAAGTACTGTTACCTTATCAGATTATCCACACCACAAAAGACTTTTTGGGGGACAATATCATATATAGTAAGAAATATTAGCAGGGGATCTTATGTGATATCTCTAGGCGTAATAGAGAAGCGTAAAGCAACTAGAAAAAAATGGGGCCTGAAAGCTAAGGGACACCTGTAGGAACGGTATGGTCAGTGTTCCCAACGGGCTAGGCCACTGATAGGCCGGCCTATAGGCCCTAGGCTGGGCCAAGGTAGGCCGCTTTGACGATGAGCCTAGGCAGATATAGGCCGAACTCAACCGGCCTGCAGAAACCTATCAGGTCTGGTAGGAGCCTACAGGCCTGCAACTAGGATCTTTAGAGCTGATTGTTTTAAGAGTGGCTCAATTCCTTACAAATTTCCTTGTGGTTTATTATTTTACCTATATCCTCAGTTGTTGGTTGAAGTGTGATAACTACGCGATTACCGGTCCACAGCCAGCTCAACAAAGTCCAGGAAATCTACCTCCAGATTCTCCAACGCAGTCCTATCCCACAACCCCCCCTCTCGACTCAGCTTCTTCCTCAGCAATTCTATTAAATCCATCAGCGAATGTGTCCTCTATGGTTGACCCAGTTCTATTAGACCTTGGCAATTTTTATCAACCACGAGCAAATCAATATCACTACCCACACATAGGATCAGTGCCAGTGCCTAATAATGTTAGTGATCTTACTGATACTCGTTCAATTCTACTCGGGTATTAACACCAATGCGTGGAATTTGCGTAGGGAGTATATAACTTACGGTTCTCGCCGGAGTACATCGGACTAGTTTAGTAGAATAAAAGATGAGCCGAAGGGAAACCAAAGATCTGAAGAGATTGTAGGCTTGGCCATATAGGCCGGGTCGGCCTATCAGGTGGCAGGTACTTAGCCTATACGGCCTGTAGCTGGGCCCGGCCAGGCCAGGACCAGGCTTTTCAAAGCCTGCAGGCTCTGGCTGGGCTAAATCCCCCATAGTCGTGGCAGGCCGGGCCCGGCTGTGGTTCAGCCTGGCCTACCTGGCCCGTTGGGAACACTGCTTACACCTGCGGCGCATCCACACCCATCTCCATATAATGTGGAAATCTTGAAGGACGCTACCCCCCGTATTTCCTGCCAATTTAGATATATCCATTGACTCTGTTTTCACTCTACTCGTTTCCCCTTCCCTTCTTTCGGCCGTTCTGTCCGGGCCCCTCCCAGTGTTCGCTAGGGTTGTCAAGCCTATGGGGATAGAGTAACAGGAAGAAATGAGTATGAAGCATATTTGATTGGATCCTCTAGATCGTGAGGTTTCGTTTCTTAAGTTTTAGAAGATATAAGATCAGAGGGTAGTATAATCCTGCTATGGGGCACAGGTGGATATGCAAGTAGTGATGGACACAATCATGATCAAGCAGATCATAGGTGTTCTGCTTGAGCATAGTCTGATCGAGAGGACCCCATGATCGAATGATTGAGCAAATTGGGAGACCCTGATCAAGTGATCGAGCAGTGATCGAGCATACTTGAGTCTAGCTGATTATCATTTCCTTTTCCATGTAAAAATATTGCCTCCAACTGCAGGTGCTCTGATGGAACACTTTGTAAGAGTGTTAGTCAAAAGGCTACCCAGGGGCCATTAACACAATATTTGGTAGTTGTTGTCAGTGGAATTTCAACCACTCGATAATATCTATATTCTGGTCTACCCTTGGCTCTTGGAAGTGGATATCAACTTGGGATTTCATGTGATCATCATCTAGAGCAAGGGTATTTTAGACAAGTGGATTGGTGGGTCAGGCGTGTTGGGGGTTCGGTGGTGAAGTGCGTTATTAGGGACATGATATTGAGTGTGTGGTGCAGACAATGATTATATTAATAGATATCGCATCATTTCCAGGGCAGATATATGTATAGGTATTGATAGAGTCATCAATCATGATCTGATCATGGCCATCACTATATGCAAGAGCATGTAGATGTATAGGTGGCTGTGTGTGATGGTGTTAGTCTGGAGGCATGTGTGAAGGTTAGGGAGTGAGTTACCTGTATGGAGTTGCACCCCAGTTGTGGTGTTTGTATGGGGCTCTACCCCAGCCGAGGTGCCGCCCACATACACGGGCCATTAGTTAACTGTTTGTTCGATCATGGAATATCTTATCTCCTCTCCTCCGATCCTGTGCACGAACGACCACGTCTTTCTACCACTATCAAGATCAACAGTCGGCTCATCGTGGCCTCGGAGGAGTTGGAACTGGTTGGCCCCTTTTGTAGCTGGCACTGCACCTTCGGCCGGACGAGTTTCTGTTTCCCTTGATTTAGGGACCTCGTGGGAGACCCTCTTTTGCTCTTTTTCCCCGAGTCAGAGATATCTGTTGTAATTCTGTTGTTCCTCACTTTCCCTCTCCCTTCCCTCTCCCCTTCCCCTCTCCATTCCCCCTGGCCCGCTAGGAATATCTGATAGCTGCGGGGCTATAATGGGTTGCAAAGAAAGAAGGCAATCGGATTAGGTGGGCTACGGGATGATTATATTGTATTTCTGGATAAGTCGTACAGTAAATAACAAGAGCTACTGGGAAACTCGGAAAGTGCCAAAAACTACACTATTCTGGAGCGTGCGGTCACGGTTCCTAATAATATGGTGATCGCAATGTAAAGAGTGATAGCCTATGATTCCCCCATTTCAAGCCCTTGGCTTACCTATTTGGCCGGTTGGAACCACGACACCCACTGCGTTCATTGGCCATACGAACCAAGCAAATTTTGCTATATCCCTCCCTATTATTCTTTTATCCAAATATCATTCCTGCCTGTATGCCTCCACTCACCTTCTTCCAGTCGTACTACACTCCTGCAGCATACCTCTAACGTATTTCACCCTGAAGTGACACAACTTAAGCTACACTACTAAGATAGCAACAATTCCACCAATTTTCAACCAAGTTGAATAAAACAAAAAGGGAATAAGTGCAGAGTGGGTAAGAGAAAGTACCCACTAACTAAAATTGATAAAGAACCAAAGCCAATCCAAAGAGAATCATTAGAAAGGGCAAAAAAAAAGACCTATTAAAGATAGTATAAGAAAACAGACAACATAAATACATTAGACTATGTAAAATTGTACATAAGAAATGGTAGGTATTATTTTGCTGTTGGAGGTTATCCAGGAATGCATACTTATTGTTCCAAGAAGGTAGTAAACTGGGAAGAGAGCTGATAGGATAAATTAAAGTTTAAAAAATTGAAGTTAAAGTGGAAAGATCTTTAAAAGAGGATAGAGGTAAACCGGCACAAGCGGTGAGTGACAAGGAGTCAACATAAGGCTAGTGTATTTCTGAAATCAATATTTAATCTCTGACTACCCTCTCTTACTCCCTTTATATTTGAACTTTTTGTTTGAATTAATTTGGTTAAGAATTGGTGGAGTTATTACTTCTTCAGTAGTATGGTTTAATTCGTGTCACTTCCAGCCGTTCTACACTCTCGTAGCATACCTCTGCCTTATATAAACTATTGTCCCCCGGAAGTATCCTTCCCACATTTCGGAAACACTAAGCGATGCCCTAAGTACTAGTTGTGCAAAACTCCAAACTGGAATTAGTTTTCCAGCAGCAGGGATAATATCCTCACGACCAACCCCCTCTCCATCCGGCCTGCTACCTCCGCTATCTACCAGCGCGGGTCCTTCCCTCTACCTACACTTGCTCCTATACACCTTGCCCAACAGCGATAGCCCCTTTCCCTCCTCCCTTCTTCCCATTACGATTCCCATTAAAAATTCCAAACTTCACTGGGGTTCACGGGCCCTCGTTCCAGGTCAGTGAGACCGAGCTGGATCTTGTAGGCCCGGATCTTCCAGAGCCCGGAGGCCCCTCGGGTTCTTTGGCCTCGTTCGCAGTCCTTCCGCATCCATGTTATTTGTAAATATTTTGTCAATAGGTAGCAAATATCATCAGAGGCGTGCCGATATTCCTGGGTGCCCTCAGATATCTACCGATATTTGCAGATATTTGTCAAAAAGGTGCAAAACTCCGAAATATCCTCTGCTGGTCCGGGCCCGGCATACGCAAAACGAAATCAAAGAAACTCTGAGAGGTTAAGAGAATTGAGAGCAGTGAGGATGCTGGGCTATCACTTGTCACCCGACACATACCTAAAATGTGGGTGAGTTACTCGCACAATCGGGATTACCACCCAATCCCCGGGCAATCTTTCCCATGGCTCCAGCATCATTACAAACCTCAAATACCTAACACTTCCTTATCGCCCTTTCCCGATGACATGGTCCTCCACGCACATCCCAAATCATGCCCGGTCACTCGGACTCCCGCAACAATCTGTGGTCGGGCCGGTCGGATGTGCCCATGATTGGCCGCTCACAAACTCTGGACCCCGGCCCGTGAGTATGAGGGATTATCTTCTTAGGTATTACCTTGAACCCCCTTCTCTTAATCACGGGATTCGCATGCTACTTCTCATCCACTTCCTAGACACCGGCTAACCCCGCTGCGTTCCCGGCTTTGTCTTGCTACCACCTCAAGGCCAGTCCTATTCCTGGGTGGCACGGTTCTCACTCAAGACAATGCCCTGGATGTGTATGTGGTAAAAGGGTGGTGCGAGCTTTCGGATTACGAGTGCGACTGATGATAAGGACTAGATTGAATCAGATCAGAGGTCACATCGCTTTTTAAGGTAGAATATGATCTGTTCTGTTCGGTGAGGACAGTACCGTACTGTGCAGGGGGAGGGGAGGTGGTGATGGAGCGGTGTTGACAGTTGGGCACAAAACAAGGCAGCACTTGCTCTCGGGCCAGATTATGGTACGTGCCAACCTTACGACAAAAAAGCCGCGGACAACAATCCCCAACACCATCGCCTCTTGTTTACCGGGCCCAACTCCAGGTTGATTTGTTCTACCTTTTCTCTACTACTCTGTTTCTCCAGCTTGGGGGAAATCGTGGGTTTGCATTCAGAGGTTGTACGTCCATTGTGTTGTAATTTATGCCCTGATTTGTCACATGAATTTAAGCAGGAGTGGGAACCTCATCACTGCCCCAAAATCAAAAGTCTGCCGAGATTCAAGTAACATAACATGTGCACCAACGGCTTCACCGCACCCCGATTGGAGTCACTTGTACATTGCACTTACTTTTCATAGCCCCCCAACACTACACGAGAGACACCGGCTTTCTAGGGATACCGGTGTTTGATTTATATGACCAATACAATTCTCCCGCCGCAAGGTGTGCCGGACGGTAGTAAATTCAATTGCCGCGTTGCCGCTACCGACTAAACCTCGGGGAGAACTTTTTGTTTTGCCGAGAATCCATAGTGCAACTCCACCAAATACCGTATTACCACTACACAAACCAACCGTTCGATCCTAGCACATTCCGAGATTTCCCAGCCTACCATAAATTCATATAACTGGTGCGGTCGAACTGAAGCTTGTGCCGGCAGACCAAGGGTGGCAATTCCCGTATCATACCCGCACGTGAGTCGGGTCACGGTGCCGACCAATGAGAAAGAAAGAAACACACACCAAAATCAGAGACCGTTGATCCGTGGCTTAATTGCATGTACTCGAGTAAGTACTGTACCTGTATGAGTATGATACGCCGTACTAGTAAATTATGGTATCGATGTCGGTGCTGTGTTGTGATACGGTGGGAAGGAGTTAGACCCGTTGACCCTTGATGCACCCGTGCTCTCGCGGGTCATCGGCCAGCCACCTTGTGGCGAATTGGTTCGGAAGCGGAACGGTGCTCTGAATTGGCAAAGCCATCTAAGGAATCGCCTCACTAGGACGACCACCGCCCCGCGCTTGGGCATTTTCCACAATATTATCACCCTAGATCCCCCTACTTCTTCATCCGATAAGATGGTTTCGCTTCTTTTCTTTGGTGAAGGGTACCATCCCTTCAATTCGTGCACGCAAGCCACACTGTGGCGAGGGGCTTACACACCTTCTCCCGCCTATCGTCCCTGGCACTACGATATACCTTGTGACTCGCAACTTTGGAAACCCTTAGGAAATTAGGGAAAGTTGAGGGGAAAAAAAAAGGCAAGGCGGCGGTCCTTTGTGTCTCAGACAAATCTCAGGTCATTATGATGACATTATGTCTGGACTATGTAGCGATCACGGGAGTTATTGTTATTGTTGGTTTCCGGGGGTCCCAATGTTGGTTTTTGGGGGCGAGGACAGCCCTAGGGGAGAAGCAAAGCCTTATCATACCTCCAGTGGTGGACGTTTTTCTTTTTCACCAATCCCGCAAATGACCACATTTACTCAAGACATGATGATGAAAGAATTTACCTTTTTATTTTTATTTTTCTTCTCCCGTTCCTCGAGAGTTTCTTGAGGTCGGAATATCCCATTGATTGCGGAAATGATCAACAGGGCGGGGTTACGGGATGGATTCATCCCGGATGGTCAGCATGCGATCAATGCTGAACCACCGAGAACTGGATCGTTTTTTTAGTTTTTTTCCGGACTATCAATACTACGGTAGCCCAGCACTGAACTGCCATCCTCGCGGAGTGTTTTTTTTTTTTCTTTCTTCTTCAAACACCCGTCGCTAACCGGGGGCTGATGACTGGGTATCATAAATCCTTCTCACGGATGGGTGATAAGAGAGAGACATACAATTGTGAGAGTTGCACTCGTACTATACTCGTACTATTGCGGTTATAGGCCAGGAAGAGCCCAGTCCCTGCCAAGGGAGCTACGGTAACTATGTGGTACCTGCGCGCGAACCGAGTCAGAGCGCAACGGTCTCGGATTTTGGTGCAGCAAATTGGTTGGTTAGCGTCATCACTCGATTTGCGTGCAGGTGCTCGTGTAGTTTATTTGTTCGAAGCGTTGGAGTTACTGTACTAGTACAAGGTTTCTCTACTCCATAAAGGCACAGGGGGGTATTTTCGCGCAAGATAGGGATCATTTTGCGGATCAACTTAAATTAACTGTTCGGTAACTCCCTTACCTACACCTATACTCGAGTACTTGTAACTTACTAACTTAGCATGCTTTGCTTCCGTACAACATAGTTGTACTAGTGTGATACAGTACGTACTTGCACTGCAAAATAGCAAAACGATTTTATAAAAAAAATAAAAAATAGCCTACCCGCCAGCACTTTCTGCAATCACATGTGCACTTAGGCTACTACCTGGTTTGAGACAATAGTCCCTAGTAGTTCAATCGATCAATATCATCGTAACGTGTGATGAAACTAGTGATTAATAGCTGAGTGATATCTTCGGACCGCTGCGGTTGAGTGCCGCCCATCTTGCTCAGTATTGACTATTCCTCCTTCACTGCGAAGGAAGAGCCGGATTAGGGGTGCGTTGAGCCTATCTCTAGAGTTGAAGCGATAAAGGCTAGTCAGGTACAGTACTGTATCGACTAGTCTTGCACTCTTTCTCCCGACCCCTCCCCCACTGGCGGTTGAGTTACTCAGTGGCCAATGATAAATATCTATCATCCCATTTTTCTTTTTCTTTTTACCCTTTCCTAGAACGGAGCCAAATCGTGATCTGTTTGGTTGGTGAAAGTGTAATCCCCTACGTCAAATTTTTTCTTCTTTCCCCTTCCTTCCTCCCCGAGGGAATTAAAGTCTGACTATCATTCTCTGACCCTCAGTTACCTGTTGTTACCTGTTACCCCAAGCCTTAGGGGGGTTTCATTTTTTGTTATGTTGTGCTCCGTTGCCTTACACTTTCAACAAACTGTCCTCGTGGTCCGTTTGACCCGCCGGTGGCCCATTTGACCCCCCGGGTGAGCCGACCACCCCGGGGAGGTTGGCGGAGCACATGGGATGAGTGGTGGAGAGGTCTCTGCAAATGGTTCACACGAGAGAAAGTCCACCGGGGGCGGGAGGGGGGGCTGCACTCGGGTCTCGAGTTGGCCGTGGTAGTGTATTTATACCAGGCCTATATAGCACGCTGGGTAAACCTGCATTCAAGCCGACCCATCAATTGCACAGGCCAATTTCAATTTAGCTCACTTATGTTTCTTATGCAATGTCTACAAAGGTGATTGTCATTGGTGCCGGGTGGTTCGGGCTAGCTGCCGCGAAAACGTACGATACCTCTCTCCCTCCCAATATGTAAAATTTCCTCTAGGGCACGAAGGACTGACCTCTCACCAGGTATCTTCAAGTCGATCCTCATATCGACCTGACCATCTTAGAGTCTGGCGAGACAATCGGGGGCACATGGAGCAAGGAACGTGTTTACCCAAACCTTCTCGCCCAGCAGCGATATGGTAGATACGAATATTCGGACCGTAACATCGAAATCGAGGGCGGGAATAGAAACTCATTTGTCCCTGCCCTCAAAATCCACGCATACATGAACGAGTATGCCGAAGAATTCGGTGTCAAGGAGCGCATCAGGTTCAAGACTTTCGTTTCCAGGGTTGTGCGCAACAAGGACGGCAAGAGATGGGACGTCTGGATCAACGACGATTCGGAACTCATGACCTGCGACAGGCTCATTGTCGCGACAGGGTTGACATCCAAGCCCATCCTACCCAACGTCCCGAGCGAGAAACCCACTCCCAAAATCTTTCACTCTAGAGATCTGGGCTCGCAATACGACTATATCACATCTCCCGCCGTCAAAAACGTCACTGTGTATGGTGGTGGCAAGTCCGCAATCGATACCATATACAGCTGTGTCACCAATGGGAAGCACGTCAACTGGGTGATTAGGAAGGGAGGTGGAGGTGTTCCTCCGCTGCTCACTGGAGTTGCCAATGGGAAAGTCCTCGACGACTTTGCCACCTCCAGATTCTCTTCCAAATTGCATCCCAATCTTCACACAAAAGGCTGGTGGCACTGGGCATTACACAGCGGAAAGAATTTCTTGGGGCAATGGCTTCACTGGAAGTACTGGGAACGCGCCACTAGTTCGATGCAGAGTAACGTAGAATACAAGAAGAGCGAGAACATGGCCAAGCTAACACCCAGTATCGTCGATCATGGGTAAGCGCAGCACTTATTGGATCCAGCCCGACGCATTTTGAGCATGATACTGACACCCCCAACAGTGCTTACTGGATCAACGTGGGGCCTGCAGTCCTGACACAGCCAGACATCATCGACTGGATTCACTGCGGCTGCCAAATCACCGTCCACCGTAACACAATCGAGAAGATCGCAGGGGACCAAGTCCATTTGGACGACGGCTCCTCTCACCGCGCTGATGCCGTCATCTACGCTACAGGCTACGACCTGATCCAATCCGCCTTCTCCCTCGAAGACAGCGTAAACCTCGGACTTCCAACCCCCGTCAAGCAATGCCCACCCGAGGCGGCGGCCAAGTGGGACCATCTCGAAGAGATCGCGGATAGGGAGGTGGTCGAGCGATTCCCGCGCCTTGGGAAGCCCCCACCACACAAGAAGCTCCCGGTAACGCACACCCCGTATAGGCTTTGGCACGACATGGTTCCCTTGCCGCTCCTATCCGGGGAGAAGCCGGATCGGTCACTGGTCTTCGTCGGAACGGTCAAGTGCTACTCGACCGCTATAATGTCCGAGGCTATGGCGTTGTGGGCCGTTGCCTGGATGTCCGGACGTATTCACCCTGGAAAGAGCTTTGCGGAGATGCAGCACGAAGTTGCCGTCTCCAATGCTTTCGCTAGGAGGCGCTACTTGAACCTGGGCTACAAGTTCACTTATCAGTTTTACGAGTTCCTTCCGGTAACTACTCCACAGAAGTCATAACAATAATAATAAAAGGTTCTGTTTGAACAAGTGCTAATTCTACATAGATCGTCGACAACCTCCTCCAAGAACTCGGTGTCAGGTCACAAAGAAAGCCCGATGCCATCACCGACTTTTTCGAGCCATACACTCCAGAAGATTACCGCGGCATGGTTGAAGAATTCAAGAAGGTTCACGGCATCAGCAATGTCGAAGAAACCAAAAAAGAAAAGTGGTAATTGGCGATCAGGAGTCGTATATTAGGGCTATCCTTATTTTCTTATTTTTCTCGCTCCATTTATATTGTCGAAAAGGGGTTTGGGGTGTTCTGTTTATATGTTTTTTTTCCTTCTTTCTTTTCCCTTCCTTCTTCCCTTTGTCCTGTTTTGGCGAAGGGGGTGATTTTTCTTTTCTTCTCTTCTTATATTTTTATATTCTTATATTTTCAGATTAGGTCAGGCCCACCACTGGTTGTAAGGGCTACGAGTGTAGTAGCGGTACATGTACCGTACTGGTTGTCATACAAGTACCGGTACTGTTGTTGGGGAACTACGGTAGTTTGTGTGACACAACCAATTAATACAATTAGAAAGTCTACGGGGGTTGGCCTGGTTGGTGTCAGTGTGGAATAACATAACTTGACCGGTATGGACCACGAGATAAGTTGGTGCCAACCCTCGTATTTCCTTCTTTTCTTTTCCTGTCCCCCCAGTGTGACCCGGGATTCTTGTTTGCACGGCATTATGTAGCCTTCCGTAGCCGCTGCGAGTACTTTACTCGCACTAGTGCACCACTGCCACATTACTTCACCCAACCCTCCCAATGTTCATCCCCACCGAATCTCAAAGAAAATAAAAGGTGTGGTGCCTCGGATCTGTACTTTCTACCTTTAGCACCCTACGACTCAGGCTGTACTCGTAGGCACCCGGGTTGTAAATGCAGAGTGGTTGACGCCTTGCAAGTTTTTCGCTTCTCCTCCGATTGGGGGCCGTTACCCTAAGCAGAGGCACGTCATGGTGGCCATGCCTGGTAGGAGTGTCAAGGAAGCGGGGGGAATACGACAGCATGCTTGAAGTCCCCAGGCGGGGATGGCGTGGGTTATCGCTCGCTCAAGCATCGTCACGATTCTCCAAAAACACACCGCGGGTACTCTGCTTGCACTTCCATTGGGTCCCCTGGGTATCTCTCCGGCCCTTGTAAGATTACCGTCGTGGCCCGGAATGGTATGATACGGCAGTTGGGATGGGGTCGGGCATGTAATGGAGACTCTGGAGTAGATTGAGAACAGTTTCCAAATTGGAGTATACCGGTATTGAAAAGTGTTCTATTTTATTGCGAGTACCTGTACCGGTATGGTACGGTGCTGGTACAATGCACTTTCACAGCTGCAGGGTTGGCATCCACCCACCATACCAGGTAAACTATCTACCCGCACTCTGCAGCGCTCGCTATTTAGGGAAATCTTAGCCGGCGGTCTGTGCCGATCTGAGTGGAGAAGAGTCGATAAAGGCGCCCGGCATCTTCGCATCTCCTCTTTGCAGAATCGTCTTGCAGCAAATCATTTGTGACCCCATTTTACCACAGAATTTCCCTGCACCGACGGATAGGGTGAACTCCTATTTGTGCTTGCCCAGCCCTTCAATCTCCCGGTCGGCACCCGCTCTAACTGCTGCTCCCTCTCCCCCTCTCGAAAGTTCTGGAAAACCGTTCCCCAGCTACCGTACCGTGATAACCGTACGGTAACACCAATGAATGGACAATGTGCTATGTGGTTCGAAATTTCCTCCTCCGGAAAAGGGTCTGGAGGGGGGCACCAAGCCTTGCCGGGAGAGGAAACTCCAACGTCCCAGCACATGGTCCGATCCGAGTTCTCGCGGTATCCTGCAGACAGACTACATGATGGGGGGTGCTCTGGAAGAAAGGGAAACGCAGTCTAGTGGACTGTAGATGCACGAGCAGTAGTCTACCACCCTCAGAGACCCAGCCCCCTGCCAATCCCTGAGAAAAGGTATCTGCGGTGGGTCCGAGCTCCCGAAGCTGCCTGGGCATTGCCCCCACTACGACACCCAATGGCGTTTGGAGAGTATTTTTGGTCAAGAGATGCATAACGATTCCTATGATACCCACCGCCCGCAGTGCATAAAAAATATCAAGCGAGGAAAAGGGGTGCATTTTCACTGATACCGCTTACGGAGAGGAGCATACGGTAGGGCTTGTGCTGTGAATCTATGATGGTTGGTTGACGGGCGGGCGCTACGGGTATCGCAAAGTGGGGGAAGTGACCTAGGGTGAAGCCGGGCTGACCCTGCTTCAGGGCTCCGCGTGACTTGCAGAAGGCTCGGGATATCATAATAATAACCTACGGTGAAAGAAAATCAAAATCGGAAAATGTGGAAATGAATCTAGGGGGTTCTGGGGCTCTAGTTGGAGCGTTCCGTGGCTCGGGCCAATTGAGCAACCGTGTTTTTGATCACCGTTTTTTTTTTCTTTTACTGCAGGCTGTACCGCACTCGAGATGCAGTGCTAAGAGGGCTTTAAACGCCCACCCAGAACGTTAAAACCTTACTAGTAGACACGTCGTTCCCTAGCGCTTTAGTCTCCCGAATCCCGACGGGCAGCCATCTTGAACACTGTTCTCAGGGTTTACGAAATTATAATAACACTCCTCGATGTGCGTTACTACCGGTAGTAAGGATAACCGCCTCCGGATTATCCAAACTAGCTTGTCGAGCGGCGATACTGGGGTATCGTGATGCCCAAAGTGGGGTCTCGCCACGCTGGACCAGCGTGGTTCAGACGGAGGATCCCTATGATGGCCCGTGAGCCGATAACTGAAAAAATGAACTTCGGTACTAGTGCCGGCTCTGGAGGTTGGTCTGCTAGACGGTTTTGTACTGTACTGCACCGGTAGTTCAAGGGCAGTCAGCACCGTACTGTATGAGTGAGGTATCGAGCCTGCTGTATGTAACAGGGGAGGTACACTCACTACTGTACCTGGACTTTCAAGAAAAGGATGGTGAGCACCACCCTTCTATTTTACTGTTCAAGTTTTTCTTCTTTTCCATTGGCGAGGAAATGATTGGATAGTGCCCTATCACACCGGAACTGCACCCATGTCGCCCGATTGGAGCTACCCTGCTTTTGGTGGCAACGGCACCGAGAAAAGCAACTGCAATCGCGCGACCTGAGCAAATACCGGGAGTGTTTGTGCAAGTACGGTAAGCTAAAACCATAACCCTTCAGCTTCTCCCACTTTCCCCCAACCCCGTCCAGAAAGGTTCCCTTCGCTCTCCCGTCACCCCCTTTTGATCTACCAACAGCACTACTACTACCACCAACAACAACAACAGGAACAACAACAGGAACGATGGGCAAGACAACATGGGTTCTGCTACGCATCAAAACCCGGCCATTGCTATAAACGGAAACATAAGTAATATGACGGACAGTTATAAGAACGCGTGGAATAACTGCCAGATACTGGTGTGGGACGGGGGACACCGGGCTCTGGAGTGGTTGTTTCCCTTGCCACCTCGGGAAAGGCATCAGGTCGCGAGCAAGAGCCGGGCGACGGAGTAGGGGATCGGCTTCTTCGAGCCAGCGAATTCGAGAAATGGCATACCGGTGCAGGCGGGGGCCAGGCTGTCAGTCCCGTGTTGTTATGTTCTCGGGATCCAGGGGCGGGGAAGGCATATCTGAGGTCCGTAAGACCAGCTCCATGGAAAAGCTGGTAGAGTGCAAAGTTAGGGAGGTGAACGTTAGCTCTCTTGTATAGATACACTGTGCGATGCGATTGATATGGCCCTCGCTTGTGCATACCGCAACTTCCAGGCTCATAGAGGGAGCAATCCGCAACTACGAGTGGTGTGTTTGGGCCTCTTGGGGCAACCTGATGCGGGAGCGGAACCGATCCCACAAGAGATCAAGGAGGCCTTTGAATGGGCGAAGAGAGAGGTTGACGGTTGGGCACTTCGGCTCTCTGAAATCCCCGCAATGCTCGTCAAGTCTCTCATCTTTGCGATGGGATTTGTCTGCATGGGCGCTTTGGATGGGTTTCCCGCAAAACGCCGACACGAATATTAGGACGATTTACAGCATATCGTCCGTGAATGCCCAAAAACTAGGCCATTCATTACTGGGAGGCCGCACATTCGAGAGGGAGGCCAGAAGTACTTCCCGGGATATCCCGATCTAATCCCCATAAAGTCTATTATTTAGATACCGGGGGATAACCCCACTGTGCGGCTGGAAAAGGGCTCGAGCCGGATGCACTGGATATGAAATTGGGCGGCCGACAATCCCAGAATTAGCCCTGGCAGGATCTCTAGGGTGTGTGTGATATCTGGAGATAGCGAATTCAAGGTTATTAGCTAACTGTAGTCTCCAGATTTCTTCTCGTTCCCTCATTATGAATACAATTCCGGGAGATACGACAATCCATCAAAGAAGGCAAGCACTTCTAGGATGACCAATGTTCGGTTTAGACGGTGCGCACGGCACAGCATCGAGTCGCATAAGAGAGCAAAAAGGAAATAAAATGAAACTTGGAATGGAAGCGCTCATGTGGATTTTATGTTCTGAAAGACTGTTAAAAGCAAAGGCTGTGCCATGCATTAGCACTCGAAAGTGGAAACCATAAACCTTGGTGTCCGCAATGTCCCGCCGATAAGGACCTTGCCTCGCTGTATCCTGTGACTCGTTGCGATTTGTTGGCAAGCATCGACCGCCCATCTCATACATTTCACTCCTTAAGAGTACCCCGCAACACATCCCACCTTGTTCATCACACATCACCCGATCATGACTGAGGCATGCCTCACCCAGTCTGAATTTCCGGCCCGTCTATGAGCATGCTACTCCCGATACTATCCCGTCGACAGCCCCGTTTCTCCACTATACCCCGTGTTATTGGGGATTCTACGCTAGGGAGGGGATGGCGGAAGGTCCGAAATTCCCTGCGTTACGACTTCTTCAGCAAGATGTGAGCCACATATCGACTGACATCCTCCCGTGTGATCAAAGTATTGACTTGTCCTGGGGGGACCGCTACCACGACAGACACCTTAATCTTTGGGGAGTTACTGGGCCACACCACATCGCACACATGGTTGACATGGAAGTATGGGACCTGAGCGGGCCTGATTCTAAGTTGTGCGGCGCCATTAGTACGAGCTGCTAAATACAGGAATTACACGCTCGCGAAGATGCTTCTTGAACAGGGATATTTTAATCTCATTGTATAAGACAGCTGGGGGCTTACACTACTCGTGCATACTGTGCAGGCTAGACGCGAGGGGCGTAGTAAAGTTCTCCCTAAACCGGGTGAAGTCAATTCAGATTCGTCGGACGCGGATGACCTGTCACCACTCTCATGTGCGATACGAGCAGGGAATTTCGAATACCACTCCATCAGATAACCAGGACCTAACTCCACTCGCACGGATGCTCCTGGAACGGGGGGGAAAGGGGGGTGTCCATGCAGATTCGCCGGGTGTGAATGGGTGGACACCACTCTTCTCACGCGCTGCCGGGATATTGGTGCAGTGGGGTTATCAGTACGACACAACACAAGATCACGGAAGCTTCCCCCCTCCTACTCCGACAGGTCTCTATCGAATGGACCAGAGCATCTCCAGCATCCGCTCCCGCACCCACACCCAAATCCCTGAAGCCCTCAAGGCTATTAAAACGCCGTGAGATGACCTGGCCGCCTTTGCGCTACCGTAAGCACAACCGAGCGTTTTCCTTTCTCCTAACATCCTCGAGAATGCTTATCATCCCGTCGGTGGCTATGTCGAAATCCTGGCACACAATTGTCACACCAACACACTCACCTACTTCCTCAACCCACCCCTCTACACCTCTACCATAGGGTGGGGAATACTATCCAAATTCACTCCATGGAATCGGTGTCCGGCCTCTAATGTATCATCAGTTTATCCCCTCGCGAGATATCTGATGAAGACCTATGCCCCAAGCCGTTGCAGTTGGAATGGGAACATACATTAGAGGGCATTTCCCCATGTGGCTTTCCCTTTCTCCACCACCGCCTTTCACCCACCGCGAGGGGGTGTCGATAGCCGGTGGGAGTAAGTGACCTTGGGCTTCTGTGTATGATATTTTTCTTTCTTTCTTTCTTTCCCCGATCATGTTTATTCAGACTGGGACCTTGCCCAGCAGCTTGTATATTACCTATACGATATCTACACCCCATTCGTTTGACAGTCCCTCCCGAGTATCGCACAAGCCCCGATGACTCCAGCAGCAGCAAAAAAAAACTAAGGCAGTTGTAAAGCATCCATGGACGAGACACTCGGGAACATCTCCCCTCCACATACAATACCGTACATCATTTCCAGAAAGCTCCAGCCAATGACCCCTTCCCGCTTTCGAAACCCCTTATAAGCCAGGGCTATGGTTAGAGCTCATCCACAAAAACCACAGAACATGGACCGCAAACCCATCACGGTCGGGTCTTATCTATCTATCTATCTATGATAGCTTTTTTCTTTCTTTCTTTCTTTCTTGATAGCCTCCAAGCAGGCAGTCTTCGCTACCCTACGACTCGATAGAACCCGAAAAGAAAGCCGTTTGGGAAAGGGGGGGGGGGGGGAACTTCCGCTGAATTACGCCCGAATGTCCAATGGCACCGATAAGCGTGTAATCGTGTACCGACAGTTTCCCAATCCCACTAATGACGATGGAGTAGCTATCTCGATTCCAATTTTTTGCGGTGTCCCCCAACTCGTAATACTTGCCGTGCAGGGTGGATCCAATCTCCCTTTCCCACTTATACTGTACTGTACAGCACAGCACCCCCTATTTGATGGGTCCACACCCTTCCTTCTTTGTGGAATAGGTGTGAAGGGGGGGGTGGTGGTGGGTATTCCGAGATAGATAGGAACGATCCACCGGAAGTAAGTAAGGTAACGAAGAGAAGATATATCGCCCAGTTCTAAAAAGCGACTGGCACGGATATGCGGTACAGCAGATAAAAGCAAGTCACCGAGTGAGATATCGTGAAACATAAGTATAAGTAGTGGGTGAGAAGGGGGGGGGGGTATGCCAGAAATGGGAAAAATTAAACTGATAGTGCCATCACATCACACAAAAAAACGCTCAAGCCAACCGCACAATCAATCACGAGATGGCCATGGGGCGTGAATCAACGGACAGCGAACGGATGACATTACAAGATATACAATGACCCACAAACATCACGGCCTCGGCATAGCCACTCAAAACCCGCCGCTGCTATTAAAAAAAAAGAAAAAAAGAAAAAAAAGAAGCCCACCCTCCTCGCATAAACGAACAGATATCGTGCTTTCCAATCCATCGCTGGATTGATGGATGGATATTCTGGTAAGGGCCCTGAAGGAGGAACTTTCAACAAGGGTTGGATGCCCTTATCTGCTCGCTACCTGCTGCAGAGCAATTAACGATATACGGGAGCAATGGTGCTCATGGCGGTTGCACTCCGGTCCCGAGTGAAGGTAGAGAGAGAGAGAGAGAAAGCTGGAGGTGGTGGTTTGGCTACTGTACGGTGCATCGATTGGGGGTGGGCCCCTCGCATTGTAGCGCTAGCGCCTTCTAGATGTAGGAAATAAACTCTCCTGCTTGGGTTCTAGGCGTAAGAAAGTTTTACCTCCAGGGTGAGCTTGAATTGAGTATTTTGCCCAAGAGTAGCTTGGGTGAGAGTTTTTGGCTCTGGATAAGCTATGAAAATTTAGTTTGCTATATGAAGGGCCATCGCGGAGATGTGTTCTTGACTATTGGGGGCGTTCTAGAATGTTGGATGTCTCTGAGACGTCGCACTGAACGCTATGCGATGAAGGATGAGCTGAGAAACTTCATTGGGGGGTATCTAGGCTCTGCCCCGGGCATCCGAGCGCTTCCTACGATCGATCAATAACTAAATCTACGGGATAATGTTCAGAATCCGGTTCAAGCTCCCTGTGCCAGGTTAAGCAGCTCATCATATCATTTGGTTCACAAGACTAAACCCATTCCCCCCCTTCCCCCTCCTACACGTTAGTCCATTATTAAACCTCTATCTCCCTTCATCCCTTCGTTCCCCCCCTGTGGTAATCCACAACTACCCGCCTAGCATATATACACCCGCGCTCTACCCTATCCTACTGCCCTATGGGAATAAAGTACAAGGCATAAAATCTCTACCCACATTACAGTAAAAAGAATATTAAAGAGATGGAAGAAGATAAAAGACTCTAAACCGCCACCCCAATGCGCCCGCACAAACCCAAGTAACAAACAAGAACCGAGTCAGATAAAAAGGAACAAAGAAAAAGAAAAAGACTAAAAACTAATTATCAGAAAAGAAGCTATTATGAAGGGAAAAGAAAAGTGAAAGGAAATATTAGGTTACAATCCCCTGAGCCCGCTGTTTATACCTTCCCTGTAGTAGCGATGAAGCTTCTGAATCTGAAACTATACGTGTCTCGAGGGATTGTAGGGTTTGCAAAGCGGAGGATATGGTTGGGGCTGTTGTTGCTTTTTCTTGTTAGCTAGAAGAACAGATTCAAGGGATGGGAAAGAATGGGGTTGTACCAGGGATGAGCTCCTCCTGCGCTTTTCTCAATAACATGGGCAAGGCAGAGGTGGCAGACCCATTGGCGGACGCTATCTCGCCTTCACCCTTCCGTCTGCGGACGCTATTTGTCGTTGGTTCCGCGGCCACCGGCGGTGAGAAAGTATGGGCACGGGAACTCGAGCTTGGGTTAAGCTCCGCACTAGTTTTTGTCGTCGTAGAGATTTCAGGGATTGGCCCATCCGTTTCCACCTGTGGTGGTGCTGCTTGACCGGCAAAAAGAGTCGATGTCGGAGTGCCGCAAAGTAAAGTATATGTTTCCAGCGCAGCTAGGTATTCTTCCACAAGCGTGCGCGCATCTTCGCTAGCTTCCCCGGGCGGGTCCGGGGGTGGATTTGGACTGGTGGGGTGTGTGATTTCGGGGTTGTGTGTAGATGAGGAGGAAGTGCTCCCGGGGACGAAATCCTGCCCGGGAGGTATAACAGTGCCGTTGGAATTTGGGTGCTGCTCGTCGTCGTCGTCGATGCCGTAGTCTGGTTCACTACTACGGCAGCTGCCGGCAACAAACACAGCACCAAGTCCACCGTTTACTAAAAAGTTATATCCGAGCTTTGCGTTCCCGTTCCCATGGGAATCACTCAAGCGCTCGTAAAATAGCATGAATACTTTTCCGATGTTGAGGACGGTGCTCTCCTCGACGACACTGTATCACGCGGATGTGAGTACCTCATCCAGAGTGGAAATATTACGTAGGGTTAGGGCTACGCACTAGACCTCGTGATCACTAGTTTTGAACCATGTATTGTGGAGTTTTCGGTAGCAGGTGTAGTGCCCGTTATGGTGGCCACCGTGATGCACCACTACGCTCTTCAGTTCGTAGAGAACCCCCTCGGGATCGTTCCCCCGGACGAAGTCTTCCTGCTGCATCTTCTTGTTCGCGTCCCCAGAATCCTGAGGGCTTGCCATGGGCTCTTCCACCCGCCTAGGCACACACCCGGACATGGGCGATGCCGGATCTACAGTTAGGCCACAGCTTCCGTCTGCGGTATCATGTCTTGTGACCGCTCCGGATTTGCCTAGGTCGAGGCGCGCGGGGAATGATACTACAGCGTGGTTCTTGCCAGTCAGACCTGTCATTATGTCATATTGACTCCTATTCAAGTGCAGCACCAGTATCGGTGGGGGGCGAGCAATCATGGTTTGTTTTGTTTTTGTCGATGAGATCTTCTGCTTTGGAGAGATCTTTACTCCAGGCACATTTGGGGAAAAGTTGTCTTCCTCTATTGCTTGCAGGAGAGCGGTGAGACGCTGTTGCATTTCGAGCCTGGTTGATTCCTGGAGGGTCGGAGATGGTGTTTTGGGTTCGGCAAGCGGCTCAAGGAAGTGACCGAGTCTGTTACAGAGGGATAAAATCGTGCATTTATCGCAATCCACTTTGTGGATTTCCTCTATTGCTGTGAAACCCGACAGACACTCTTCCAGAGAACAGCTCCGCTTGCGCAACATCTTAGTGAGGCTCAAGCACGAGGACGACAGGAACACTTACTTGAGACGGGAGAGATAGCGACAAACTAGTAAATGGCTGCAAACTTATAGCCTCCACATATCCACATTGCAGACAGCCTACTCTCTGTGCAAACAATCCCTCGAAAGGACTTCGCAAATCCTTCGCAATCGCTGCATCCGAGTCGGCGCCCGAAACCAGCGCTTTCTTCCCATCAACTTCCTCCAACTCCCGTACACTTTCCAAGCCTCTCGCGATGCTTTCCTTGCGCCGCTTCAAAAACCTCGAGACTTCCTTCTCCAAAGATCCCGTGAGTTTCTGAAAAAATTCCTGCGCATCCTGCTGCTCGTTGTAAACCCATCCGGAATTATCGGTTCCCCGTACGATAATCGGCGAAGGTGTAGACGCCCGGGGACCAGAGGTGAGCGTATTGAGGTCGGCGATCAGTGAGATGAGAGCCCCAGATGGCGTCATTCCATCCTCCAGTTCCGAGAGCGAGAGCGACGCGAGATACGGTTTGAGATGCGAGAGCGAAGCCATAGCCTGGTACATTGTTTGCTAAGTCAACACACAAGACCCAAAGCACGGCACCCAAGAAAACACCCGAGGCCATTACCTGTAAAACTGAGTTCTGGTAACAGGTGTTCCCAGAATTCCACAGCCCCCCGATCAAACCTTCCCCATCCGGGGAGTATCCCGCAGGGACCAACTGTCCGCCCACGAGGCTGGCAGCACGATTCCGAACTCGAGCCACAATGCCCAAACCGCCATCCGTCGAGATGCCAAAGGCGTTTTCCAGCGTCTCACGAGCTCTAGGACCTAGCAATAACCCCGGGATCATCACGAAGATCAGCTCCCAGAGCGGCGGGAGTCCAGCCAGTTCATAAAGAAGGTTGTAAACGACGAAAACACCCGCAACAATCAGAGAGACGAGCAGTGACTGCGAGACGTCAGGATCGATGGAGGAAGTAGGTACGGCAGGGCGGGGCATTCTTAGGGGGCTCCGGGCAACGGAGCGGGGGGTAGAACAATGATAGTATTCTGATATTTCTTGCCGGTTTTTTTCTTCTTTCTTTTCTTCTTTCTGATTGCCCCCTATAGAAGGTTTGCGCGTCGCGGAGTCGCCTTTTCCTTTCGGGGGGGGGCGAGAGTGACGCCTGTTGTTTGTATGATAATTGGTGACTGTTGTCCGTTTCCTACGATACGGGGAATAAGCTAAGAGTGTAGGTTGCGCTGCTGTTCCGTCAGCGAAGTTTTTGTAACACATACCCGATCCAGTCACCCACATGCCACCCATCGATTTAGGGTTTTACGGTCCCGGATGACCGCTGGGCGTGCCGAGATGTTCACCGAGTGTGCAGCGGGAACCACGGTTCCGAGTGCCTCAACCACCCTACCGTCCGAGCCCAAAGTGGCAGTATGATAGGAAGCCAGATCCGTCCCAATCTTGACCAACGATTGTTCGAGTTCGAGGCTGAGCCGAGTTCAGCAAATAAAACAAAACAAAATCGGCCAGGGACAGGCTGGTGAACTCCAATTGCCTCACGATATACGTACCCACTATAAAGCAAATTCTCTAGCAGAAGAAAGATCTCCTAAGGAGCGCTCTTTGGACAAGATCATGACCCCCCCATCACGATCTCCCCCGCCCAGACGATTTCGGTGGTCCAGGCAGCAGTGTTCATCGACCCTGTGCTGTGATCATAGAAGGCTGAGTTATTTGAAAATAATACAGAAATTCGGGAGCATATCACTGGTATGATACAAGACTGGGTATCACCCCAATTGCAACCTCCAACCCAGACCTAACTTGACGTCAAACTCAGCCTTCCCCGGCCTCTCAAGAACCTCAACAACGTCCCAGGCAATACGAGTACAGGCTCCTTATCTGTAGCTATCAACTCCCATCAGCCTCAACCCACCCTGTCGTAGTATTGCATCATGTCAACCAAGCGAAGGCAGCCAAGAAGCAACAGCAGCACAGGTATCAACCAATCCCCGGCTAATCGCCGAGAAAAGGAAGCCACTCATCTCTAAACCGAATACAGTACTCGAGCCACGTGGCGTTTATGGTTACTTTTGCCATTATGGATGGTGTGCGCAGTAGCCCTCCCATCCTTCGCACAGGAAGTCCATATCTGCCATCCTAGTGCCTACTACGGCATCATTGCTCCTTCTTCTTTTTCTTCTTTTTGCGACTGTCGGTGTAGGCGCGCGGGGAGAAGGCCTTCGTTATTGTGGCACCGAAGGCACTTGTCTAGACCCATGGTACTGTACAGTACGTTGGAACACAGTGGGAAGAGGGGCGGAGAAGTGGGATTGCGCATTCCAAATTCAGTCGCCGAGGATTTCCTTCCTTCTACTACCGTATATCCTTCATCTCGCGGGAGTATAAGCTAGGGTGAACAGGTACAAGTTAGCGAGCGGAGAATGAGCTGCTTCCGGATTCGCCATCGCTGCGCTGTTGATCGATCCAATACAACCAATCCGGCGAAGACTTTTCGCTACCCCGAGGGCCTTAGCATCATTGATACCCGCCTCGAGACGGACGGACCTCCTTGTTTAATATTTAAACCTTTCCAAAATCGAGAAACTTCCCGAAGCGCGAGGATGGCGCACCCGAGATTTGGCGCCTAGTTTCACCAATATGCAGAGTAGAGTATCATTCCCGGGGAGAATGTGTCAGGCGCGCGAGTTTGTCAACGAATTCATACTAAGGTTGACCGTGAATTATCAAATAATATATGTATAGCACACACTCCAACCCCACGAGCTGATCCGGGATAGAACCATTCGGCTGACTCGGTATGGAAAATTCGTGCCTGGATATCACTGTTTAGTCCCCAACATTTACCACCCTATCAATAAAGGTATAACCAAAATCGCATAGCACAGTACACCAATCTCGGGCTATGGCGAAGGTAGTTGCTACTCCTCATAGAACGTTGATTGCTTAGTCGCTGTGTAATAGGTGCCAGAAGTGTTGCCTCGAGTTATAATAAGGCATAATCACTCTGTTATCCCTATCACCTAACACCCCCCCCCCCCCAAGATCTACCTTGAGCTGTAGTAATATGCAACATACAGCACTCCATTCAAGAGTATCAACACCGGGAGTAGGCATCATAGCTTTGTGTCGTGGGGAGACGCTGCTAGACCCACGACCTGTCACTCGGCCGGAGATGTTAGTCTACGCACACCGCCGTCATGACCAAACCGCCATTGAATCATCTTCTGGACGACAACAGAGAATTGCAGAGCATTCACCCATTAGGCTCCCCCTTCACAATCCAAGGGCTCAGTTGGGCATCAGGAACGATCATCCGTTTGGAAGGTTCACGGATCAAACTTGGTAACTGAGCGCAAGTGGTTTCTGCACTCGTAATTTGGGACGGCAGTGGGTAACTCATTGCCGGACATGAATCAAGCGGATGTATTCCGTCGATTTAATTTCATCAATTTAGCCCCTATCGTATTCTTCATCGGGCTTTCCCCGCGGGCAAAGGCAGGTATTTCAGAGCACAATATTTAGGGGTTAACTTATAGATTATCTTGGCGTTAGATCTACATTACCGTAATCACGGGAACCTAGCCCCTCAGGCATCTATAATTGTTACCCCGGGTGACCAAATCAGCCTATTATCGACACCGAAGAGCACCATAGCGCCGCTCCCATAACAGCACAGCCTCATCCAGTGCCCAACGACCGGACCCCAACACGAGGAACTACCCCCCCCACGTCGAACTTCACAATCCCTCATCCCCAATCATGCACTTCCATACCCGGGGCAACTCCAACCTAGCCTATCTTATCCTAATTGATACAAAAACAGATACACAAACACCTTCACTCAATAGTTCTCTCTATATTATCCTCCTTGACCGCCGACCTCTTACCCGTGTTGTCGTTCTCGATCTAACAGACATTAGTAATGTTCAGTGTAACAAAATAACGAATGACGAGACGGACGTGCCTCGTAGCGGGGGTCATCGAAAGAAGCCTTCACCATGACACCAGTGGAGCCGGCAGCATCTGGCTCAGTCATGACTCGAGTGATGGTTCCAGTGCTAGTTGAGGTCCTGGATTTACCTATTCTACCAGTCATCCAATCTCATCCATCCATCCATCCATTCATACAGATAGCGTAAAGGCGAATTCTCACCTCCAATAGGATAATACTCAACCTTCTGACCTTCCGCGTACCTCGGAGACGACATGATGGCAGAAGCACCCAAACAAAAGTCTCGAACGAGCTTGTAACGTAGAAAGAGATATTGTAGCTGAGGAGAAGAGTCTCTGAAAGACTATCGCTGGATCGTGTTTCCGGGAGAAATACTGGCTGAGAGCTAGGTCCTTGGGTTTTATTAGAAACCGTCTGGCCACCAGAGTAGGAATAGTATGACGTCTGGCTTGCTGGCCGAAATCGGGCCTTGCTTTTACCCCTGACGCAATACCCCGTCAAGTGGAGGAAGAGTCTGGCGCGAGGAGCAGGTCGCGGAACTGGTTCAGAGAGGCGTGTGTGTGTGCGGAGCCGACGCATGGGAGGAAGCGCACCCAACTATTTCCAAAGTAACTGTGACGTACCGGTGCTAACGAGGCCCCTAACTTCTACCAGTGACCCGGAAGACTCCATGGAACACCTGCGGTACGAGCACCATAGTCGCAAAAAGAAACACACGGGAAGTTCCCCAGAGATGTCCCAAACACCGAGGCGCCGGCATATTCAATCGCTTGTCACAAAACTGTTGTTCCCCAGTTGAGCACAGTGCTGTTAGGGGGGCCTGGCGGGCAACCGCTATTTCCAGGTGGGGCAATCTCAACCCTTGGCGGAGCAAATTTACCCCCGTTGAAATCTCCTCGAACCATAGACTTCTGAGTCCCGTTCATCCAATCCGCCTGCAAAGACGGATCGTCGAGACGAGTGATATATGGTGACCACAGCTCTACGTCACCAGAGCTTAATGCTATCATACGTATCATCCATCCTTTCGCAGCTCTAGCGGGTACGAGGTATATATCAGTATCGTAAGCGATACTAAAGAGTCCATAATCATAATACCAGTGCAGGTACCATAGTGACCATGACAAACGCGCTGGCACGCAGACCGCGATGCTCACGGCCTGAAGATAGTTGGAAAACGAGCATACTCAAGCTTCTGCAGTATTCCGCACTGTCAAGTTTTCTTCAAGGACGCCGTTACCATAGAATGGCAGCCCCTCCCCCGCTTCTATCGGCGGCCGTGGCATCAGTTTCATTGATTATCTACCCGTAGTCCCTCGGGATCGCAGGACACCAGCAAAGTTATCGCGTCATCCATCAGCGTTCTTGTGACTTTCATGCGGCTTCCCATTCTACTTGCCTCCGGCCAATATGTAAACTACCGGAAATCCGTTTGCCCCGACCTCATTCGAGGACAGGAATCTCTCTTCTCAGGTCCCGTCGATATAGTACGACCCTACCTATGATGACACGATGTTATAACCCATGTCATAATTTCTCCTGCACCTTCATCTCGGGTGCTACCAATACCATGCCGTGCTCGAGTAAATAGTTATATCTAAAGTCCGCCTCATACGCGCGGTGAATAGAATTACAAAAAAAGCCGCCTTGATATGATACGAGCACAGTCATTAAGGCCGTAATATACTGCGTCAACGAAACTACCCCCGCCCAGACTACCGGGTTCTGGGTCTCCCCCCCCCCCCCTAACCGGCCACCGGGGCACCGTAGCCTCGCCAAAACCGCCTATCCGGAGCCGACTAAAATGAGGGAAAAAAAAGAAGAAAATCGACGAGATTATCAACGCCGAAAGTAACGCAACTGCGAATAATCAGAAATATAAGAAAAAAGTGAACCCAGAGAGGAATACTGATTCAATTAAGGCACCCCCCGCCCCCAATGCAAATAGGAATGCTATAGATAAAACTCCCCCACCGCACACCGCACGCATCCCTCCTTCTCTCCCCTCCTCTATTTCTCCGCCCTACCCCAGAAACCCGATAGGAATCCTCCCTTCTTGGCCGGCACGGCGGCAGCCTTCTTAGCACTATTAATTACTCGCTTACCCGCCACTTCCCCCTCTTCGTCGCTGCTCTCGCCACTCTCACTGCTTTCTTCGCTGCTATCGTTGTCGTCTCCGTCGTGGGTTTTGCGCACCGTGCCCGAAGGTGGTAGGTGGGCGGAGGGGTTTAGTGGCGCTTGTGAGGAGTGTATGTCGTGCACGTCCGGCACGGGCATTTTTTCCAGGTCGGTGAGGGATTTGTAGGGCTGTGGCGGGGAGTGTTTGGTAGCCATGGTGGTGGGCTTGGGCTTGCTGGTCTTTGCAGAGGCGGTGGTAGGTGTGGTTTTTGGTGCATGGCCAAGGTCAGAGTCTGACGCTGAGCCAATCTCTTCATCTTCTGAGCCGGTTTCAGAGTCTGTTTCTGTAGCTGGGGTAGCAGGTGCTGGGACGGGGTTTTTCCTGGGGAGCTGGGGACCTGAGCGAGAGGGACGTTGAGAGCTCCGCTGGGTGCTCGGGGGTGTCTTTAAGGAATTCGTGGCGGCAGAGGAGGGCTTTAGTGTCATCAATGGAGAAGCGTTTTTGGCGCTCCTGACACGAGCTGTGCTCTTCTTGACAACTGATGATTTTAAGCTTGGCTTTACCTCTTCCTCCTCTGAGTCCGACTCCTCCGAGTACGACTCCTCCGAGTCCGACTCTTCCGAGTACGACACTTCTGAGCCCGGCTCTCCTGAGTCCTCATCGGTACTATGTTCAGACTCACTATCAGACCCTGGTGCCGGCTCTGACTTCAGAACTGGCTCCCCCGCCCCCCGCCTCTGTGGGGGAGCATGAGTTGGCAGCAAACTTGGTTGCGGAGAGGTCTTCTTTATCGAGGTGGGCATCGAAGGTAGTATAGCCAATTTGGTCTTTTTGGCGGGTGGCTCTGCCCCTGCCGCGGGCCTTGCGGGCGTCTTCATTACGACTGCTTCTGCAACGAGTTTATTTGCGCTGTAGCCGGGAGGCAATATCGGAGTAACCTTTGATCCTAACACTGGCGCTGGTGTATCCTTTTTTCCAGTGGGTGTGGGCGAAGATATATCAGTAAGATCTTCCGCAAAAGAAACTGACGACCGTTTTCTTGAACCCTCGAGAATTTTAGTCTTGAGGTTGCTTCTCTTGAGTGTTGAATTAGGGGTTGGAACCGGTGACTCGGGGTCAGTCGTTAAAACCTGAGAGGACTGAGGAAGTAGCTGGGAGGAGGATGCCTCTTTCACCGAGGAGTTCGGTGCTGGCTCTTTAGCTCTCTCCTTTGCCTGCTTTTCTGCCTCCTTTGCAAGACGATTATTCTCTTCATATTCAGCTTGCTTCCGTGCTTTCTCAGCCCTCTCCCGCTCGTGCTTCTCGGCCTTCTCTCGCTCAAGCCTTTTGGTCTTCTCGGCCTTCTCCCGAGCGACCCTCTCGGCTTTCTCGGCCTTCTCACGTTCAAGCTTTTCGGCTCTTTCGGCTTTCTCCCTTTCAGCCTTCTCGCGCTCGGGCTTTTCGGCCCGTTCTTTGGCTTTTTTCTCGGCGGCGCGTACACGCCTTCGTTCGCGGGCCTTTTCTCTCCTCTCATTCAAAGCTTCCTCCCTCTCTCGCTGTATACGTTCCTCCTCAAGTCTCTCCCGCCCTGCCTTTTCTTGCTCGGCCTTCTCCTTTGCAACTCTCTCCTGCTCCCGCTTTTCCTCAGCTAAGCGCTCCCGCTCTGCCTTTTCTTGTTCGGCCTTCTCCTTCGCAACTCTCTCCTGCTCCCGCTTTTCCTCAGCTAAGCGCTCCCGCTCAGCCTTCTCCTTCGCGAGCCTCTCGTTCTTTAGCCTCTCCCGCTCAAGTCTCTCATTCTCCGCTCTCTCCTTACGCCCACGCTCCTCCTCCCTACGTTGCTTCTCGAGTTCTTCGGCAGCGATCCGTTTTTGTTCCTGCAGCTCTACCTCCCTTCTATCTCCCTCCCGCCTCTCGGCCTCTGCCCTCTCCTTAGCTCGTCGCTCCCGCAGCTTCTCTGTGTGTGCCAGGGCTGCTTTGAGCATGTCTTCACGGACAGCGGCATGCTCGCTAGCGCACCCTTTCTCCGCTTTCTCTGCAGCCAACCTCGCCTCCTCAGCCCCCTTCTTGCGCAACGCGGGTGACTGGGAGGGGTTGCCATTGTGTTGTCTTCCCTTATTACTATGAGAAGAGACTGGCAGTGAAGGCTCATCTTCGGAAGAAGAGGAAGTAGGTATATCATAGATGCTGCGTCTGATCCCGTTGGTCACTATATCAATACTTTGTGTGGGATTGGGGGGTAGAGTCGGTGAAGAGTGATGGTCCGGTTCCGCAGAGCCCGGTTCATGGGGAAGGTAAGGCGAGGAGTAGTGTATCTCTTGGACCCCTTCCGCTTGCTCTTTATCTTCAACTTTCACTTCTATGAAAGGTAGTTGGCCCGGGTGCTCGATCGTTGCTGTGATTGCGATTTCGGGTGAAGGAGTTCGGTTACCCAACGAAGGGCTCAATTGACCGCTCTGCTGAGTTGCAGCCACTTCAACCATCCCGCCAGCATCACGCTCACCACCAAGTTTATTATCATGGCCAGTCCTCCGCCTCCAACGCTCCTCTCTCTCCTCCCTATCGTCCATTGAGTCCTGAACCACGTAGTCGTTTGTTCGTGGTCTCTTCGGAAGCCTCTCTCTCATCCTCCCTCTCTCGGAGGAGTGGGCGGAAGGAGCCGGCTCTTGACTAGCATTACTATTAACCTCCGTCACAGTGCCCAACCTTCTCCGTTTTCGTGCAAATTGAGGCCGTAGACTCGACTCGGGAGGAATTGAAGACTCGCGCAAAGTAGATTTCTGTAGAACGCGAACGATCGAGTTTAGATTGTCTTCCAGCTTGTCACTGAACACATCCGAAACGAGGTAACCCAGATCGAGATCATTGCCGTTGGAATCCTGGATCTTATCGATTTTTAGCGGTCTAAATTCACCCACACCCACAATCAGCGAATCAAACAAAAATGATGCAAGTAACGGGCACGTTTGAGCCGTACGGTCGATGGGGATAGAGTCTCTCGAAGCGATTGGATATCGAGACACAAAGGGCCTCCAGAGTAAGTGTGGGCGACGCGATTTCGAGAAAAGAACAAGCCGCCGGAGCTGTGGCGGGGGAACCGCCTGGGACAACGTGAACTTGAAGACGCATAATTAAAAGATTAAACACAGAATCGCATTGGTATTTCCTGAAAAAAAGGGAAGGGTCGCTGAAAAAGAAGGCGGCTTGTAAAGATTGTTGGTGGGAAAATATCGGGAGACGTGAGAGACGTGAGGAAAAACAAATTTCGCGGGGGGGGAAATTCGCGAAAATAACTGTGCGTGCAGTACGATAGGGTTGTTTTGATCGATCTGATTAGATTCTCTAGATCTGATACCGGTAAGGTACCGTACTAATGTTGGGAGTGTGAACTACCGGTACCGATATGATACTGTACGAGTACGGTACATGCACTGTACCGAACTGTACTGGACTATACCGGCACCCTATGATTCCGGCACATAAGGTATGATATGTACTCGCGCGTCTTTGCCAAGAATACCTCCGTGTTCGGATAAAAGGAAAGGAACGGTCAGCAACAGGATGATGTACTTGTAGATACAAGTACCTCAAGCTGATGGGAAAGTCTTTGGGAGCAAATTGGGATGTCTTGGCGCCAGGGCATCCGCCATATCATACTTTTGGAATACATAAGCACCGGTATCAAAGTTACATCAGCCTGCGATAATGTGAGGCCGAGGCAATAAGCTAACCCCAACCCTTTTCACATTTTCTGTTGAGCCTTCTGAATCAAAGTCCCAGTCTGATTCTTTTGAAGTCGAATCATCGGCAGTCCCTCGCGGAGTTTACTGCTCGTCTGTTGCAAACCTCTCTGCTTTGCTTAGCGCCTATGAAAGACTTTATCTATGAAGGATACGAGTACTGAGAGGCAATCGAATTTTCTATCAAAAGCACTTTTCTAGCCCTCGTCCCCACCCCACCACACCCACTCCTACCATGTTAGACCAAACAACCGAGGGATGCTTAATCAAAGACCCCGAGATATCAGAACCTCGGGGTGGCGACGAAGCGCATACATATGTAATCCCAGATAAGCTACCGGTACAGTATCTCACCCCCCAGATGCGCACACCAACTTAACCTACGAGTAACAATCATCCTCCCCAATCTCTCCCTCCCCGCCCCTCCCCCTTTCCCCCGCGCAATTAACTTATAAGCCTCAACCCACAAGTCCATGCTTACCTCTAGCATAGGTCGCCGCATAGGGGCTGCTCTATCCACGGCAATACCACGCATCTCCGTGGCCATACCGCGCTCAGAATCAGCAAGGGTGACCCTCCAAGATCTTCCAAAATCAAATGTTTTCACCACAAAGCTCCCACGTAACATCCCCCCCTCCACTCTCCAATCACAAAATTAACCTTCCTCCAGCCGACCCGCAATTCCCCACCCCTGAGTCCTCCGCGGGAGCAACCCGCTCACAACTCGGTCCACGCATGGTAAAAGCCGCGCTATACACATATGTTCGTCCCGACCCAGTGGAAGATAATCCCGAGCTTCTGGCTGTATCACCGTTGGCACTCCGTTCCATCGGCCTCGCTCGTACGGAGCCCTCAAGACCGGAATTTCTCAAATTAGTCTCAGGGAATGGCGGCTTCGAAGACAAATCGTACCCGTGGGCGCAATGTTACGGCGGCTGGCAATTCGGGCAGTGGGCTGGTCAGTTAGGTGACGGCCGAGCAATCTCGCTCTTTGAGGCTACGAATCCAGAAACCAAAAATCGATACGAACTTCAGCTCAAAGGAGCAGGGCAAACACCGTATTCCAGGTTCGCTGACGGGAAGGCAGTGTTGAGGAGCAGTATCAGAGAGTTTGTTGTGTCGGAGTACCTACATTCCATCGGCATTCCGAGCACACGGGCGCTAAGTTTGACGCTTTTGCCTAGTAATCAGGCTGTTCGGGAGAAGATCGAAACTTGTGCAATTGTATGCCGTTTCGCTGAGAGTTGGATTCGCATTGGGACTTTTGACCTTCTGAGAGCAAGGGGAGATAGAAAGAATTTGAGGCTTCTATCGGACTATGTCCGGGAGGAGGTTCTAGAAATGAAGGAGAAGCCGCAGGTAGTTGGTGAGGACAGGTCGGATGAGGTGTATGACGCAAGACCCAGAAATAGATACGAGGATATGTACAGGGAGATTGTCCAGAGAAATGCCTCGACAGTAGCTAAATGGCAGGCATACGGCTTTATGAATGGTGTTTTAAACACCGACAATACGAGCGTCATTGGATTAAGTCTTGACTTTGGACCGTTCTCTTTCATGGATGTATGGCATGTATCACTTCCAAAGCCTCTCCCACGAATACTAAGGATATAGACCTTCAATCCCAAATTCACACCAAACCACGACGACCACACGCTCCGCTACTGCTACAAAAATCAGCCAACAGTAATCTGGTGGAACCTCGTCCGCCTAGCAGAGGACCTTGCCGAGCTCTTCGCTGCAACCCCCGAAATGCTCGACTCAGAAACCTTCATAAACGAAGGCCTCACCTCCGAAGCAGACGCTGAAGCTTTAGTCAAACGTGCGGAGAAGATCATCGAGGAGGTCGGTGAAGAATACAAAACTATTTTCTTGACAGAATACAAACAACTCATGGCAGCGCGCCTTGGATTTACCGGGTTTCGGGAGACGGATATGGATGATGTCTACTCCCCACTGCTGGATATCCTTGAAGATGCACAGGTCGACTTTGGTCACTTCTTTAGACGCCTTTCCGAGTTGCCAATTTTTGAACTCATGGAGAAGGATAAGGAGGTGCAATTGGCAGCGGCGGAAGAGTTTATACCGAAGGCTGTGCTCACGACTGTGCAGAAGGGCCCGGAGAAAATACTCGATTGGTTGAAGCTCTACGCGGAACGGCTAGAGGAGAAGGAGGATGCAAAGAGAATGGAGAGGATGAAAAAAATTAACCCAAAGTTTATTCCGAAGAATTGGGTTCTCGAAGAGATCATTCATAGAGTAGACCAGAAAGGTGAGAGGGATGTATTGGGGGATGTGATCAAGCTAGTCGAGAATCCATTCGCCGATCGGTGGGACGGGGTGAAGGACGCGGAGAGGTGGTGTGGGGATGTGCCGAGGCTGGAGGTTGGTATGCAGTGCAGTTGCTCCAGCTGATAGGCTTACGCCGTCCTCGGTGGCTTTGGGATGCCGCCGGTGTGGCCTTGTTGTCTTAATCTGTAGTCTTTTGTAGCATCATTAGAGCGGATGATGCGCACTACGAGCTATCATACTCTATTGGCACCAACCCTAGCACTATTGATCTTGTGCTTAATATCTGCTATGATACTGCATGTTTGGAAGGGCACATTGCTCCTAAAACCCGAATCTTTGCTAGGGCTCAAACCACTTTCCCCCGGAGTACAAGGGAGGACAGGACCTGCTTCAAGGCAGCAGCCCTCGAAATAGCTGTGATTCGCATCATGGTAACTGGGAGGCCGCATGAGAGATAGCCTAACCACAAGAGCTGGATGTTGAATCACTACTTTAACACCCCAGTGCGTAACAAAATGTCACGGATAGTACAAGTACTGCTCGGCAGAATCCCAGCCTTCCTGAAGCAAGCAAGAGGACATTCTTTAAACCGTAGCACAGAGCAAGTGAGCAAAACAAATCACGAACATTATTAGCGTAACCTTAAAAATCATAGTGCAGGTACTCATATCATGGTCCCCAAATATAGTAATAAGAGGGGTCGCCCCTCTACTCGAGCATCCTAAACACCTTGGTCGTCGCGCAAGACAGGAGTAAGTTATTGGCTAATGTTGTGGGTGCAATCATGAACGAGGAATCCGGCTATCATCCAGTATCATATTCGTGTGCCGGTAGACTATCTGGTATTCTGCACTGGTTCCAAGACTAGGAAAGGAACCGAACCAGTTCGAATTACAGATCGGGGTGGGTTCTTTGTAGCATCATTTTCACTGATTATCATATCCCGCTCTCCTTCCGTCTCAGACACTCCAAGTAACTCACGGTTCCTTCCCTCGCTCTCATCTTTCCCACGCTTCCAGGCACTTAACCCCCAAAACGGACTCCCGGCTTGGCAGGACTACCAACCCCTGCACCTGCCTACCGTCGCGTCTCACCAAACTTTCACCTGTCAACCTGCCGTAGCACCTTTCCTCTCCACCGCCTCTCCACCACCACCCCCCCCCTTCCCTACCTTTCTCCCACCGGAGCCACACATACATACGTAGAGCAGTAAAAAATAGGAATAATACCGCCCCTCATACCAGAATGCCGTCGGACATCGAGACCTTCGAGAACATCTTCCTCGACCTCTCCCGCACACCAGGTCGTTTCCGCTTCGCCCCGAGTGGAATGGGCTGGCGTCCGACCACTGGCGAGATCTGGAAGATGGCGAACACAGAGCTGAGTACGGCACAATGGAGCCGCGCGGCGCGCGGGTACGAATTGAAGCTGTTCACGCGAACCATGGGCATTGTGCAACTGGATGGGTTTGAGCTCGATGTGAGTTACATCCCCTCCCCCATCCAAATTCCAAGCTCATACTAACACGGTGGCGAAACTGCTACAACAGGACCTGGACAGAGTCAAGGAATGCCTCAAGGCATACTACAAGGTCAACCTCGAGCACCGCGAGCACGCACTGAAGGGCTGGAACTGGGGCAAGGCCGAGTTTTCAAAGTCGGAATTGTACTTTAACGTTGCCAACAAGCCCGCTTTCGAGATCCCCTTTGCCGAAGTGTCGAATTCGAATCTTGCCGGGAAGAATGAGGTCGCGGTCGAGTTTGCTACCGCTGATGCGGGCGGCGGCGGAACGGACGAGGCTGGGAATAAGAAGAAGAAGAAGGCTGCGGCGCAACTGGACCAGCTTGTTGAGATGAGGTTTTATGTTCCGGGGACCGTAAAGAAGGGGGATGAAGATGCCGGTAGCGATGCTGAGGGTGAAGAGAAGGAGATGAGCGCTGCAAATCTGTTTTATGATACGCTTAAGGAGAAGGCCGACATCGGGGAGGTGGCGGGAGATACCTATGCCACGTTTTTGGATATCTTGTTTCTTACTCCTCGGTTTGCTCCCCCGCCTTGCTCCTCCTCCTACCGATACTAATAATAGCCTTACAGAGGTCGTTACGACATAGACATGTACGAGTCCTCCTTCCGCCTACGCGGGAAAACCTACGACTACAAAATCCAATTCGAGAATGTCAAAAAGTTCTTCCTCCTGCCGAAGCCGGATGACGTGCACAACATGATAGTGATAGGCCTAGACCCACCCCTCCGCCAAGGCCAAACCAAATATCCCTTCCTCGTAATGCAATTCAAGCGTGAAGAAGACATGGAATTCGACCTGAATATCACTGAAGACCTCCTCAACGAGAAGTATGCGGGCAAACTGCAAATGCACTACGAAAATCCCGCGCATCAAGTCGTCTCGCAGATCTTCAAAGGCCTGACCGGCAAGCGCGTAATCACGCCAAGCAGGGACTTTTCCTCTCACCACCAACAATCCGGCGTGAAGTGCTCCTTGAAAGCCAACGAGGGCCACCTCTTCTGCCTGGACAAAGCCTTCATCTTCGTCCCGAAGCCCGCGGTATTCATCACCTTCGACAGGACCGCACACATCACCATGTCACGAGTTGGAGGTAGTGTCTCCGCCTCTAGAACATTCGATGTGACCGTCTCGCTCAAGTCGTCCGAGGGCGGCGGCGAGTACCAATTCAACAATATCAACCGCGAGGAGCAGTCCTCACTGGAGGACTTTTTCAAGAGCAAGAACCTGCGCATTAAGAATGACCTCGTCGACGACTCTAGCGCGCTCCTCGCTCAGGCTCTCAAGGACCAGGACATGGACGACGACGACGACGTTGCTGCTGCTAGGGGCTCTGCCGACGAAGACGAGGAGAGCGTTGACGAGGATTTCCAGGCCGAGAGCGAGAGCGATGTTGCCGAGGAGTACGATAGTGCGCATGAGAGCTCTGGCGGAAGTGATGATGAGGATGGGCCCGGCGGGGAGGACGAAGATGACGAGGAGGATGAGGAGATGAGAGACGCGGAGGTGGAGGTTCGTGAGGATGGCCCCGCGAAGAAGAAGATTAAGACTTCGAAGAAGTAGATCGCAAGTTTTCCATCTGTTGATAGATCGAGTCTATTAGGGAGGGAGTGTGCGGGGTCATTGTGGGAGAGTCTTGTATCTTACGTGCTGCTTTCTTCTTACACATTTTTTTCTCCTTTCTTCTACGATAGCGGGTACCACGTTGGCTCTTATACCGCGTGACGGAGTGGCTTAGGTGGGTGGGATAATAGGGTTTCTTGCAGCAATTGGTGAACAAAAGTTTTTAGTTTTTTTTTCTCCCGTCACAACTTCATGCTCTTCACGGTGGGACCTGGGACCCCCGACCGAGTGATAAGACATGATCAGGACTAAACGAGTTTATTCCTATCGTAGCATGACGATGCTCCCACTCCCCTACAACCGTAAACTTACAATCGCCAACATCCAACTTTTTTTTTTTTACCCCCCCACCCACACCATCCAATCCATCCAATCAAGAGTAAGAAGAATAAAGAGTTAGAGTAAGAGTAAAAGAAGTAAAGAAAAGGTGGCTGCTACAATTCAGGTATATATCCAGCTCCATCCATTTTCGTCGATTCCATCCTACTCCATCCCGAACAAAATACAGGTAAAAGGAAAACCCGACAAAAAATCACAAAACAAAAGCAACATAAGAAAATTCTAAACAACTCTCAACTTCCTCTGCGCGCCCTTGCCAGCCTTCGTCCTCTTACTCTTCTTCTTACCCGCATCGAAGGCAGCAGCAGAAGCATGGTCGCGGCCAAGGTTGTCCAAATCCTTAACCTTGTAAATTCTCACAATCCAATTCTCGCTGGTGAAGGCTTCATCCAAGATGTTTAGAGTGGGGCCAACAGCTGGGAGTTTTGCGTTTCGGACGCGGTCTTGGGCTTGGCCGGCGGGGAAGAGAGATTGGTAGTTGTAGTACGACATCTTGTACATTATCGAGTTCTTCATGGTATCAGTGGCGCCGTCATCAACACGGTATTCTCCGCGGGGGGTAAAAAAGTCGCGTTCTTTAACTTCCTCAGGCCAGACGCCTTCTGCGATACGGATCATCCAGAGAAACTGGGTTCATTAGCGGAGCTTGATTAAAGAAGTAAAGGGGAGAATGGTACCTTATTGATATCATCGCCAGAGTATCCTAGAAGACCACCAAAGATGACAAGGACGTAGTCAACATCGTGCTGCCTCAAGATGGGATACGCAACTTCCTCACGGGAGCTCATAGCTTTTCCAACAGTAGCAATATGGGTATTGTTCCAAGTGTTGTTGTCAACCAAAGTGGTACGGTCAGCCATACCACCGATCTGGTACCCGTAATCCCACCAACTCATAATCTTGGCATTGTCCGGAGTATTCTTCCGGAGCCAGTAGTAGGCTTCACGGTAATCGTCAATAATGTGCTGCGATCCGTCGGGCAATCTGGACGCCAAAACAACGGATGGCGAGGAGTAAGCATTGGAGGTAACCCAAGTGCAGTGAAGGACGAAAACAAAGAGGTAGATGCTGAAGGCAGCAATTACCGCAATGCTGGAAGCCTTGGAGTAAATCCCAACAATGGAATCTTTGCCAGCACTGAGAATGTTGACACGGGGCTTCTTCTCCTTCCTCTCATCAGCACCCGGGGCGCCCACTGTAGGAGTTGGAGGGGTCTTGATTGAAAGATAGGTATCCAGGATGTTCGACAGTGCAATGGCAGCGGAAACACAGACGACAGGTGTCAAGGTCAACATCAGGCGAACCATTACACCAGCAAAGTAGCTGGCCATGATAGCATAGATGATGACAAAGACATGCTGGTCCTGAAGAGTGCTGAAACACATGTAGACACCGGCAGGGAACAGCCAAATGAGCATCTCCAAGTCGAAGAAGAAAGCAGGCCATGCGGTGGGCTGATGTTCCGAGACGGATGCAATTATAGGAATGTGGATCTTGGCGTATCCAGTATCCCAGAGTGAATAGAAACGACCAGACCAGGGTGCGATAACTCCGGAAACTGTAAGAAGCACGAGTACAGCAGAAGACAACGCAAAGACGACAAAGATCAAAGCCTTGAGCAATGTCTTAAACTGGCGAGATGGAACCTGGTATCGGACAAATTCGACGAATCCGACAAGCTGGAGAAGTCCAAAAACACCTGCATATGCATTAGCCAATTGCTTTGCCGGAAATAAGACATTCGGGGGCTCATACCAAGTGCGGCCATATGCTCAGAAGATCTGATGGGCAAGAAACCGACGAACGGGACCTGCATACTGCCCAACGTCCCAAGAGCAAACCAACTTGTGTATGCGACATACAACCTCGGCGAGTATCTGCCCATCAAGACCAGCACAAACGCGTGCAGAGGAATCATGTTGGTAATGAAAACATATCCACCCCAAGCGGCAACCATGTAAAAGTAAAACAGGGCACACAGAGCGCCCCAGAAAGCACTCCCGTCCTTCAAGGCCTTGATCCAGAGGTAGAAGGTGAACATCAGCAAGAAGATAGCGATTGCCTCGTTATCGTATGAACCTGCAACGGAACGAGAAATGTAACCGGGTGCAATACCAATGAATGCCGCAGCGAGTAAACCCGCGGATTCATCCTTCATCTCCTTGGTAAAGAGGTACGTTGCGAGGGCTGTGAGACCGGAGAAGGCTGGGGCGAGGAGAACGCAGACATTACGGATGTCGACAGGCATAGAGAGCATACGAAGGATGTGGTAGATTGCGCCGGAGGTCACCATGAGACCTGGGTAGAGAGTTCCTCCGGTAACACGACCAAGTGGATGCCATGTTCCTAAAGGCCACACTGGAGTCAGAAACCCGCGCAGGGTGAAGCGCAGGGAACCGAACGCAGAATCAAGAATAGGAGAGCGTACGATCGTCAAACCAGTCCCAGAAATTGTAAAACCCGTTCTTGACGAGGTATTTCGAGGCACGGAAGTTAAACCATGGATCAACTATAGCGTCGTCAGATTTCCACACCCCAATATCACCAGTACCACTGCCAAAAGTGACAGTTTCTCCAAGGCCCAATATTGTCTCGGATAGACCACGGGGGGATTCCTACATTCATGAATAATGCTTTCAAATCCTGAACCAATAATCAGCCCCAATTCACCAATCCGGACGTGTAAAAGACACAATCCTCAAAACAAAGGGGTTTTATCAGTAAAGGCTTACGTATAACAGAAAACAACCGACTCGAAACGGCGGCACCAGCAATGGTGATGAGAATAACGACCTTCAGCAGTCTACGGATATTCCTCGTAGACTCGTCCTTGAGGAGAGCCTCCATGGACGACATGGTTGAGAAAGAATGGTGGTGTTGAAGGGGGAAGGTTTGTTGCTTGTTATTCGCGGAATTGCCTAACAAGCCGTTCTTGACGACGGCATTGGCATCTTTTGGGCTCGTTGTTAAGCTGGCCTCTTCTCACGGGTCGGTATGGTGAGTACGCCGGGGCCGGGGGTACACGCTATCATGAGCAGGTGTCCTCTGTATCACGTGATATACTGAGAACAATGTTTTGGTGCAAAGCTCAGCCCGGCGCCGGTACTTGTGTCCAGTGCCAGGCCCTTGCTGCCCCCACCACGGTAAGCTTGTTGATATGATAGCAGAGGGGCAGGAGGGCCCAACAACCATCCACCAGCACCATAACAATACAGGAACAGAGTCTAACAGCAAACCGAGCACCATCAAGAGTTCGCTCCTGATATAGTTAACAACTTCCTCTACCCGCATTCCACAATAGCCGTCCGGAACCATGTCTTCGGAAAAGGGTCTCCAAAAGTTCTCCCTAGCCTACCTCTCCCACCTCGCATCCTCCGAAACACCCCCGACCATTGTCGAGGCGCTCGCAGATCTGGAAACAGAAGCAGCTTTAACTCCCTTCTCATCAGACTCTGCCATCCTTCTATCAAACTTCTACAGCATCTACTTCTTCGCCCTCTTCCTTTGCGATGACTTGTAGCCCCCCCCCCAGTTTCCACATGGATATAACGTGAACTAACACAAAGCGCCTCGGAACCAGAAATGAAGCACGCTTCCTTAGCAAGCGTATCCCCCTACCAGCACTCCAATCGGACCCGCTGCTGATCAGCACATACACGCTCCTTCGCTTCCTCTACACCAGGAACTACGCCGAGACATACACCGTTATCGATTCCGCTCCTTGGTCCGAACATGTCAGCCCTCTTGTCTTCCGCTTCAAGGACTATTATCGACAGAAGACGGCGGTATTGCTGTCCAAGGCATACTCGAGTATTTCTCCGGTTCACGCGGCCGTTTACCTGGGCTTTAAGGGTGACGAAACCGGGTTGCAGGAGTATGTTGCAGAGAGGGGGTGGTTGCTGGATGAGAGTGGGCTTTTGAAGCCCGCGCCTACGGAGGTTGAGGAAGGGGGGATGGATACTGACGCTGAGGGCAATGACATGAGGATTGCGATATTGTCTGGGCTCGTTACCCACTTGACGGAGGTTTAGGGTGGAGACGGAGAGATAAAGGGGAAAGGTTATAAGTAGGGGTGAATTGTAATTAGGAGATGGCTGGTTAAGCTGGGTCCTAGACAAAACCTTTTTCCAACTTTAGTTTTAATGAACCGCTGACGAAATCCCTCCTTTTTTGGTTGTTGTGAACCCTTGGAACAGTACCTATAATATCATACAGTACGACACCGTTATAGCATACGCCAACACCAAACCCCCCAACCAAATGCCCACGGGAAAAAAAAAAAAACTCCAACACCAATGTATACGGTACAGTACAGTACAGCAAACTAGCAGCGGTCAACTCCCATTGTATCATCTTATCCCCTACTCATTCACCCGTCTAATCATCAAAATCGAAACTCCCAGGAATCCTCACCCTCCTCTCCACCCCCTCTTCCTCTTCCTCATCGTCCACGTTCCCCGCACCCTCCTTCGGCCCCCTACCCCGAACATCATTCCCCCTCCCCTTGCCTTTCCGAAAAGGACTCCGATCCCCAAACGTATTCTCAGGTCTAACTACCGCTCCAAGCCCCAGCCCCACTCCGGTTCGCCTCCCGCTGGTACTCGGCGGGGCAACCAATCCACCCCCCAATTCCTTCTTACCGCTATTCCCGGACGTTGTCACTTCCTCCTCCTCTTTCACATGCACATTCCCGTTTGTCTCCACGGCCGGTGGGGGGGGGCGAGCGCCGGTGCTAATAGATCTTTTCCTCGGCGACGACTTCGGGGAAACCGCTGGTGGGGTCTTGTTCCCGACCAAGCCGACAAGGTCCTCATCGTCGTCACTGGATTCGTAGAATAGGACTGCGGTGGGCTCTGCACGGGAGCTTAGTGGGTGGTAGACTTCTCGGGGGCAACCGTAGAGGGTCATTTTTGGGGTTTTCGTTATGGCAAGGGGTGAACTTTAGTATCTTGTAGAGGTGGATGTGTTTTTTTGCCTTTGCTCCTCTGATTGGGGAGTGGGAGTGGGAGGGATTGGTGTTTTTGATGGACGGGGAAGATACTAGGCTCTTCGTGCCGGGTTGGCAGTAACAGGGAAGGCGAGGAGGAACTTGGTTGACGCGCAGCGGCTTGGCGAAGCACGTGAGCTACTGTACGAGTACGTTACGCGTGAGATTAGGTAAGGGGAAGACAACACTTTTTCCCTTCGTCGGGTTGGGTTTGATTGGGCTGCGCTGTTGTGTTGCGAAGTATGATATCACACGATAACTTTTGTGATGATGATGGTCATGATGATGATCATGATGGCTGCGGAGAAAGTGTTTATAACATGGGGACAACCCCTAGCGTGTTGAAACTCTAGGATCGGCGTGTACGGTACTCGTACAGTACCAGTATGAGGGATGAGGGATATAATTTATATGATAATTGACCCTGCCCGTAGTATTGGGTTTACGACATGACTATTAGTAAATTCCGGTGCTGGAGTTGGGTTGAGTTGCCATCAATGGACGGCACAGTCCGTAGGAGAGCGGGGGCAGGTGTGATATTGGTCTGGAAGTGACTGTCATGTATATTTCGCTCTCTCACTCTCACTTTCTCGTTCTCTATGGGTGTTGGGATGAGATCTTGGGGACTTCACTGGTATGGTAGCTATCGTCAAATATCTACAGGAAGAGCCACACGTTAAGTCTACGATGGAAAGAAAACGTATCATACCAGAGGAAGGAAGGAAGGAAGGAAATAAACGAGTCCACCCCAAAAGTTCAGCTTCGAGACGTGAGAAAGATATGAAAAATAGGATGAAATAAAAAGAACGATACCCCAACCCGGCCCAGTAGCTATAACTCTACTTTACAATAAAACGATTAGAAAAGAGGAGGAGGAGGGAAAGTATCCCTTAGAAATACAGCGACCCAACTACGCCGGACCACCCGTGAATAGTGCAGTGCGTTCGTTCGTTGCCTAATCCCTATACCTGCGATCTCTGCCTCCTCCCCCTCCACCACCACCACGTCTACCGTATCCGCCACTACCTCTACCCACAGCAACAGTATCCCTCCTCCCGCTACCGCCACCACCGCCTTCCTGCAACGGAACATTATCCTCAACCCTCTCACCTCTCCTCCACTCGCCGCTTGGAACACTAACCCCCCCCATGGCAGCCACACGCGCACCTCCACGAACTCTGAACCCACCGAACCCATTCTCCCGGGGCCCACCCAAGACTCCGCCCCTGCCGCCTCCAAAACCGCCCCTGCCATTTCCCGTTGCTCCGACCCCGCCATGGCCCTCGGGGTAGATACACACGTCGATCCAATCTCCCACTACAAACGAGACCTCGCCGAGCGTCTTCCGCCCAACATTATCCAGCGTCGCGTCACCGTTCGGCACCACCGCGCCTAGGTCCTTTGATGTGTAGCGCGTCGTGTTGTACCGCGTATCCGCAAAGATGAGGCGGAAGCCACAGCGGGAGCGGGGCGGGCAGATGTTTGGCAGCGCATGCGAGAGGAGCATGCTTAGCTCATTGAGGGTGCAGTCGCGCCAGGTGTAGATTGTGACGTGCTCACGGGGTTGGGAGTGTGCGCGGAAGTCATCTAGTCTGTTTTATAGCATTTTTTTTCCCTTTTGGTTAGCCGGACTGTGGTTGCGAGAGGGAAGATTGGGGAGAAGGGGGGGGGGTAATCAAACCGGTGGAAGCCGCCTTGTCTGTAGAAGAGTTTTAGCAGGAAGGGGGTTGTGCGCCGACGGTCAACCTTTATTGGCGCGGCGGCGGTGAGCGGAGAGGCTGCTGACATGATTTGATAATTCAGAAGGTATCTGTGCGATTCTAAAGTGGAATTGGAAAGAAAAAAATAGTTGGATTTGGCGTGGTGGTTGCGAGTGAGTTGGAGCTCGAGATTTGCTGGAGTGTTGATCAGTTAAGGCAGTTGCAAGGCATCTTATCAGATCTTATCAATCTCATCTGGATTGTCTTGGTTCTTTTGAACAATCCAATGTTGGCCCGAAGCTTCAGGTTGAGATAACACAACATCCTGTTAACTTATATGATAGCTTGATGCAAGACATTGGAGATTTATGATCATAATATTATGGTAGTATCATAGAAGCGCAATCCGCTGCCTTGATATTGATAGCCCGCTATATTGTAGGAATGCAAACCGGTACAGGGGCAAGTTTTCCTTGTGGAATCGCATTAAGAAAGACCAAAAGCGCTGCAAGGTATCGAGCGTACACCCTCGCCTCCCCCAAAGGCAGGTAAAAAGTATCTAACAAAGGAAATCACACATTCCAACCTCTAACGATCCGTCACGACGCCAATTTCCCAACAAGCATTCGGAAGAAATAAACCTTTAATATCACCCCTATTATCCCTTTTTCCACGTCCCAATTAGTTTTCCTTCCCCTTAAGCCCGTAGCAGTCCAAAAAAGAGCGTCCAAGTCAGAATGAATGACGAAAGGCTGCTTCCGCTAAACACCTCCGAAGTCCATATCTCGCTTGTGCCCCGGAAGTAGTTTTGTGGCTTCCCGCCCGCGATGAAGACTACCATCAGCACCGAAACGATGGAGGAGCCGAGGAGGTAGAAGATGAAGCCTGAGTATGACTCTAAGCCTAGTATTCCGGCCGCGATGCCGAATATTGATGAGGTGAGGGAGCGGATGTCGGCGATTGTCTGGTGGGAGGTTAGTTGGTAAAGGAGGCTCGGAAAACGAAGATGGGAAAAGGGGAGGGCAAGCAAACCTTTGTATTGTGAATGACATTTTCGGGGACAACGGGGTTTATCTGGAGGTCCTTTTCTTCGGAGTTCATGATGTATTGCCTCGAATGATCTGGGCGGTAGTGTGGGATAGGTATGATATTTCGTCCCAGTTGTATGGACAGCGGCCGGAAGCCACCCAAGTCGAATGTTGTCCCTAAATTATTATCAGATCCACCCGAGAGACACGCCAAGCTCCTAACAACCGCCATACCAAAGCCTCTCCCCCCCACCAATCTTGATCCCACCATCACAATCTCCATCCTCACCCCTCCAAACCAGTCCACCTCAAAAACATACAAACCCAGCAAAAAAGAAAAGAGAAATGTCACGAAACGTCCAAATCGAGGAAGTCGAGGACTCCGACCCCGAAGAAATGGACATCTCGCTCTTCGACCCCCGTGCTGCCGCGGCCGCGAACCCAACTCTAATGGACCCGACCGCAATCCCTCGCGGAATAAGGCCCAGCTACCCCCAGACCCAATACGTATCTGCAGACGAGAGCTCCTACAAAACCTACCAATGCCTCTACCCAGTATACTTCGATAGCACCCGGTCCCGCGCCGAAGGCCGTCGTGTAGATAAAACTCACGCAATACCAAATCCACTCGCCCGCAACATCGTTGACGCATGCACATTCCTTTCTCTAAAAAACGTATTCGAGCCCGGGAAGACGCATCCAAAGGACTGGGGGAATCCGGGCCGCGTAAGAGTGTTATTCAAAGTGGATGGAAAGCCAACTGGTAACATCAAGAACAAGTTCATGCTGTTTAAGGCCATCGGGAAGTTTTTGGGGACGAATCCAACTAGGCCAGAGGATCCGCTGAGGCTTAGGATTCCGAATTTCCCAACGGACGGGAAGCTGGCGGAGCCTCCTGCTGTCCCCAGGGGGTGGAAGTTGGGCACGATTCTACCGACGCATTCGGCAGCGTTGAGTGGTGGGGGTGTGAGCGATGATATATTTAAGGAGATGATGAAGGACATGGGTATGGATCCCGGCGGGCCGAGTGGGGGCGCGGTGGAGAAGAAGGAGAAGAAGGAAAAGAAGGATAAAAAGAAGGGGAAACGGTGATTGGGTGCGGGTAATGGTTGTTTGGACCGACCGAGTGGGATGGCTTCGCGTTGTATATACACTATTACGCGCTTGGATGCTTAAGCATGGATGTTTATGCCTTTTATGTTTTCTTGATTTGATAGGCTCGAGAACCTATGCTAAACTAGATTGTACATCAATCTATGGAGGGATTATTTTGGACACCTGCTGGCTACGTTGGCGTCTGGTTCCCCTCCAAGCCCCTCTCTACGTTTCCCAAAAATAACAAGCTCGAGTATTCGGAAATATAGGCCATGAAAACCACCCAAACTTTTTGGATCGATCCGCTCCCGAGCCGAGCTTTATATCATAGTCTTTATCGTCACAGGCCATCACTCGGCTCTCCCAAGATTTCTTCCCTGCTCCATTGGAACTCGTGGCGCTTGACCCTAGGGTCCGGCGTAAGGCCCCGGGTAGGGCTACCAGAAGCCTTTGGCAATGTAGCTCTCCTCGCTGTACATTTGTCACCATTAGAAGCTGCATGAAAGCCTTTACCGGTAGCCGTCCGTGAGTGGGGGTGGAGGGAGGATGGCGGAGGAGGAACGAGGGCCTGGTATCGTATCAGAAATCAGACGTTAGATACTTGCTCACCCTCACCTCGCCTGCCCCACCCCCTCTTCCGACATGTGGTAACCATGAAGATGGATGCAGCGTGGAGCCATGTGAACCTTACTGCAGGTAGTTGGTTGACGACATTTTTGAAAAAAGCACAGCAGCGTTTATGGTTATTCTATGCAGGCTCAGGGGGCGGACAATCAAGTCAACGGTGGCTTCACCCAGCCTGCAATAGCACTAGAAACCTTGAACACGATGAGGGTGGCTTATGCGGGAAGGGGTGGCTTAGGTGAGTTATAAAGCATGGGCGCCATTTCAGCTCAAATCGACCATACCTCCCGTGCCGGTATCCGACAGTCCCCAGAAACCCATCCCCGTGATATTCAAATACTTGGAGTTCCCTCTATACGCATGGCTAGTGACACATCCCCATGCAGCACTGATACTCTTGTCGCCCTAGGCGCTGGAAACAGGGATAGCATGTGGACACCAAGCTGTTATCGGGATAGGTTGTTTTCTTCCGCGAGGTTATGTTCTCAGCCTTCCCGTCGGGAGATATTTGACACAAACTACAGTAGTGCACAACGCCCCTGTGGGTACCCGCTCTAAACTAATGATTTCTTGGGCACAAATTTTCCTCGGATCACCCTTGATACGGTTTCCTTCCCATCTACCTAGCTCAGGCTCCCGGTGCGGCATAAACAGTACTCGATAATCAGGTGACAATTTCCCTTGGGCTCGGGTACTGTATTCTTGGTGGTATCCCTCGGGCCATCCATCGTCTCGCCCCAAAGAAAATATGGAGACGCCAATAATACTGCAAATGTGCGCTCCTACATGTCTGCGATAACTGATGGCCTGTATTTCTGGGAGGTTGTTACGGCTATAGGCCGGAGGGGTAGTTAGGCTTGTGGGGTGCAGAAGGGAAGATAGAATACGCAGACAGGGTATAATAAACGTTCGAGACGTTTAAATTCAATAAATGTTGAGGAACTAAGACCAAGAAGGGATGTATATTTAAATTTAGAGATGTGCTTCTCAGTTTGATCCATCGCACACCAATACAATTCCACCCTCAACTTCGCTCACTCCACCCGGGCCTAGTTCTCGTCTCCCGTCGCAGCCAGTATCCCACCACCATCACATATCCTGTCGCTCCACAAATGGCTCTACAGTAGCAGCAGGACGCAGATACATTACCTTAGTGCACGGCGCTCAAGTGACGAGTGATAATAGGTGATATTATGCTAACTACTCCCAGCCCACTCCCAAGGGCTTCTGCACGAGTAGTCAAAGAGATCGGAATACGAAAAGCATCGCTCCAGTGAGAAACCCCACCTTAGCATCTCTGACAATGCGACAATATCATATGAGATCCCGTCTATCAGAAACTTTTACAGCCGGTGTCCGGAGTAAGGTATTACTCTGGGATACATCCGCTACGAAGGTCGCCCCGCCCAATATGGACTTTAACATCCTTTGATAAGAGCACCTTCTCGCATTTTCGGGGCTATTACAGCGGGAACATTCGTGCAAGGATCCGTTCGTTACCCAAGACACAGTTACCAGCTCGAGCAGTGTGGCATAAGCACTGAATTTCACGGCACTAGGATAGGCCTGACTCGGCGAGATCAGCGCACATATCCGATTTCGTGTGAAAGCTTTACGGATGGGTATTTTACGGCGGCTAAATTTATACCCACAGATTGTGGTGGGGGGGCGGGGGTTATCTGGTTACCTGCATGATATATTATTGCCTTTAGCGGCCCTGTCCGGAGCGGATTCGAGATACCTCTTATCTTAACAATAGCTACTCTCTGGAGCCCTGCTAGTGTAGAGTTTGGGAAATGGGCTGTGGGTAGAGTAGTAAGGTATCATATAATGCCACTGATTACGTGACGAAGAGGGGGGGATAAAAGACGAGGACCACGGCAGCAAGGCCGCACCTTGGGAATTAGTTCAGGAGCGAGGTTTCCCTCCCCCACCCCCTGCACGTCCAAAGCTGTATCTGGAGGTCTGAATGGGTGTCTTTGCATCGTTTTTTTATAATCTGATCGCTTCGATTTTTGGGCATCGCTGGTCTTACTAGAGTAGGTATCCTAAATTTAGGTGGAAGCTAATAAGACGTAGTTGAAATCTGGCAAAAAATGGACCGATAGTGGGAGTGAGCGGTATCAAAAGCATTTTTTTAACCCACTCCCTAGCCGTTTTCGATATCTTTTCATGTGTTACACTACACCGCATCAGAACAGCATCCTAATGCTACGTTTTCATGAGCCAGTGGGATATAGCTGTTACGATTTTATTGCAAACAGTAGCTTCAGAGAAAGCATTCCTGGTAACATACTTCAAATATTAAAAGGAATCAAACCAATATGCTAAACCCTGCTCTCACACATCCACCTTGCTAAACTCCTCGTCGCTATGCTATACCTATCTCCAAATAGGAACGGCATCACAGAAGAAACAAGAAAGGCATCACAAAAGAAATAGGATCGAAATGAAACGAGTAACGCGTCTACTCTGGCGTCGATGCTAACATCAATATCTCCCCACCGACAGAGTTCGTCCAGTGCCGCACCCTGCCCACCATCCCCCCAATTCCCTGCCAGGGAGTCATTGGCATCTCAACCCCACCGAGCAAGATGCAGAGCATGATCAGAGAAATAACCAGCCCGATATCCCTCAGCGCACCCCTTGTTATCACTCCTCCTTGCGTTCTTCCTTCCCCCCCTCCTTCCCCTCCTCTTTCTTTCCCATCCTCAAGACGGGGAAACCCCACCACCGCCAAATCCCCAAGCTCATCACCACCATCCAGGTCCTCCGTAAGCACCACCACTGCCTCTGCCTCCGGCCCAGTATTCTTAGTGACTTCGCAAACATCGTACGGCGGCAACCTCCACCCGAAAAAAGGTTTCAGCTTTACCAAGTCTTTGGTTACCTCGTCCTCGCCGAGGTATAGAGTCTCTGCCTCCAACTCCGTATCTGCCGTTATCTTTGAAATCCACTCATCTTTCTCCCACTGAGTCGGCACTTTCGCTATCCCAAGATCCCCAAGCGCGCTCACCACCTTCTTCAAATCGCACATGAACGGCATCTCGTGCCTCGCCCTGGACAGGACAATGGCAAACCAGTAGAGCGGTGCATTGAACTTGGTTTGTAGCTCGTCCTCCGTGTCGGGGATTTCAAACATGGTAAGTAACTCGGGAACGAGTTTAGTCACGACCAGCCGGTTTTGGAACGCTGCCTTAGAGATAGGCAATAGCTGGATCGGTGAATTCACGACCGATTCGGGGATTATTTCCCGCTCGACTAGCTTTTTTACCAGATCCATAATCTCGTTTTGTTTTCTCGTGCGCCAAGAGATAACGGCGTTTAACGCTACGATGTTTCTCTCCACAGCGGTGCCCGAGAGGATGTCTTTTGCCACGCTGAATAAGTCGAGGTCCAGGTATGTGCTGCCTCCGCCGAAAGAGTGAACCTCCTGGCGAATCCACTCGATGAACTCATCGCCGGTAGGGCAAACGCACTGGCCTGGATAAATCGCTTTTGGCGTAAATTCCCCCATTTGTTGCTTGAGGAGGCGGTGGCAGGAGAGGGGAGGGAAAGGAAGGACAGGAATGGATTCCGAATGAGCGCTATAACATCTAGAGGCCTCTGAGGCAAAAGTGTAGGGAGGGAGAAGGGGAGGCGGGATGGGGGGTTGTGAAAGCTTCTGGTTTTATAGAAAGGATGGGCTGGCCCCCTCCTTTCAGCCGCGCGCTTGGGAGCCTTACTGCAGGCGGCCGACATCTAAGTGCCATTTTCAGAAGTTGTGCGTTTCCCTCTCGCCATATAGTAGGCTGTAGGCGAATCAAAAAGAAAGCTCTAGGCCCCAACGTCTCGGTGGGGGGAAAGCCTTAAATCAGGCTGCCAGTTCCCCCTCCCCGAGTGAGCACCTGTGACGCCATGCACGCACAGCAGCCTTGAAATCTCCAACATCCAAAGAGTCATACACCAAGCCTCTACTCTGCGAAATAGGCCCCTCTCCATGCCCAATGACCGTCCGCCCCACTGTTCGCGGCCTAAGAGCAGAAAAGTAATGTCATAACCTCACCCATCCGCCAAAAAAGGAACATTTCCAGTCCCACCACCGTCGCAAACACACACACCCGATACATACCACTCGCAGAACAAGAGAGAATTATAGAGGCCCCTTTGGCACTGCCAAATCCCCTATAAAGTCCCCCACTCCATCGCTGTAGTCTTCCGATCACACGTTAAACCAAACTTCCTCCATTCTCCTCCTCCAATACTTGCCAAAGCAGTTGCGTCCCAGATTTATCCTGCGTACAAAGATTCATCAAAATTCTAAACCAAAACACCCCACTCGTACGTGGCTCCTCCCCTCCCCCCCCCCCACTCCCCTCCCTTCCCGCGTTCACGCGTAGAGGGGTTAATCCTTGATCCACCATATCTAGACCGGGACCCCACCGCGCAGCATGTTCTCCCCCTCCACCGACATCATGGAAATACTCCGCTACTACGAGCTCGTGCTCGACACGCTCGCTGTTACAATTGTTATCATATTAGCGGTCACCATGCTCCGACATCTCCCGACCCCAATTCGTAGATATCCTTGCTGTAGGAGTATATGTCTTCCCCATGATGCGGTGGTGATAATACAAAGAAAGGATCAGGGTCCCCAGACGGTTGATACCCCGGAGGGCGCCAGCACGGAAGGGCCGGACCCGAGCGATGGCAGCTAGGGTGGGATTGAATTCCTCGTGGGTCATGCCAGGCTGAGGAACCGAAGTGGCTTGATATGATATAGCGAGGGGGGGGGTCGAGGGTTTCTTGAGTTATTAGAGGGAGGGGGGATATGTCTAGAATGCGGTGATACTATTATTTATCTTGTTTCCAGATTTACCTCTTTTGATTTTTTTCGAATTGGTCGCTGCGATAAGGATTGCTGAAACAGTTTTGTGTCGTTGTTTTTCAATAATATCACACCAGTGACAACATAAGCATCGTCCAAGATTCCAGTGTCTTACCGTACCGTACCCTCCGTCCTCACGTCATTACATACGGTAAGTATGCCATGATGGTAGTATATTCCGCCAAAAAAAACAATGGTCCGGTGCAAGTTTGATGAAAGTTTTGTTTGCTATAGCTACTACTACTCTTCAGAGGATTCAGATCCGCCCAAGGCCACAATTGGAGCTGAGTGGCCCACATCTTTTCCGAACACTATGTATGAGGTGATACCTTTTTTAACACAAGTATCAGTGCTGGCATAAGTCTGTGGAGTTGGCTGCTTTTGGTGGAGACTACGTTGTGCCCACTCAATTGAGAAAGACAAAACTAGCAGGTAAGACTCTCTTCCAGATGCAGCGCACTATCGGTATACCACCCAAGATCGCAAAGAGGCGTGAGTCCAGCTAATTATGTAATTGGGGATTTGTGGAGCCCAAGGCGCATCATAGCCCACGGAACGGCTTCACAATGGCTCAAGGAGAAGGGCCGAACTGTATTGAAGGGCAATGAATGGGTGGGGACAGGATGGCGGGGTCTTGGTTGGTTGGTGAAAGGATCCCAGGTATCGAGAGCTTGACCACACACTTCTGGCTTAGTTTTGAAGGTTGGGGATAGGATGGTATATAAGTGGACACTCCCACAGGTTGGTCAAGAACACGGACATCGCCCCCAGGTGTATAGTACAGAGTCGGATACTACCCCTTCATAGGATCTCTCATTTGTGTTGAGATGGTGGCTGCTATCAGAATGCGCAGTGGTAATAGAACCGAACAGTAAAAAGAACATCTGTGGTGGGATAACGAAGAAAGGTGCGTACTTCATCTCTTGCTCTCCCCCCTCTAGCTAATTGGTAACGACAGGTGTATAAGGAAAACATTATCAAAGGTATCCGATCTCTCCATGAATCACTACACCCATCTCTAACATTCCATCCATGTCCAAACTCCTCCGTCCACATCCATGATAACAAAGGAAAGACATATCTATAGAATCAGCCTTCCAGCCTTCAAACAAATCTATCATACTGCCAAACACTAAAACACTCCCACAACTTCTATAACAGCCTTGTCCTTCCACCACACTTCCCGTGCCTTCCATGACCAACCACAACACACTATCTCTCGTGACTTCAAGAATTTGCCCTGCAGGCCACTTGAGGAAGGCAAAGGTCTTCAATCTCCTAGTTCCCATGGGGCGGGTTCTCTTGATTCTCCTGCTCTACGTGATGGATCCTTCAATAATAACCTATTTATCAGGGGAAATTGAACACCCGAGCTCCGGCTAATTGCAGGTGGGTTAATTAGCTCTTGGCATATTATCGACCGCACCAATTAACATCGCTCCAGGGACAAACACCTAGACCACGGGCAGGTGCATTTAGATTTTCCACCCGATTGGTAAATACTGCATTAAATATCGGAAACACCACCAGAGCAGAGAAATCCTTAATAGGAGAGAGAGAGATCATAACCCGCAATCACTGATATCTAACGACAAAGTCCCTCAGCCCGGAATATTCACACCCGGAATATCAGTGACGAAAATTCTCCACTCTGTCTTTCAGCAAAACACCATTCGGAGAGGGATTCTGGTCACACATGTACGATACCGGCCCAAGAAACGTACACTAGTTAACGGATAACAGGAGAGCGTTATCACATAATACAATATTCGCGGCTATGATACGATAAGTTAGACCCCGTTCAGGGCAATTGCACCCAACCCCGAAGTCAGGTGCCACCGGTCCCCGAGCAAAGTACCACATGAGCAGTGCCAGTGTCAAAAGCAACTAACCATCATACCGGTGGTATTATAGGTAACGAACTGAGCCAACTAAGACCACCATACATTTACACATTCTCATTTCCTTATCTGCGAGAAAGACCCCCCCCCCCAATTCGTCCTCTATATACTCATCCGGGAGAAAATTTTTGAACGGATGGACAAAGTCGATTCAAACTAGCATTCATCACAAGTCGTCACTCGGCTATTCAGGACATGCCTATGATGAGAATTTCCCCGTAACCTTGAAACGTTCAGTTGGTAGAACACCCCGCCATTCCATACGAACGATGCGATGACAGTCAGGGGGGACTGTTTTCCGCAACAGCCCATTCACTGCGCTCACAAAACGTCTAGTACGAGCGCCAGCAATTAACTCTCTTTCTTTCTCTCTCTCTGTGGCTACCCAGAAATTAGAGCCCTAGACCTCCTGCACCCAAGCCACTGTGGAGCCATAAATCACGACTTACAAGGCGAACCCGATTCCATCCAAAAGCATCCTATCCCTCCTCACGGTTGCTCGGGTATTTGCGGCCGGAGGAAGAAGGATTTCTAGGTACTCCAGCGATGCAAACCCTCCAGCAGGGGGGGGGGATAGTCCAATATAAATAGCGTAAACAAGAAACAAGAAGGAACGAACAGAACCCCTCAAAAATCCATAGCTCGCCACTAGCATTCCCCACAGAACTAAATAAAAAATATAAAAAATAGAAATAGTTCAAAGCAAGCAATCCATCCATATTCACCCACACTCCAGAAACTCACTTTCGAGTGATCGTATGTGATCCGCGCCATCCCTGCAACACGAGCAAAGGTCAAGTGACAGAAGCCCTCCCCCACCCGGCCGTTGGGTGCAAGAGACTACGATATGAGACCCCACACACTGAAAACATCCATTCTAAAAAGAGCTCACCGAGTAACTCAAGGGATTTTCAAGAACCGCAACGAATCGCGGGAAATGGCTATTTTTTCATCCCATACGAAGGCATGAACAAAGCGCGTAAAAAAAATCCCACAACTCGAGTAAATTTACGGCGGGATCCATCCATAGACAGTGAAGTGCAAAGGTCACCACCACCACCACCACCCTCGATCCATACCATCAGCAGTCCCTCAATCCTCGCAAAGCCTTCTGCGAGTACTGTAAATTATCGGTAGACTAGACTAGACTAGACTATCCAATTCTCCTATCATAAACCGCTCTCCACCCGCCCGTCCGTCCGCCTGCCCTCTAGCTCGATCGGACCTCGCAAGAAATAGAAGAAAGCTCGAATTCGGTTTCTGCGGCAAAAAAAAAAAAACCGCAATCGATTCCAAGTTTTTTCCTTTTTTTCGTCCTGTGACGACATAGTCTTACCCTGCGAGCACGAGCACTGTACTTTTACCATCCAGCCCACCGGTACCATATGGTACTGTAATCTAGTACAATACTAGTACAGTACAGTATCATACACATCCCTCCCTCCCTGGTCTCTCTACTCGTATGATACACCATGCCCACCGAGACGCGGGGTCCCACCCGCGCCTACCTACTATTACAGTACCCACGTGCTACAGTGCCGGGTACAGCTCCCAACCAACCAACCAACCAACCAACCGAGATGCCCATCCCTGTGGCACGGATCTGTGCTTTTGCAACCCCGGCCCGCACGCCAGGCTGGTGGCGAAGCTTATCATACCCTTTCCCTTTCGCACATGAGAGCGGGCATGCGACCAGGCTGCCGATGCCATCGAGCTACGGTAAGGTAGTAGAGCTTCCCCGGAGGGAAACGTGCAAGTTCAGTGAGAACGTGTATTCCCGTGGGTTGGTATATTAGCATGAGATATGCAGGGCCTTCCTGGGACACACTGCCAGTGCACCAGGTGCATGAATCCACTGAAGGGGGGCATCTGATGTGTGGAGATAGATGACATACGAGGTCTCTGAATGAACATACGTAAATCATTCTCGTACAATCCTGAAAAAAAACGCCCCTGCGCCGCCGCTTGCGAAATGAGAAGAGAAGCCAAGTCACGAATGTCATCTAGGAGATTACACTAAAGGAGACCAAAAACGAGAGTGCGGTAGCGCTGGTTACAAGCTCAGAGGGCCCTATACATAGGAAACCCCGGGATATGTCAGATGTGCGTGTGTGTATGTACGGGTAGACGGATGGAGCAAAGTACTTGGGTACGGGGAAGCCAAAGCAAGAGAAAAAAAACTCATAACCCAGAGGAGAAATATACGCCCAGAAAGAAAACAGAGGTAAAGGGAAGGGAGCCCGCCGAGGGACGCTGAGGTATAGGACAATAATGAAAACAAATCACATAACAGCGCAACTGTCGGGCCTAGCGAAGGGCGCCGTATCGCCCTTCCCCGTCTTCCCCGTCTTCCCCACCTTTTCCTTCCCCTTCCCCTTTGGCCTACGCCCATCTTTACCGGGTCTGCAGACAAAATTCTGGTCCTTCTTCTCCTCCTTATCCGGCCGGAAGGCAAAGTCATCTCCGTCCTCTTGACCATCATCCTGCTCATGCTTAGGCCCGCTACGCTGGGATAGCGGTTCTGGCCATAATTCCGGAACGGGTCTCACCCTGACCCTGCTGCTCTTCCATCTGTCCTCTTCCATCTCAGAGTCGTATTCTCCTACGGATGAAAGGGTCCGGGTGCTAGCGTCCGGTGTTGAGAGGGATGTCGAGAGGAATGAGTGGCGGTGGGGGAGACGCTGTGGGCGCGATCGAGCGGGCTCCAGGATCTGAGAGGTGGGGCGGCTGAGGCGTCTCGAATCCTTGTGCGAATTGCTAATGCGAACATCGATGGCATTCAGCAGTGTGTCAGGGGCAGGCGTGGGTGGGAGAGACTTGTTTAATCGAGACGAAGACTAGAAGTTTATTCGTTATTCGATTCCAGATGTCATTCAATCAATATCGCCCACCTTTTTTTTTTTTGTACCCTGAGGGACCACAGCCAGAGATTCCTAGATATCATGAAATTTCAGTCATCACCCGTCCCGATATCATTAACATCGCATACCTTATTCTTCCTGCTCGCGATCCCGGTCCTCCTTTCAATCTCTCCCAACACACCCTTCAGCTGCACTATCTCCTCATTCAAGGCTACTGATTTCGTCTGCAGAGCCACGAGACCTCTGAACCACTGCTCAACATTAAATGTCATGGCGGCGTAAACCCTAACCAAATTCGAACCCTTCCACCCCTCCTTCAGTCCCAGCAGATATTTAGCCATATCATCCACCGCGGCCAGCCCCTCCGCCACGTCCTTCAAGGCCCTCTTCATGGCAGCCATTGTGCGCTCGACCACATACTCCACATTCTCATTGCCCTCCAATATCTGCAACCTAAACTCCCGACTCTCAAGCATACCGTCGAATGCTGCTGACGCAGGTTCCGAATCCAATGGAACCCTAAGATGTTTCAGCCGTTGCGATATATCCGATTTTGCTAGGTCAAAATCCCTCGTGGTTTTCGAGATGAATTCGTCCATATCATTCACATGGGATTGCAAGATCCTCACGACTTCCGAGTCAGATTTCGCCAGGCGGCCGTGCAGAAGATGAATGCCAAAAGCGATCTGCGAAATAATCTTCGATAACCGATGATACTCATGCCCCCCACTCTTCTGTTGACGTTTCCTGCTCCTCGACGATGAATCCTCAGTCTCCGAATTCCGCGCTCCAACCTGGACATCACGGATGGATTCCTCAAAGGCGGCTTGCATGCTCTGTACGGGATGCCGGGGAACAGGGGGCGGTGATGTGGATGTCCGCCTGCGGTCCCTCGTGCCTTCGCGTCCACTAGAGTGCAGAGATGGCGACAGTGGAGGCGTGTAGCCCCTTTCTCGCTTGAGCTTCTTCTCGCGATGGTTCGCCATAGTTTATTGAAGGCTTTTGTTTCTCCCAAAAGCGCTGAGATCTGACCCCTGGGATGTAGCTACTAGAATCCCCTTCCCGATCCCACGGCGTCCAATCCAGTTATCTAAATCACACCCTCCCCACCGCCCACAACAAGTGAAAAGGGGAATGTTGCAGAAGAGAGCAATAAAAATAAAAAAAAGGAACCAGTAAGATGACCACGGTTACGGTCGGCTACTGCACAAGTACGGGGTGATCCCACCCAAAAGCAAAACCTCAGCCCCCTCCCCGTGAAATTTGCTCAGATCAGCTGGAGAAACAAAAAACTGGGCGTTGTGATGTACCGTAGACGGCGATTTAAGGGAAAAAAACAAAAAAACAGAAAGGACAACTGTGGTTCGCTCGCTGTCGAGAGCGCGCAGAGGAAGCAGTATCCCAGATTCGAAGGATGGATCTAGAGGGTAGCAGCCTACGGGCTTGCAGTATATCACCAGACTCACCGATTGGACTGGATTCTCAGTGAATTGGCGATACCAGCGATACCACAATGGCAGACTGTGGAGAGTGGGTGACAATGGAGACCGTCGTCGCCCGTATTGGCATAACCAAGAGAAAGTCCCTTGGGTCCGCCCAGTTAACTTATGGGCAAGCGAAGAGGTGCTGCACCCGTACGAGTACGTGTACTCGAGTACTTGTACCTGTAGGAACCTGAAACGCGAGCTGTGCGGGGCGCAAACAGCTCTCTCTAATTGGCTCGGGGAACCAAAATACCAGCCAAATTCATAACAAGCTTATCCCCATGTACGAGCACTGTACAAGTATAATACGGTACTTTTGAATGAGGGAAGAGATGGGGATGGAGATGAGAAAGGTGGGGATGGAGATGAGAAAGGTGGGGATGGATACCGGTATAATTACGGTATCGGCGGAGGGGAAGCTTGTGAGAGGGTGAGGAGACGAAGAAGGGGCGTGCTGTGATATGATACCGGTAGATGATAGTGGGTTGGGCAAGAAAATGTTGGAGGAGAAGAAAAGCATCTCTTCCTCCCCCTTTCCCCTCCACCTCGACATGGCCTGCGAGGCTCGATCCTGCCGGCTCGTAAGGGGAAGCCAAACAGTCAGTAATGGTCGATGACTGCAGGCTATCCCGTCGCTAAATTTAGGGAGCTGGATGGACCTCTTGTTGTTGATCGAAGGGAGCGGGAGTGGGTACACAGTCTCACCGGGGCAACGAGGAGTGCTCGAGTACTCGTACCAGCGGATGACGAACAGGGGTATCTAGCAGGCTAATACCGGTACTCGAGTAGAGTGAATTCTTTCAAAGAACTGGCAGGGCAATCTAGGGTGACAAAAAAAATGTTACCTGTTACTAGTATCATACCGGTTCTGATCCCTGTTCGTCACCCGCCGACTTTCGTCTTGCCTCCGCATGAGGCTGTGCGGTACCGCTCGAGTGGCAGGCGACGCGGGCCATAGCCTGTCGACACTCATTGGCCAAGTCAAAAAAAAATATGCGCGGTGGGACCCATCAAAGAGCCAAAGTGAACATTTTCCTCATAGTCTACCCGTATGCCAGCAATCCAGGGCTATCAGCAAATGCCACACCGACCGTAGGTCGGTATCCCATCAGGCCCTCTCCCTTCTCCCCCCCCCCCCGAGACGGGAAGGAAACCCATCGCCAAAATGTCTGCTCAGTCGTACCAAGATCCACGGCGCTACGCTATCATACAGTACAATGTACCGGTAGCATACCGGTACTGACTACCAGACCCCGCGCGTCAACCGTGCCACTGCAGGCCAATAAGAGATCGTCGATGCAGATGAACAGATCGAAAGACACCCTATCCAACTCTCTTGGTTGATCTGAGTTGTTTATGCGTTAGACCCATCCAGCGGGGAGAATGTTGTCGCTCAACCGCAGAATCTGATGCGGTAGGGAGTGGTGATGTACGATAGGCGCAATGCCCATATCGGGCTGGCGTAGAGTCATGCAGTTGGAAGGAGAATCCCATGAAATCCAAACCCACAATACTCTACCCTTCCAACTGCTCATATCATATCGGGGGGGTGGGGGCGAGTCGAGAATGACCCGAAAGGCCACATGATTCCTCCAATGTGCATGCCCCGAGGATGGACTTACTATGGTGCCGGCAGACTATCCAGGAGGCACCAGTTATCCTTTACCGAGATTTATCCCTTACCGAGATGTACCGTACTCGAGTACGAAGCATTTCTCCGCGGCGCACCAAGGCTGACTAACCACCCGAGCGGCACAAGCATCATGGCGGATCACCGTCCCGCGAATTCGGCCAACCAGCTGCAGGGTTAGGGGTCGTTTAAATTTTCAGGCGTCAAACACTGACGGGAAGTGGCTGATTGCAGACAGGCCCACGCGATCCACGACGGATCGGATCTCTCCAATCGTTGGTCCCGCCCAGAACTTGCCGCACCCATCCCACGAATCATTGATGCCCCCTGCTCACCATTCCCTGACCCTTCCAAACCATTCCAACCATTCCAACCATTCATTCATCCCTCCCAGTAACTTGACACCGCACGGTACTTGTACAGTACGAGTACTCGCGCTCTTCATTTACGTATCCGTGCCCAGACTGAACTTTTGCAAAATTTCCCGTGTGCCCCCCCCCCGCGGCCAAGATCCCAAAAATTCCTCTATGCATGTGATACCCGGATACTTTCTCGTCCCAAGTTCGGTGCTGACCCGTGCTCGCGTGTACCGCTATTTCCGCTGATTCCGCTGATCCCAAACAAACCTCTACTGTACGGAGACAGGAGTCGTGTTTTCCCATTTCTGTCGGCACACCCGAGTGCGACGGTCTCCCGGAGGCCCTCCCGTTCCCATTTTTGTCCTCTGTTCTTTCCCCTTCCCTCTGATCCCTAAATCTCATGACCGGCCAAATCACCAACCAGGGGGAACCGCAAAGGGGTTCGGAGGATGGGCGCTTGGTGGAGACATAACTTGGCGGTATGGTACTCGAGTACCCGTACCGTGCCCGTATCATACAGGACTGCCAGTCTCGTCACCCAAATTTCTTAATGTCGGCAGCTTACGACGCGCGGATGGGACCTGGCAGCATTCTACCAGCGAGGTCGGTAACGGTTTGGTTTCAAAGTCACTACCGGTATCGGCTTCCAAACCGTCGGGGCGCGGCAACACTTCACCATGGCCGGGCCAATTTGCTAGCGAAGTTCACTGAGGTCCATCGACCCACCATGGATGGAACAATCGCCATCCCCCGGTATTCTATATGGCCTACGGCCTTGGGGACACGTCGAATCGCACAGTCAACTACTGTTGCTATCAATCGTGTCCGGGGCCAAAACCCCCTTTGAAATTATGGATACGACATGAGCTGAGTTGGTACCACGTTGCGGACTTTGGTCAATGAGCCCACCTCACTGTACACAATTTGCCAATTTTACCCAGTGCCCAAGCATCCCTCTGCGGACCACCACTCGGCACGATTGGTGACGGGAAACGGAGTCAATTCCGGCGGTGTTTGATCAAGTGCCTATATCACATGCTGTTCGGAGCCGGCCGGCGGTCCCGGTTTACGTCGCCCTAGCATCGATGAATCGGGACTCCATATCATGTAGCCCTATGCTTTTGCTCTTTGTGAGTTGATAGTTCGTATCGAGGTGCACGGTACTGGCATACTCTTACCAGGTAAGTTCCACAAGTAACCCTGGTTCACCAGATGCAGAATTTATTATAAGGGAATTGACTCACCTGACAGACGCTTTGGCTAGCCTCAGCTCCGACCGCGGCGCGATCAAGGCGACGGCTTGTTGGCACGTACCATACAGCGGGCCGCAGTAATATCACATTGTATGGGTGCATCCGATAGTAGTCACCCGATAACAACGGCATCTCAATGTTCATGTTCTTGCCTAAAGCACTGATCAGGCAATTACCACGGGCTGGCACCTGAAGATACAATTGGCTCCAGGTGACTAAAAAAAAAGAGGTACTTAGCATGCTTGCTCATCGGAGAGGCGTGATATCAGCGTTTTAATTGACCGCTGGATGAATGTCTTGATACGGTAGAAGTTCACTCACACGGGGCTCTGCCAACCCTTCCATCATCTTTCATGGAGACACGGTGCTCGAGTAGACACCATTGAGTATCGGGAGCCCGTCGAGTCTGATGCGATGCATAAGAGGACACCAGGATCCCCCAGAGAGCCATAAGTTAGATTGCACAAATCTTTGGAGCTCCCGCAAAGGGGAAACCTAGCGCTATGCAACTAAGTACGGTTACCGGCGTAAGAGGAACACTTACTCTCCAGCCGTAGGGATTGCCGGACACCAACCCCCTGGGGGATCCTCTCGCCCAGCGAGCTAGGTGAGGTGTTCATATCCGGCAAGCTATAGTCCCAGAAACCTGTTTCCTGCACTTTATCACAATATCGGTGAGACCCCCCCCCCCCCCCCCCACCTTCTCTCTCTGGGGAAAAAAGCCTTGAGGGTTTTTTTTTTTCATCAGTGCACCATCTAACGACAGGTGTCGTTCCAGCTCTGGGTGGATATTGGTCTCGGGGTCCTGGTGGGCAAAGACCCTTATGAGAAGATTCTTTTGAGAGAAATACAGTATGGTGCTGTGTGTGGTGTGAAATGGAGGGGTTTGTGTTGCATATACAGCACTTCACATATCGTACCGAGCGACTGTTATGATGAATCCCCCCCCGAGCGCATTACGTCGGTAGTTGGTCGTACCTCTTACAAACAGATAGCTGGGACCATGCCTTTTTTTTTTTTCCTTTTTTTGCATTTACGGGTATTAGAAATCAAAAAGAAACTCAGGCTGTAAGAAAAAAAGGCATGTCCTGATTGTGGATGTGGCCTTCAAAAGCAAACAAACCCACCGCTTTGGATCTCATTGCTTCCAGACCTTCTGTTTCTGTTCCCATACATACACCAGACATCACAAGATGCATTGGGGGACCCAATATCGAGTATTCGTATGGATGGAGCCCTTGTGCTCGCCGTCCTGGGCAAGAAGCACCAAGAAAACAGGGACTAAGGAGGTTGAGCAAAGCATCCATGCGCATCCGAGCGTACTAGTACAAAACTTACCCCCCTATTCCCAGGTACTCCTTGCCTAGACTCGGGTAACGAGGAGGTGTTAG